CACCACCACCACTGCTTCAACTACAACTACAACTACAACTACAACTACACTACATTACACAACACTACACTACACTAATTACATTACATTACACTACAACTGCAACTACCATTGCATTGCACTACACGACACTACGCTACAACTACACCTACACTACTTTACACTACAATACACTAAGACCACACTACACTATACCACCACGCTACAGCCGCTACAGTACACAACACTAGGGTACACTACAGCATACTACACTACTTACACCACACCACCACTACAATTGCAACTACACTACACTAGTTACACTACATTACAAACCACAACTTAAAACTACAACTCCACTATACTACAACACCTACAACTACAACTGCACTACACCACACTACATCCAGCAGTTGTGCTGAGGTGACCACTGCAACCATTGCAGCCACTCCAGAAAACACAACTCCAACCACCTTTCGGTCCATCAGTGGATTCGCTCTGCCATCCGTGATTCACAACAGCCAACCTATCCTATAGGTTTCCTTATTTTGAAACTTCCGCCACCGCCTTGTGCGGCACTACTGGTAATTTGATGTAATTTGTAGGTCTTGTTAGAAACCAGAGATCCGATCCATATTCATGTTCATTGTGTTCGTTAATTACTTTCATTTTTGGTATACGATAGGTACCAGTAGTACCGCACAAGACGGTGGCGGAAGTTTGAGTTGTTGTGATGCATGGATGGCAGAGCGAACCCACTGCTGGATCGAAAGGTGGTTGGAGTTGTGTTTTTTGGAGTGGCTGCAATGGTTGCAGTGGTCACCTCAGCACAACTGCTGGATGTAGTGTGGTGTAGTGCAGTTGTAGTTGTAGGTGTAGTTGTAGTTGTAGTGTAGTTAGTGTAGTGTAGTTGCAGTTGCAGTTGTGGTGTGGTGTAATTAGTGTAGTGCAATGTAGTTTTGTGTAGTGTAGTGTACTGTAGTGTTGTGTACTTCAGTCTGGTATAGTGTAGCGTAGTCTAGCGTAGTGTAGTGTAAAGTAGTGTAGCTGTAGCTGCAGTTGTAGTTGTAGTTAGTGTATATAGTGTAGTGTAGTTGTAGTGTAATGTATTGTAGTTGTAGTTGTACTTCTAGTTGTAGTTCTAGTTGCAGCGTAGTGTAGCCAAAGTGTATTTAGCGTAGTGTAGTGTAATGCAGTGTAGTTGCAGTTGTAGCTGTAGCTGTAGCTGCAGCAGTAAGGGTAGTTGTAGTTGTAGTTGTAGTGTAATTTGTGTGGTGTGCTGTAATTGGTGTAGTGTAGTTTAGTTAGTGTAGTGTAGTGTAATTAGTGTAGTGTAATGTAGCGTAGTATATTTGTTTTCGTGGCCGTAGTTGTAGTGTAGTTGTAGTTGCAAATGTCTATCTATCAGTCTGTCTTTGTGCAAGCTTGAAAACGGGACAAGTCTGCTTGATTTCCTAAGTTGACAACATCAAAGAACGAAGCAATTCTGCGAGACGTCCCTCAAAAATGGAAAGTTGAGTGCAGAGCTGACAGCCTCGTACCGATGCGTTTTGCGATTTTTCGACTTCACCTCTCTAAACTACTGCGCCTGCCACAAAAAAGTGATACCGGGTCATACGAAGTGCTGCACCTGTCACGCAAAATCATCTCAGCAAACCTGAAGATCTGATGCGCCAAAATGCAACCCTTCTCAGGAAATCAGCGCCCGGACCTCCTAACATGTCTGACTCATGTGTCTTTTGTACTGCGCCTGCCACGCAAAATGCATCTTTGCAGGTCCTTTTTTCAAATGTCCCACGCCTGCCAACGTTTTTGAAATTGCTGCAAAACCTTCACGTTTTGCTCACTTTTGGCGAGGTGCACCGTCCCTCGCGCCTGCCACACGAGAGCACATTATAACTTCAGAAACTGCTCCGAGAAATTGTGTTTTGTACATTTTGGCTTCGAAATGTGCTTCGCGCCCCTATGGCATGCACGTTTTCGACATCTCAACTTCCAAAAGTGATCCGAGAATGGTGTGTTTTGTACATTTTGACTTCAAAATGTGCTTTGCGCCACAACACCGTGCACTTTTTCAATAGCTGAACTTCCAAAAGTGGTCTGAGACCCTCATGCTTTTACACTTTTGACTTGGAAATGTGCTTCGTGCCACAATGGCGTGCACTTTTTCAACATCGCAACTCCCAAAAGTGTTCCGGACGAGGTGATTTTGACTTTTTGACTTCGAAATCTGCGTCGCGCCACAAAGGTGTGCAATTTTTCATCTCTCATCTCCCGAGATGGCTCCGCACCCGCCGCTTTAGCCAGCCTACTTGTCGACCTTACCCACAGCCACAAATCATTGGAAAACACAGTGTTTCGCGACTTTTCTACCTTTTCGCGCACCTGCATCTTCTTTCTTCTGACTCTTTCTCTTCTCTTCTCTTCTCTTCCCTTCCGTTCTCTTCTCTTCTCTTCTCTTCTCTTCTCGTCTCTTCTCTGACTCTTCCCACCTCTGCTTTTTCATCTGTCCATATTGTCGGAAGTTTGACTTCTAAACTTCCTTCGACAACTATATTGCTTTTACAAACATGATATATGGTAGCATTTGTTCTCATATATGGCATATGCTGCCTGTCTGGGTCATTGTGCAGAGCAACCCCCTTGGTAATTCCGTACCTGGACGCTCCCCGAAATGACGAGGGTTGATAGTGACTGGGTGATGATAGCCACTTGCTTTTCATCAAGTGAGGTCCAGCAAAATCACCACTGATTGGTACAAGGGTGCCCCCCCAAGTAGATCCAATCAGAAATTAGTTTACAAACCCCTTAAAGCAACTATCCAAATTAGACTTCAAATATCTACCATAAACCATAGTTGCCATAGTATGCTCTGTGCTCAAGACATCCTAAGATCGTGCTTCGCTGTCCATCAACGAGGCAAGCTCTGGGAAGCCGCGCGTCGCCGATTGGATTCCAAGACCTTCGAAGATTTAAAGCGCCGCTTGGTTTTGCACTGGTCAAGCGGCTACATTGCTGTTGTTGGGGGTGTCGTTTGCAAAAAAAAGAACATGTTCATAACATCAACAAAACATGATTTATCATCATCAAAACATGAACATGTAAGTTTTGAACATGTTTTATCATTCGCTACATGAAAGTCATCATGAAAATATCTTCAAACAAATAAACCATCATCAAGACATTGGAAAGGTTATATGTACAATTTACTCTATGCCATATGCAAATTACATCACTGTTCACTGTTCCCCTCTTTTTGGGCCCTCCATTTTCGATGCAGGACAGGATGACCTGGAACGTGCCGAAGCTGAGGCGGAAACCAAGCTTCCAAAGCGACGCCTCAAAATGAAGAGATCTTCCTATGACTTTCCAATATTTTCCATATGTTTCCATCATGTTCCGTACTGTTCCACCATTTTTTCGCTGATTTTCCCATATTTTCGCAATGGCACTGCAGGTGGCCTTCGAAAAGGCTCGGCAGCAGGGCGTCTGGCAGCTGCTGCGTGGCGCGGCTGGCGCTGATCGACAGCTGCTGGCGGAGATTGCGCGGCTGGCATCGGGGGGAGCGCCTCGAAGGTTGAACTGGAGCTGTTACTCTCTGGTAATTTAACATATAGTTTTCACTAATAAAATTCCTGCAATCTATCAGTCAGGGCTGTTTTCCCAATTAAAATCATGTTTCTATGGTTATTTTCCTTTTAAAAAATGCTTATAACCACCTATACCCTCCTTGGTAATTTACCATAGCTATTGAAAATGGCCCATTTAATTTGTTGATTTACATATTGAAAATTGTGGTTTTCCATAGCTATGTTAGTTTACCAGAGGGTAACCATTTTAATGGACCTAATGGTGGTTGCTAATGGCGCTTAGTGGTTAATGATGATTCATGATGATATAAATGGAAGTATAGGGAAATCCAGATATTAATGGATGTTTTAATATGTTTTAATAAGGAGATATTGATGGTCTATAATAAATATTGAGAAATACGGGGAAACCAGCATTACTAGTAGTTGGAAACCAATAACTATATAATGGTATTAAACATCAATATTGATAGCCTCGTTGCTTTTAATAAATTTCAATAAGCCATTCATCCATTATAATAGATCGTGTTTTAAACCCATGTTGATAGATTAATGGATCGAATTGCTGATCGGTAAGTTATAAATTGTAGCAAACGTGTAGGGACCTCACTGTGACCTCACTGGAATGATGGTTAGTAATGGGAATTATCTCAATATAGCAAATTTCGGGGTAGCGTTTTTTTTCACCCAGAATAATAGCCAATAACAATAATGATAATTATAGTCCTAATATTAAACACAGCTACCCTGCGTTTTTAAATCTATAGTAAACAATGATAAATAAAGATAATGAATGAACGAACTCCAGCTGATGGTTTCTTAATCCCTTCCCAAGATGTAGCTCCAAGTCTAATGGGAAGGGGTTAATACCTGGAGCTGATATGATATGTGCTTCAATAATTTTCAAGTATCAATGGTATATAACATCTGTAGCATCCAATATCTGGTTATGAAACTATCCCTGTATCGAGTATGGATGGTCTATATGGTAAATATGGGGAAATATGGGGAAACCGTATTACTAGCTGTTGGGAGTCAATGTAAATACAGGAAATATGGTCTCCCATTTTGTTTTGTTAAATATGGGAGAACCAACTATAAATGGATGGTGTTTATGAGGAAATCATCGCATTTGCAATAAATTCTAGTGACCGAATAGTAACCTCACTGGACTGAAAGCATGGTTAGTAAGGGGGTAATGGCCTCGAACGTCCATAGTTACCCTATGGTAAACTAACAGTTCGCTATGGAAAATCACAATCTTTATTAGGTAAATCAACGAACTAAAAGGGCCATTTTCAATAGCAAACTGTTAAATTGCCAGATGGTAATTGTATATTCTGTGGTGCTCTCTGATATTGAATATGAATGAGATGGATATTGAATATTAATTGAAGCTGATGGTTTGCTAATCGTGATTCAAACCCATATGAGTGGATCGGTGGGTCTAATTGCTGTTGGGTTATTGTGCTAACTGTTTACTCTTCCTTCCCAAGATGCAGCATATTAATGATTGATCCCTTCCCAAGGTGTAGCTCCGGTTCCAATGGGAAGGGATCACTGTAGTGACTGGACCTGATATGTTTTTTTTTTCCGGCTATTGATGGTCTTGAATAGCGTTTATAATGGGATACTTAGCATAGTGGTAGACCTTGGTGACCAACCACTGGTGGCTCAAAGCCCAAGGTGTACCCAAGGTCTACCAAACAAACATGGTCTTGAATAATGGACCTATACATGTATAGGGTCTGATATATGGTTATGGAACTACCCTTTCCCAAGGTGTAGCGAATATTGATGGTCTTGAATAGTGCTGATTTTATGGGATGATATATGATAAAAAATATAGATTATAGATGGGGAATAATGGACATATATATATATATACACTTGGTTAATATTGGAAGAAATCGCGACAAATCTGATGTTCCCGTCCCCCGTTCATATAGAACACCACCCAGAAACCATGGTTTAGTGAACTGACCCCCAGTCATGATTGGCCAATGGCATGGTTTATTCTTGGGTTTACCACATTACAAAGTTCAAGATGTGTTTTGGCAGCTAGTAGTGACAACTAGTTGTTATTATATAAAGATTTTTGAAGACTAGTTACCGAAAATAACAGAGGAATAGTTCATAGCTAGTAATTAATTTAACTACCTGACCCCTCCAAGTATCAATAAAAGTTGTGTTTTACCATATACTGTCAGTACGTTTACATGAGTAACATAGCTCTAGAAAATCTCCGCTTTTAGTACGGTAACGACATTTAAATATCTGGAGGACGGGCTAGAGTGAGAGGCCCAGGAGGTAGTCTAAGATACCAGTTCGTATATTTAAATGTAGTTACCGTAGGTAAATCATCCATAAATGGACCATTTTCCATAGCTTCTCGTATGTAACAAAATGCCGGGCTAGACAACTACCATTGCTATCCATTACTATTATTTATCCAAAGATCATAAAATTATCTATTGTCTCTAGTTTTGATTATATCCCCATGTAATATGTTTCAAGAATATTGTCCATGAACATTATAATCTATTAACATTTGATAATTGGTATGCATTATTAAGAGAAATGTTAGAACTCATCTAGATTACATATATTCATCTATTTGTATACCAACATATGGTATCCCAATATAATTGGTATTAACTCGTGATCACAAATTGTATATAAAGATTATGGTATTTTAATGTATTTTGTTACAGTCTTAGTTATATATATATATAACCAATGATAGTATGTATACCCAAATGCCCTCTTGTAATTTAACATAGCTATGGAAAATCACCATCTTGCATAGGAAAATCAACAAACTAAATGTGCCATTTCAATTCTATCCCAGTTGCCAACTCCCGCGTCCCAAGGAAGGCCGCTGTCTCTCTGTGGAGAAGGCGCGGCAACTCTTTGACGGAAGCTCCGCCGCCAGCGCCGTCAGCGCCGGGACTGCCGCGACGCCGGCACGGCGGCGGAGCTTCAGCCGTGGCGAGGCGGGTGTCCGTTGGGAGCGGCGAGGCCTTCCAAATTTTATAAAATTTGATGTCTCAAATGAATGCTTGGATGTGCATAGTGCATCCCAGCTGAGTGCCCTAAATTTTAAACCCTAAACAATTTTTAACCATGCGATCATTCACTATAAGCATCAACATCATATTTACCAAGGATGCACCCCCTAAGTAGGGTACCTTCGTTCCACAAGGAGAAGAAGCAGAGCCGAAAACCCCCACGTCCAACGGCACCAGCGGCGCCAGCGGCGCCAGCGCCGGCGCCGCGGATTCACAACGAGAGCAGCGCAGCTCTCGGTGGAGCTTAGCACGGGAGCGGCGCATGGGAACGTGGGGGTTGGGAATCTCAATTTGGAGTTATTATGTTGATAAAAAGGAGATGAACAAAACAATACGTGATCATACATTATATGATGTATATTTGATTATATGCATATTTATGTGCATCGATGCATTTTTTGTGGGAGTGTATGTGTTTTCTTGGTTTCTTGTATGTATACATGCATGTGCGTGTACATATATATATATATACATATGTATATATATGCGCCTGTAGACACAACAGGTAATTAGTTGGTTGAATCAACATATCTAGCATATATCATATATCCACAAAACAATATACCAATATTTGCATATCATATATATTTATAAATATAGTAGTGTGTTTATATATAATATTTAATACATATATATATACATATAGTGTGTATATATATATATATATACACACACGCAGTATGATGCAGTATATTTTTTAATATGTGTATATATATATATATAGTATATATGTGCACCCCATATGCACAGCATTAGTTTGGGTACATCGCCATAGATCCTCGAGATTAGGTGGTAGCTGGTCAGCATTCAAGATCCCTACATGTTCTTGGTTCACATCCCGACCGATGTCGCCAGGAGATTGCCTTGGTCCAAACTTTGCCGCGTTATTTCTTTAAATGGAACCCCTGGCATTTCCAGGATCTGTTTTTTTGTTTGTTTTCATTTGCTTCGAAGTTTCTCAAAAGAAATGCTCAACTTGGATTTAAAACGTGAATATGATAGATTTCCCATTAGTGGATATTAGTGGAAAGTTTAAATTCTGAACAAACAAATCCAAATTCGGTCCATTTGCACGGACCGCTGTGCAGCTTCGCGCTGCTAATTCGATCCAGCACGGATCTCGTGTCAGCATCTGCAAAAGGACCATGTGTGATATGTGTGCATGCAGCCAGAAATGATTGACCAGTTGATATCTATAACATTCCGTAGAATTCCATAGGATTACTTGGTCCTAATGGTCCTAACAAGGAAGCCCCATCTAAATGAAGAGATCCACCATGTCCCAGGAGTTCTAGTGCGTGTTTATTGTTAGAAGCGAGGGACCGAGTGCTTTGCTATCTACAGTCAGCGGGGTGCAGTGGTTCCTTTTTTTCACTCTCTCTATATCTATATGTATATCTATATGTATATGTAAATGTATATGTATATGTATATATAATATGAGTTGCCAGTATATCAACATGTCAGCCGGGCCGACATATCATGTGCGCCCTGGCTACAAAGAAAGAGATACGTTGTGCACACAACTGGCATCGCATCGCATCGCCGAGGTCGTGGGTCCCATCTGGTTATGACTAACATAGCCATGGAAAATCCCAACCATAAATGGAGGTTTCTAGCTGGGAAAATCAAGCATTTTCCATGGCTATGTCATATAGCCAGAGGGTATACATATATGTGGTTTATGAATGCTTATGATACAAATTTATAGATTCTGATTGGCTTTTACCAAGTTCCCATGATTAATGATTGCATATAGCTTCTATCCTCAAATGAGAGATAATGAGAGAAACAATCTGAACATGACCTGATTCTTTCAGATGTCCGATTTCGGTCATTGTTGGCCCATTTTGGCTCCGTCAGCCCCCAATTTTTGCTCCAAACAGACGTCAAAAAAATTGCCCGGTTGTTGTCGGGGACACGGAGGGATGATACCCCCAGATTTGCTGTCCAATCTGGATGGCATCGAGAAGGAGCGCTGTCCGGATTTGGTGATTTACGTTCACAATATTTCACAATGTTCAAAGCGCTTGGTGTCAACAGAGTGTTCTGATGTTGGTATTATTTGGTTGTGACATTGTGAATTTATGGTGATTTTTGTTGCCTCCGTAAATTTCATGCTATTGGATTGATTTGGCATGCCAGCATCGTGAAGAATCAGGGATACTGCCTCTATGTCCACCATAAAGTGCGCTAATCAGATATATCACATCAGTGGTAGAAAGATACCGATGGTTGACCAGTGGAAATGTGACTTGCCATGCTTGATGAACTAACGAACATGCGGATACGCATCAATAAGAAAAGGCTAGATGAAGCAGCGGCAATTCTGAGTTCCTGATGTACTGGGATTACTGGGGGTGTTAACCATCAGCTATCAACCCAGAAGCGCGGCCAGCCCAATAAACCGGGAGGGTCACAGTCAGGGACTGCCAGGGATTTCTCTCGGCTCTTGGCAGCGACTCAGTCAATCCGTGTTGATTGGCTGGGGAATACTGTGTTAATCTTGGGTCGGCATTTCATTATAGTAGTACTATAGTAGAATCTTGTGCTAGAAACTTGGATGTACACTGACCTGATATTTTTAAGCGGGGTATCTAACATTGATCAAGACTGGACTGGCCATGGATATAGAAATGAAACATTTCGAAATCATTCAGCCAGAATATGGGAATGCAATCCAGAGCCCAGAGATGCTCAAAATGGTTGCTTCATATGGAATGTGGTTGGAAGTCGGACTGGGAAGCATTAACATAATATTCTAATATTCATCATGGGCTCCAACGATTTCAAATGATTCTGCATGAAAATGAAAATAGCTACCAACTTGGCAAAAAGAACCATCCGCAATTCAGTACCCCAATTGATGAAAATAAGTTTCAGGGCGTCTAATTTAGGCTTGCAATTGAAAAGGGCTGGGGCAGCTGCATTTGAACACTGAATGACAATACAAATACAAAACACATGTAGTTTGTGGGCGCTCCCTCCAGAAAATCACCATCTAGATCTACACGAAATGACACCTACACCCTCTGGTAATCAAACATGGCAATGCAAATTCTCCCGTTATAGGTGTGTTTGTTTTATTGTGTTTTTTCCCATTAAAACCTGCATTGAGTTCGGGGATTTCCCAGCTTCCCACGTGAAAATGACACCCTCTTGGCTACATTTCTGTTGGGGATGAAGCCACCAATCCCAGCATATGTGATTGTTGATGACCAACCTTGAAGGGCCGAGATCAGCCAGGAGTTACACGACTGTATTCAATCGGTGTCAGATCAGCATCTTGGGCGTGTTTTTGGGGAAGATGACTAGGAACATCTACGGCAAATTCTGGGTGAATTTTAATAACCTCACTGCTGACCGTGACGTCACTGAAATGACGGGAATTGGATTCGGTGAGTTTCATGAAGGGTCAAGCGTCCTGAGAATTCCCGTGGAGTGCAGCACATGTGCATGGATCAACTTCAATCTCTTGAGGCATCTAATTTCAGATTAAAAAAAGTAACTGGTCTCCTTATCCTATCTTTTTTTATTTATTATGATGTGTGTCACTGTCCCAAATTGATTCCAACGTGAGATCTATGGGGATTGTTTCGCAGCAATTCTCCCAGTCCTGCATCCACTGCACCAAAAATGACAGCATGCAAGGCTGTGCGAACTGGTTTGGTGGTTTCAATGATGGTTTAATTTATATTATTTATGGTACATTTCCTTAACAAAAAAACGGAGAATATGATCAACAAGAATGACTTGGCCCTTTGAATATGTCATTTTCAAGAGCTGATCTCAAGATGAACCATTTTGGTTTCCTGTGACTTTTAAACATTTTTGGGGGGTAAGGCAGCTGGCCCCACCAACAATTCGTCTTTGCAACTATGAAGAATTCAGACGGCTTGATTTGCTGAAAATTGGCTCTTACATGCTTTTATGAGGTAAATCATGCAACAAACATCCATGTTGATGTTCCGCCCCACTGAAATCGGGGAAACCCAACAGTTATATAAGTTATATCCCTATGATAATCATGATATCCCCATTTTAGATGGTTAAATTTTCATCATCCCATCCCAAATAGGCCGGGAGGCGGCCGGCACCTCGTGGTACTAGACTCGATTCACCGAGGATTCAGAGTGTGCGGCAGTCCTTGGCACCAGATACATCCAGTGGCCGGAGGTGGCTGAGTACGATGGTGTGATGCCAATTTTGTGAAAATGGGATGTAAGCCATCAACTGGTATTAAGGATATCTAGTTATAGGATTATGTATAATTTGCATATGCATTATATATATATATAAAACAAACCACTAACTAGTTCGTTATATCAACCATAAACCACACAGTTATTGGAGTTATAAACCAGCTGAGCTATCTTGGGGGTTGCGCCTTGTAGGATATCATGGGGGATATTACAATATCATATGTAATTGATAGAGGAAATTGAAGTATCATGGGGATATCATGGGTGCCACCGCTAAAACTTCCCATGATCCCAACTGGAGATATGGGAAGTTTCGGCAGCAGGCTTCACATGGCTTCACATGTTGCACAAATGCGAAAGGAACAGTTGGATTTCTGGAACTATATGGACATGGCAAAACATCATTCGTAACATCCTGGATCAAAGATATGTCACTATCTTTTGAGGGACATCCAGAAATGAGTGGAAAATTCGAGCGGCCTCGCTGGACCTGGACCCCCCATAAACGCCATAAACCATAGGTTTTTAGTAGCAGATCATCCCCAAAAATGACCTTCTTTCTATAGTTCGGTTGGGATGTGCATCCCACTGGGTAAGATATGCCAACCTCCATGGCTAGTTGAGGATTTTCGCAGCCCAGGTTTGAAGTTTGAAGATACCAGAGGGTATCCCATCCTATGGCTGGCCCTATAATATAATCATTATTGATTCATCGTAATTGTTGGTTTTACAGTTATACATGTTAGTATACGTATATACATATATATATATATACACATATAGTATATATATATATTATACATTTGGTATTTAGTCATATATATATATTACACCATGGGGAATAGAGCCCATTTAGTTTTTGGGATTTTCCAATCGCCAATCCCTCCAGACCTGCCCAGGATGTCTTCCAGAAGTAGTTCTCCAGGCCCCAGCCACCGGCGCCTGAGAGAACCCGCTGCGTTGATGGCGCATCGTGGGGCCAAGGCGGAACGCAAGCAGCAACCCAAGGTGCAACGGTGGCAACGGCGGCACCCCAAAAAAGATGCCCGGAAGTGTGCGTTTCGAGGTAGTTGGATGATATTTATGCATATTTATACCACATGATGCCACATATTTTCAGGTTTGCAATGTATTTTCGGCACCTTTAGGGGTTGCATGGGGTTGCTATAGTGGCATGAAGAAAAGAACGACTATGCAAAAAGATATGTCTCAAGTGATAATTTTCTGCGTAAATATTCATGAGGACGTAGTTTTTGAGTCCTCGGACTTCCAGGGACTTGTGAATACCATATGGTACCACAATCTGTGGAGCTTTGCTGCTGGCAACTGTCCAAGAAATCCCTTGAACAGCAGCAAGGCCGTGGTACTTAAGGATGTTTTCAGAAGATGGTTCTGCAAACACATGATATGTTTGCAAATAGGATCGACAAATTCTAGGGTTCAAGGTTCTTTATAGGTAGTCCTAAATGATTCCAATCGCCATCTTATCTAGTGACATTCCACATGGGTGAATTGACAATGTTTGGTCATGTTTGTCCATCTTTCTCGGCCTGGTGTCCTTCGTTAACCTTCGTTTTTTGAGAGCCACCTCCAGCGTTCCCAGCTCCGCACCTTGCGTACCTTGCACTGCAGGTGGCCCCCACAGTGTCGGCCAAGGCTGGAGGCCATGGTACAGACAGTACCCAGCTGCGGCTGCATGGCCGCTGGATGGATCTGGCCACGCAGGCGGCGGAGGCGCCCACGCAGGACAACAAGAAGAAGCTGATGCTTGGCGAAAGGGACGAGACGGGGGATGCGGAAGCTGACTGGACTTTTTGATACTTTTGGTATCTTTTTGTGCTTGATATAGTGATTTACAGTAGATGAGATGAAGATTGGGATGAATATTGGAATTAGGCTTAGATGATTTTAGATTGGCTAGTGATGCTAGTGGATGCTTAGTGAAATCCCATCGAAAAACATGGAAACAGTACAGATGGAGGTTAATGGAATTGCTGAGATCCTATGGGACTCGGGTTTAGTGCCACTCAATCGGATGCTAAGTTGGTCCCTTGGTGAACTCAGGGGCCGTACCTTCTTATCAGGAGAATTCCATAAGTAGTGATTGATAAGGGATTAGATGTGGGTGTGTATCGAATTTAATGATCGAATTTATGGTTTAACAAATGCTCGGAAAATAGAGGTATAAACCAGCAATCATGGGGATAAACACTCTGGATATTTCAGCAATGGGGATGTTTTTGTTGATACAAGCGGCAATTGGGAAGCATAAGTGGCTCAACCAACTGGATGGTCAGTTTGTTGCTAACACATCTTTTGCAACGTGGACCAAAAAAATGCTAACTACGTACGTAGCTTACAATGCGGGGGAGGATGGGACGTTGGAGAAAACCAATTGGATGGGTACTCCTTGGAGACAGCTGGGGATGGGGGTATGGTATCAGTGATAGTCAGTGATATCCGAATTCATGTCATGTTGAACCCACCAACGAGCTGGAGGTCTTGATGACATCCAAGTGGTGGATGGTTTCCTTTTTTCGGAATGGAATGATTGGTTAGTCACGGTTCCTGTGGATGTGGACAAAAATTGCATGGCAAGATAGGATGGACAGTGTTTTTATTTGTGCATTGCTGACTGTACATCGCCAATAATGGATTTAATATGTAAATACCTACCTTGCATTGTTCTAAAGCAACAAACCCAAACATTTGCATATGAGTGTGCACACACATATAATCATTTATTTAATTATATAAGAGCATAAGATGTACACACACACATATAAGATGTACACACACACATATATAATATATATATACATATATATATAGTTATTTATATATTATTATATGCAGTACAGGAAATTTAAGGACAGCCTACATAGCCCTTTTTTTCCCTTGGGCACGTCAGCACCGAACATCTCTGAGGAATCGACGAATGGCGCTCAGCCGCTGGATTGCATAGGGGGATTCGTTGCTTGGAGGGTGCCTACATATCCTACATTAGCCATGAAACTCAAAATGAAAATAGATAATATAAATAATACATACATAAAAACCTGGTCAACCCAAACATCCAGGCCCTCCCCATATTTGTTTTCTGTCTGGAACGCCGGGAACCTTGGCTAGAAAAATAGGCAAAACCTGTCCTCCGCCGTGCGCTTGAGGCTCGTCCGAAGGAGATGATACAAGGCGAATGGAATCCCGTCCCTTGGCGAAAGGGTATTGAAAATCCATGAAAATCATCCCACCCTCCTTTTAAATGACATGGTGGGAAAGTCCACATTTAATAGGGGGATGACATTATTTTCCACATTTCAAAAATTCTATGGTCTGAAATGTGGAATTTCCCCTACATCCACCAAGGTGACATTGTTTCGGGTGTTTCATATTAGGGAGAAGGTATTTTTTGCCATTTATGGATGATTTACATATTAGAATCATATCAGAAATGACCATTTTCCATGCCCCTGTCAAAGAAGCGGATGGTAACTGGTTGACTAACCAGCAAATTGGGAATCTAATTGATCATAACATATCATAACTGATCCAATCAACCAACCCGCTGAAGGGGGCTATCGTTGACACAGTGCTAAACACCTAGTTTTAGCAGATACTCGTAGAGGGGGATTAAGTTTAAACTCGTAATTCCGATTTCTTTGTTTGTTGGGGTAACCCCCTAGTTTTCACCAACAGAGGAAAGATGAATCTGGGGATATGCGGGATCGACATTATCTACATATATATATATATATATAGACATACATATACATACATAATCATATAATCATATAATCATATATATATATATATTCAAATTTGAACTGGTTGATGAACAATGACCTTGGGGATCTAATTGATCCAATCAACCAACCTAAGGGGGTATAGTAGGCATTTGATGAAGGTTCAGTATCAATAGATGGGATTCATGGCGCTACAGCAACGCCTGGGGCTTTGCCCAGGCTTTGCAGCGTAGAGGGTCCCCATTCCCAATCAAATGTGGTTGCAACTCTGCATTCCATTGGGAAGATCAACAAAGGTATTAGGGAATATTAAAATCCCACCCCCCCTTTAAACTTTACATTCATTGACGATCTTCAATAAGGGAATAATTCTCCCACCCTCGTTAAACTTTACATTCATTGAAGATCTTCAATAAGGGTTTAATTCTCCCACCCCCGTTAAACTTCTACATTCATTGAAGATCTTCAATAAGGGTTTAATTCAACCACCCCCGTTAAACTTCTACATTCATTGAAGATCTTCAATAAGGGTTTTATTCTCCCACCCCCGTTAAACTTCTACATTCATTGAAGATCTTCAATAAGGGTTTGATGATGATGATGATGATGATTATGATGATGACGACGACGACGACGACAACGACGACGACGACGACGATGATGATGATGATGATGCGTTACCTGTCGTGGTTGCGGTTCCGGGCAAAGCCCAGGTATTTGCCGTGTAATTATATTAAATATACATATCCTATCATCTCATTTACCAAATCAAATCCCAATTCAAAAAGCAATTGCTGTCAAGGTTCTACGCTCCGGAAATCACCGAAATCACCATCAATGTTAACAGGCTAACAGGCAACTCTTCGAACTAAATTAAATGGGCCATCGATGCCATAGCAAACTGTTAGTCATTACCAGGGGGTACAAGAACTCATACGGAAGTGACAATCCTTGTGAGTGTTCTTGTTAGAATGCAATGATGGGCTGGCCTAAAATACTGCAAAATCACGATGGACCCAATCTTAATTCATGGCCCTCAGGCTGGCAATGTACCAGTTTCATCCAGTTTCCATCTCCATCATGGAAGCCATGGCCATTCATGGCCCATCTCGATGCAAGGTATCTTGGGAGTGCGTGTGCCTATGACTTCGGAACCCTTTCATCCGCACGGCGCCTTTCGAATTTGCTGGGATTTGTCAGCGTGCCGTGGATGAAAACTGCTGGGCCACGGGAGGGTATTTCTTTGATCTCAAAGCAGTTAGCACATGGTGGATTTAGCAATGAGATATGATGTGATATGATGGTATATCTGAGTTAATGACCAATGGTTTTTGGGCAACCTAACACTTTGCTATGGTATAGATGGCCCGTTCGAAGTTCGTTCAGTTTTTGCCTATTTCACACACACACATATATATATATATATATATTGATGGTGAATTTCCATATAGCTATGTCAAATTGCCAGAATATAGATATACACATAACATCACATAACCTAGTTGGCAACATCCCCGAAATTACAAGTTGGTGATGATGGTTAATGATATTTGAGGGCACGGCACGTTTCATATCGCCCCAACCCGCAGACCCGCCGGTCGGCCGGATGCCCGTTGCCAGAATGGTGTTGATCTTCGGAGACACGGTGCTGCTACCCCTGGCCTTGGCATGGGATGTGTCCATGGGTGTGGACAATCTCTTCAGTCCCTCAGCCTTCGAGAATTTTTGAAGGGGACATCCCCCAATGTCAGTATAATGTATACTAATATCATAACCCATATGGATTCATGGTTTATACCACCCATAACAAGGGTAAATTTGGGGATGGTATATAGATATTATGTCTTTACTAACATGATTTTCAATGACAAAATTCTTAATGATTTTTTACAGATTGAATTGAAGTGGGATGCGCTATGGTCATCAAAACTGCTATGGGAAAACAACGAATCTTCTTTCTGCTACAATTTGTGAAGTTGTGAGTGGCGCATTGGACCTCATGTTCTGCAGCGAATATCAGCGGAATAGTCCCTTGCCAAGTTTCCCTCAAAGGTGGATCCCATTGCAAATTTTCCCAGCGGAAAGTCCGGCAGGGGGTTAAAAAAAAGTTATGGCAAGCTTCAACCATGGGACTCCATCATGGGACCCTCAAGATACACCTGGTATATGATGGTATACATAGATTCACGTGCATGTCGTGTAGCTTTTTAAACATGATGCCACCGGCTTCAAGAATTCCTTCTGACTCCAACCCCTTTTTCACAGCGCAACCAGCCGATGTCCGGATTTCAACCAGGTTCTGTCCTGCTGTGCAGTTTCTGGCTTAGCTTGACTTTTTGGACCTTAGATTTGCTCATCAATTTGCATCCTGGCTGAAGGGAAGGGCCTGGGAGGAACTCGCCAGCCAGGCGGAGCTTCTTCCTGGTGAAACAAGCTCCGGTTTGGTGCGTTTTCAAAGGTCAAAAAATACACAAGGAATTTATGTTAGACCGCCTCAATTCAGCTTGGTGAATTAAAGGTTAGTAATTTGTCATAGTTATTTTATTGTATTATATATTATATACTGTATATAAATCTATCTATCTATCTATCTATCTATCTATTTATCCATCCATCCATCCATCTATCTATCTATCCATCTATCTATCTATCCATCTATCTATCTAATCTAATCTAATCTAACCTAATCTAATCTAATCTAATCTAATCTAACTAATCTATCTATCTAATCTATCTAATCTATCTAATCTATCTAATCTATCTAATCTATATTATCTACCTTATCTATCTTATCTATCTTATCTATCTTATCTATCTTATCTATCTTATCTATCTTATCTATCTTATCTATCTATCTGTCTATCTGTCTATCTGTCTATCTGTCTATCTATCTATCTATCAATCAAACAAATCAATCAATAAATCAATCAACCAATCAATCAATCAATCAACCAATCAATCAATCAATCAATCAATCAATCAAATCAATCTAATCAATCTAATCAATCTAATCAACCTAATCAATCTAATCAATCTAATCTATCTAATCTATCTAATCTATCTAATCTATCTAATCCATCTATCTATCTATCTACCTATCTATCTACTGTAGTAGTAGGATTCTACCTTTTGGGGTTGCTATAGTTTCTAGGTTGTGGCCACTGCAAAATCACTTGCCTACTGTCATTGCTGTTGGCAAAGGGTACAACGCCTTGCCTTTGATCTGCCCAACGTTCAAAAGCATCCCAACACCAGGCAAAATTTGTGGTATCTTTGGATTACCCCTAAGATGTGTGTTTCCTGAAATGCGACGACCCCAAGATCATCCAAAATTGACCATGTTTACCCATGGTTTTGGGGGACATTATGGTGGAGAAACACCCACAATGATTGTACTGGTAGGGGGAAGCATGCGATAAACCATGACGAACCATGATGAACCATGATAAACCATGGTAAACCACGGTAAACCATGATAAACTAGAGGTTTTTGATGGTTTTTGATGGTTTTTTATGGTTTTTTGCGGGGTCTAAATTCAGACTCGGCCCATAACCGAGGAACACGGCTGTATATCGAAAAGGCGCGTTGGTGGTAAGCCGGTCGCGCATTCTTCTGAGCCCCGTGGCGATTAGATTTGGGCAGTGGCCAGATGTGCTTCGAAATGGGCTGATTAGCCAACCAAGATCGCATGTAATAATCTGTGCCATTGCTATCCATGATGTTAATACAATAATATGCACTATACTATTTGTTCATATCCATTGATGCCAAGTAATTAATTCGGATGAAATTCCATTGCCAACATAGGGACTCCCAACAATCGCGAGATGACTGACCATAATCGAATTGAATGTACCCGTACCATGTTCTGACTGTGGTAGATGTGATGCAAAATCAGATTGCTGCAATTGATCGAATGGTGGAATGGTATTGCTGTCCTGATCTATCGCATTTTGTATCATGATTGGCCGGTGGTTTTCAACATGTTTTACATAAGAAATGGATATTGACCCCCTAGGACTTTCCTATCGGTCAGACCACTTGAAATTACCCAGCAGATCAACTGTGCAGGGGAACTCAGCTTGTCTCGCTTCCTTTCTGAAGTCCTCCTAGATGATGTAAACTGAAGCTGTTGTTCCCATTCAACTCTTACTTGGCTCATCAGAAGCTCACTTTTTTCCAAATGTCCATAGGCAAACCGGGGCAAACGTACTGCAGGTTCTAGTTGCATATCTATGTCTATAGAAATTACAATGTTATGTCCCTCTTGACCTTTCCAACAATCAGCCCTCAATATACCGTCGCCAACGGCCAAGGCTATGCCAAAGGCTGGCTCCTCTTCGACTGTCTCCTCTTGAGCTTTGATGTGGTCTATGTCAGCAGCCAGTCCGCGGTGTCCGGAGAGTTCCGCCTTTTGCGCGTGACCCGCATCTTGCGGTGCCTTGGAAGGTGTGGAAACGCGTGTTTTTTTTTCATGCCATAAGACACACACTAGACAAGATTGGATATATATATATATTATATTATATATACTTATATATATTATATTATATATATAATTACATATTATATTATACATATATAATTACATATTATGTATAATATTATATTATATATATATATATTATATTATATATATAAATATTGTTACGTACGTATTCATATGATGCTATGTAAATTTGTAGATCTAACCTGGGTATTGAACAGTTCTCATTCATGTTAGTCTATCTCGATATATCTCGATTGTAGATTGTGTCACGCCTGGAACCTGAGGCTCCTTCGCTTGCTTCGGATGTTGAAGCTGACCAAGGCCTGGAAAGGGAGGATGGGTGGATTAAGGGCTGGAAGTTGGTTCATGTTCCGGGTCTCAGCAACAAACCAAGTCTTCTTTTTCAGTGGAGATCATGATTTTACAAAATGGGGAGAGGATTGTGATGCTGCTTTGAAACACGTGCTCCCATTGTTCCCCTTCTCGGGGTTGAGAATATCACGTTTTGGCTGTGTAACGCTTGTGAAGATGCCACCAATCATACTGTGAGAAACACTATTTGCGATCTATCATCATTACCTGTTAATTTTTGGTCAACCATAACTATCAGGTTTCCTGATAACAACCGTTTAACACATGTTCTTTTTTTTTCCTGTGTGAACATCACCATTTCCCAATCAATCCATCAAAAGCGTCGATTTCCCATGGTCATATGTCATATATCTCAGTTGCAGATGATGTTCAATGTAATTTTCCCATATAACAACTAGTCAAATCACCAATGTTCACCTTTTCAGGATCATTCTCCCATATTAATAGCAGTAAAATCACCATTGGTTGGTGGTTTGGAACATTTTTTATTTTCCCCAATAGTTGGGATGATGATCCAATCTGACTAATATTTTTCAGAGGAGTTGAAACCACCAATTAGACCATGTTTACCAATGGTTTCCCCATGGTTTTCCCCCATTCTCCCATGCTCGAGCTTGCGCGTCTCCAGGTCAATAACATCATCGAGGAGAGTGCGGCCAATAGCGGGCGCCAGTGGGTCACGGTGGTCATTGCCATTATCAATACCACTGTGCCTCGGTTACTATCAGGGAGGTTTAAGCATGAAACATATTTGGGATCTATATTTTATATACATATATATATATATAACATTATATAACCATGAAACTGGGATTTACCCCAGTGAAATACATGGAAACATGATGAAACATGGAGGTATAATAGAAAATAATCAACAATTTGATATCTGGGCGTGTCTGAAAATGGAGTATACTATGTAAGCACACAGTATACCATCAAAAGGCTTACCGGGAATAAATCCATTATAATAAACCGATGGCTATTCAAAATAGGGTTTGAAGCCATGAGACCCATGGGAGAAATGGGGTACACACCAACAATTTGACGGGGATATATGGAATGGGGATATTGCACGCGGATATAATTGGGGTGCAATGAGGATATAATGGAATGTCCCCAACAATCTGTTGTGTGGGTGTGTCTGAAAATGAAGTTTACCACCAGATGGCCATGGGCCATGATACACCAATTTTCAGACAAACCCATTTCATTACTGGGAATATCAATCATTCGTGGTGAATTATGGTGGAGATATAGATATCTCCAGTTGGACTGTCAGTACCAGAGTGCCTGGGTGAAATCAGTGCTAGGCTTCGGGTTTGGCAGTTTGGCACTGGTCATAAACCCTTCATAAACCCCTAAGAAGCACATATTGTTGTCCTTGTTGAGGGGTCAGCATTGGAGGGGGGTTGGTTGTATGCCAAGGAACGGTAAACTAGGGTTTATGATGGTTTATGGCACACATCTACAGTTTGTTGGGTTCAAAGACACAAGCCGTCACAAGCGAAACTGGGGGGCACTACCTTGTACCCCCCGGTAATTTAACATAGCTATGGACAATTGCTCAGTTATAAATGATTCATGATTCATGATTTGAACATGGTTATGTTCCAACTTAACAGTTAGAACCAAAGGGCTTGCTGTTGGGCTTGCTGTTTCTGAGGTCTTCATGATTGTTTGCGTGCACTTGCTGACCTGTATGTGGTGGTGGGTGGGTCGTTCAATGAGTGGACCCGTGATCGAAGATCCCAGCCTCCTGGCGCCGGTGGTTTCTGGGAAAATCCAACGAACTACCATCTGGTTATGACTAACATAGCCATGGTATAGATGGCCCATAGAAATAGATGGTTTACCATGTTTACCTATTAAAAATGGTGATGTTCCATGGCTATGTTAAATAACCAGATGGTAAATGGATCTACCCTCTGGTAATTTAAAATAGCTATGGAAAATCACCATCTATAATAGGTAAATCAACGAACTAAATGGGCCATTTTCAATAGCAAACTGTTTAATTACCAGAGGGTAAATGGTGGATTGCCCAGCCGTGTTTGATCACCAGAAGTTCCGTGTTTTTTGTGTTTTAGGCAGGGTATCTAAGGTGAGCCACTAGATATGGAAGGTCGTTGGATGTCCAGTTTTGTAGGAACATCGAAGCCTGACCTCACCGACCTAACGATTAAAATAATAAGGGGAATCTGAATCATCCATTTTAAAGAGTTGATGAGTTCCAGCCTGGGACATATACCATTTACCCGGTTGCATACTGCAATCTGTATGTGTTGATATTTGTTGACATACGGTAGCGTAAATTCATGACATCGATACATAAATATATATTAATATATTTATTTATTATAAAATATATATATGTGTGTGTGTGTGCCTGTGTACAGTTTATATGTTCTGCAATAAAGACAAAGACAATGAATGTAAATCATTTGATCCTGGTGAAACTTGGTGAAACAACTTTGTTGATGATGTCATAATTATATAACCCCATGTATCCCTTGATCATATCCGTTATTCACTGGTGGAAACCTTTTTTTCATGGTTCAATTCACTTCCGCATAAATCATCATAAATCCCTAGTTTCTGGTTGAATCCCCATGTGTCTCGCTAGTTCCACCCCTGTGAAATGCCGTTGACGATGCTGTCAGGCTACGACAGCTGGGTGGTGAGGGCGGGGGCTCACATCGTGGATCACTGGGTCCAGTACTTGCATGCCATGCGTTGGATTGTTTCTCAGTCGAACTTTAGTGGTGCATGGAGGGAGCCCTTCGGAGCTATTGCAGGCTATGGGTATCATATTTTTTCCATATACATCACATTTTCTGGGGAATGCGCTACCAAAAGTTTCCTAACCACATGATAGGGCCATTGAAAACACCTTGCACAAATGGTATCAAATGGTAATTTAGCCACCAAACATATTGTGATTTAATCGTGAGTCTGGATGGTAGCCACAAACAATGAGTATATAAGTATATAAGTGATAGATTCACGTGTTCACGATTGTTGATGATTTATAAATATATACGGCCGTGAACAGTATATATATATATATATATATGGCACACCAATATATAGAAGATATGCCACCTTGTCATTGGTGTTAGTTGAGAGTATGGTGATATGTATGGTGGCATGGTGCCGGGGGATTCTTCATGGCTAATTTGGTGACGTCTTAGATGATCTTGGATGGCTTGGGATAGTTGGGATATGTTGGGATAGAAGTTGAAGATACATGGCGTACTTATGCAATTTTCACCAGATTTCCATCGAATTCTCGCAGTGTATTTGCTTCGTTGCCATGTTTGTTGTTGCTGTTGTGCTCAGTTTGCGAGTACAAAGCTTACTATATCGCTGAAAGCAAACGGGAGTTCTGATTATATCAAAAGAGTTATTTGGATAAAAACCGTGGGATACTTTAATAATTAATTACATTATAATTACTATAACATGTTGGTAAAACAATAATAAAACATCCCCCAAATCACCATAAATAGATGGTATACACCATTCCCAAATGGGTGGTTTATGGCATTGTTTTACCCACATTAACTAATATTAACTAATCTTTGGCCACAAATCTGGATACACGCATTCGCCATCAAAAACATATGTGTTGTCCGACTTTAGGAATCTGACCTCCAACGAACATAGCTGACATAGCTGACATAGCTATGCTATGGTTAAAATGGGCATGTTCCAGATGATTTGCCATTAAAAAACACCAAAAAAAAAACTCTCGACATTGGCTGTTTTCGCACTGTTAGAGATGACCTGAGGGGAATTGGAATTTGCAATTATTTTTCTTGTGAATTTTCTGCTGTTCGTTGAATCATGTCCCAACTTTGCCGATTAGAGCCAACTTCATGTCAACAAAAATATTTTTTATTATATCATAGTCATCCTTGAGTAGAACATGGCTCAGAACAATCTTAGAATGGATAATATTGATGTTTATAAATCCGACATTCTATCTAGTTCAGGATTCTCATATGTATTCCCTTTTTGGGTTTCTGCCCTCATGGTGTGTCGCGTTTTGAGGTGAATTCGCCATCACCACCAGATTTAGCAGCTGATAGTGGCTGGTACAACTGGTGGAGTTGGTGGTTCAACTCTAGGAATTCCTAAAAAGGTGCAGGATTTCGATCATCCACAGTACTTCAAATCTGATGGATTTTTTTGTTATAAAAAAATGAATGATGCTTGAGAAGATCCCAGATTTATATGTATAATGTATAATATATATAATATATATATATATATTGTATATACGTAGTTGCTGGGTAAGCATCAACCTGGTAACCCGACATCCTCACGAAAGTCACTAGGCATGTTGCCGACTATCGGCAGCCCCAGTCGTCACCATGGGTTAACCGACTTTGATGACTGGGGGACCCCCATGACTCAGGAAACCTCTGCATCTATTCTATACAGTGGTGATTAGATCAATAGGTATATAGTACAATATATATATATATCACAAATTATTGATAGGTATAATTTATTATTAGGTATATGTGAATAGATTAATGGTTTCTATATTATGGCACTTGAACATGCACAAAGGGTGTGATTGCCAGAGAGCATGATGGTGACTGTAGTGTTCAGCAATGAGTAGTTTTGCTAGCTGATGTTTCCCATAAAACACTCCTGGCAGGTGGTTGACGACAACAACTAGTACTATGGTCAAACCGTAGTCATGTGTTCGAACAGTGGCTTTCCTATATATTTTATCCTATGTTTGAAAGGTTGGCTCAACAACCCAACCACCAATCAGAAGGGTGGTATCTTCTTTCGGTGAATCTCCCACAATTGGAAGTTGGCTTATGCTCACCCATCCAACTGCGGATATCTTTGCCACAAGCCTCAGTTTAAATAAGGGTGGTGATGATCTTGATGGGTAGAACTGAATTATGGTTGGCTCCAGCACCAGTCAGAACTACATTAGCTAAGATAATTGCATTGACTATAGCATGTGACTAACTAGCAGCTAGCATTTTTCAGGCAACCACAAGCTGCTACCGACTTTCCTACTTTGCACTTAGATGTCGCCTGAAGTATAGCTCAGTGATTAGTGATTATATTCATTGATAGGTATACAATTAAAAATTATAATTATCCCAATGCAGTCCAATTACATCCCATTAATGGGAAGAAACCTATACATTTGATGAGTGCTGGCATGGCTTGTTTATACATGTTTATACTATATGCATTTGTTCTTTTTCGCTATGGAAATCCATTGGTGGAACATTCCCAGTTTCCGCCTCAATTTCCCCCACTGCCCCAGGCGGAGTCGAGAGAGGCTTTGACATCGTCGTCTCCGTCTTCGTCATTGCCGTCATCGGTGACCTGCTGTGAGAATCAGATTCATCGCACTATGCATGCTATGTATATATAGAATCTAGTATAACCAAATACAAAAAAATATCATATAACGATATATAAGTTAGCATATTAAATAACATAGTATTATACACATTATATATATATGTGTGTGTGATATATATATATATATATGTGTGTGTGTGTGTGTGATGTTTATGGATTTTTTGGATCATCGGATCATCTACCTCCTCCCCATCGAAGCCTCAGGTTCCGCGGTCTCCAAGATCTCCAGCACCCTGGCGGAGCTTCGGGCCATGAACGAAGCGCGCAACCGCCGCAGGCGCGAGGTGCGGCAGTATCTGAGCAGCGACTCGGTGCCCAGAGATGGCGGCCATGGGGAGCTAAACGGCGATTTTTTGTTGGATGTTTACTATGGATAGATATGGATAGATATGGATAGATATGGATAGATATGGATTGATATGGATAGATATGGATAGATATGGATTGAATGAGATTTGATCTAAGTTAAGTTGAAATCTGGAGCTTTCGATGGGTTACTTATGAGCTATTTACCATCTAAAATGAGGATAGAATTATATTTTTCATGTTTTAGAATGATATGTTTCATTCATGTATTTTTTCCTGGATTTTGTTGTTTTTGTGTTTTGTTTTCTGGAGCTTTTACTGGGGGAATCATCCCCAAGTGGCTGTTTTTCATGCTGGTTTAAACATCTATATTATGGGGGTAACATACAGATATAAACAATGATGATTTGATTGATTTATATACATCTACAGTACTTCCTAATTATCCAATTATTAGCAGGAATTAGAAGCCACAATTTTATCTCATGTTATATCCATGTTTTGGCTGGTGGTTTCAGATATTTATTGTTTTTCAACCTTACGAAATGGATGATTGATTGAAATGACGAGCATAATGTTGGGATGGGTTACAACCACCGACCATTTATACAGGATAGCTATCATTATCACATGCATTTGTTTGTTTGTTTGGTAATGGGCTATTGGTTATTATTGTTACTGTTACTGTTATGAGTCAGAGTTTGATATTAGTTATTGTTCAATTGATTTCGGTTATAGTGACACTTTTGTAATTTTGTTGTTGTTGTCGTCGTCATTGTGAATGATATTCACTCCGCGTTATTACTTATCGTTGTTTTGGGCATTGCAAAAGGTTATGATGATATAGATAATATTTGTTTAGTTTACAGTGGGAATAACTTGGTCGTGGTGGTGGCAGTGAGAGAACTGTGAGAAGTGAGAAGGTTAACCCAGAACATATGGGGATGTAAACATGCCAGCAAGTGATCCATCATTATAATGTACTGTGGACAAACAAATGATGAGGATGGAAGAAACATGAGGTAGCATAGGCGGCAAACTGATGGCATATATAATATAAGAGCTCCATTACTTTTTCGATGGATGATGATTTGGGGCCACGCTGCTGGGTTTCATAACTGGTGGTTTGGTGCTTTCTTGTTTTCAATTGTGTTCCCCCTTATTTGGGATTATGGCCGGATTGTGATTCCCACTGATTAGTGTTGGTTAGGGGGATTGAAAGCGTCAATTAATGTCAATTAGGTAAGGATCATTACCTATGGTCGGATTCCCTCTCGCCCAGTTGGGAAAGAGCAGAGGTTCCAGCAGGGCAGTCATGGCCTGCCAGCAAACATGATCACACATGACTCGCATGACCATGGAAGTGCCAAGCAGGAAATTCAGTTTTTCCCACAAAATATAGTTAACGGGACATTTTGCTCCGCAAACTGTTCCAGATTCCCGGAAGTTGTTGTGAACATTTGCCGACCCCCCAACATTCTTTTGTTTTTTTTGTGTTTATAGGTTTTCATCATATCATTTCATCTCATGTCATCTCAAAATATCTCAATGCGACTTAAAACTCATCCTCAAACTCAGGTCACAAGGATTTGTTGAAGATGTTTTTTTTGGTTTTTCCCATTGGTGAATCCTCTTTTGCGGAACCTACTAGGAGTTTGTTTCTTCCGGGGGGAGCAATTAAGCAAATCCAAGGTCAACACGTTTCTTTCGAGCTAGTCAGTCGCATAATGCGTTTCGTGGACTATCGACTCGAGAAGTTTTCCTCGACCCAGCCCCTTGGCCAAGGGATCCAAGGGCAGGTGACGGTGAAAGTTGTGGCTTGGTAGAAATGGCATTAGATGGTTAACTTGGCTTACAACTAGGTTGACTGTGGTTTATATTTATTTAAATGTTGAATAATATTAATACATTTGAATATTTATTTATGTACACATCATACATCTATGTATCTACAGTCAACGGGAGCTATAATCCAACTTATAAACTATGGGGCACCACCTTGTTTGGGATTCATTTTGAATTGGGGATGGGCTGGTGATGTTGGGTACTAACCTTGTATCGTTTCTGGAAGTACTTGACATCCACCTGATTTGTTTGCAGCACTGGGCGAGAAATGTCCAGAGTGTAGGTCAGTGGTTTGCTTGGGAATCATACGGAACTGCCAAAGACTGGGTTTTGGAAGGAGGTTTGGGGCTTCGATAATTTGGATATGGAAGGGATAGGCATATGCATCGATATGCACTTTCAGAGTGTAAAGAGGCTTTGCCTAGGACGTCACGCCCAATTAGTTCACGTTGCGGGTTCCCAAGTGTTGCGCCGGCTTCAGGACTGGGACAAGAATGGGGTGCAATGATGTGACATTTCAAAAAATCAGATTGAATCACCGGCGGACCTCCATTGTTCAACATGAAGTCATGGACACAAAAGAAACCCGGTCGAGCAGCCACTTCTGTGATGATATATTGTTTGCTCATCTAGGGGATTATTTGAAAATCGGGTGTGCATGTTGTCATGTTGTTTTTTCTTGCTGAGTTTGCCACATTAGATTTCCAAATTCATTGCTGCACAGTTCTTGAAACCTCACTGTTGAAGCGTGGTCTAATCCAGAAGTCCAAACCTTCTATCCCAGATCCATGGAAGACTACTCGCCTATGCTGCCTATGCTTGCCTACTTGCGAAGACGGATGGTAATGTTCCAATTATGGTTTGGCTAACGGTCCTTATTTAGATGTCCATATGCCATCCATTCAGGGTCCGGCGCGTCAAGGTTAGATACTTCGTTGATTTCACCCACCTTGCAATTGGAGCCGAGCCCGCGGGGAGAGTTGTTCGGCGGTGACAAACACAACACCAAATACGACTTGAAGCCTCCTGGGAGCCAACTTTAAATATTCTTTAAATCGGGGAAATGTAGTAGATGTGTGTTTTTCTCGTCAGGTAGGCAAAATCCAACAAAAATGAGTTCATATCCAGAAGGTACCTCTTGTATGTTAAATCTTGGAGTCTGGGGATAGTGTCTACCAATTATATTTCTCGTGTTTTGGGTGGGGTGGCTTTGAAACCTGAACAGACCATCTCTTTCCCCCAAGTGTTTACATCCCTCAAGCATAAATCAGCTCCTTCCCGCGGATATATCATGATATATATATAATATATATATACATATATATATATCCTTGAACCGATTCACTTGAATAATGGATTCGAACGTTGGATTCACCGGGAAAACATCTCCAATGATTGAGCCGCTCATTTGGGGCAGCCAGATGGTCATCCCAGATGGGGACGTCCTGGGACGTTTAACAAGTGCCAGCGTCAGGAGCTATATGTGGGGCAAAGAAGCAACTACGTTTTGGAGATGCCAATCTTCAAGCTTTTGACTGACTCTTGACTCATATGGATCCAAATTGGGGAGGCTGTTTTGAAAACTTGAAAACCACAATACTTGTGTTGTTTTCGTTGCTGTTTGTTTCCATATAGTTTCTTTATATTAATGTTGTTCGATGGGGGGTTGGGTCAGTCGCTTCGAAGCCAGGTGGACCATGGTGCCTGGGTTTTTGTCAAAGGCCTTACCAGATTTGGAGGTTTCCTAAGTCATGGGGCTACCTCTAAATCATTTGTTTGAATAGGAATTTCCATCAAATAAACCATCCAGCTATTGGATGCCATTGGGGTATCCCCATTTATCCCCATGTCTCATACCACCCTTTTGGCGGGAAATGATGATTCATCATCTACAAACATCTCAGCAGGACAGGTCCAATCGCGAGACGCCACGTCGATTCACTGCAGACCCGGGATCGGCGGAAGATGGTGGTAAAATGTTGCAAAATATTGAGAAAAAAAATCCTGGTTTAGCGGTTTACCATGGTTTGCCCATGGTTTTGCCGTGTTTTAGCTGCATTTTGTCTTCCAAAGATGACACATGATGACACTCAGGAGTGCTACCATGATGTCTTTGGTTCCTGGGCAGTTGGTGATGCGGTGCCATTGTTGGGAATCAAACTCAACAGCCAAACATTGGACAAATGAGATGGGAAGAAACCGTGGCTGAATTTAGTTGAGTCATGCATGTGATCAAACCATGAGTTTGCCTTCTTACTTCTAAAAAACTACTGAGGACTCGATAGCACCCTTATGTGGACTTTAAAGATTTTTGTGATGTACTCATATGTATTCATTTAACAGCATAAGGCTCTACATTCCTGATGGTTCAGTAAATCCTCAACTGTTATCCCATCATGTCCTGTTTTCCATTGGAACTCTCAGAGTTGCCTCCAGGCTCGGTCTGTGCGGCCCTTCAGAAGAACGTGAGCCACTCAGGGGAGTGGGGGGGGGATCCAATTCCCAAGCAGAACGTGTTCGGGGGGTTCCTAAGTCACTGGGGTACCCCCAACAGCTGGATGGTTTATATACGTATATATATATATATATATAATGGAAATTCCTTCTATAAATGGATGATTTGTGGGTAGCCCCATGACTTAGGAAACCTCCATATCAATCCATATCACAACAAGCCCCGCCACCCGAAACAGGTTGTGATTCTGAGCCTTATGTAGTAGGTTACCTGGCGCAACGTTTCCAGAAATTTGGATGAATTGGGAACAATTACCATGGAAACACTGTGTTCTTTTGGTGGCCAACAAATTGAACAGGATATTTTGGGTATGAGTGGGTGATTGTAAATTTTCCCATATAAGTTTAATATAGACAATAATATCCAACCCAATCATCCCAAACCAACTGAAACACAGGTCTACGAAAAGGGCGAGAACGTCTTCATCGCTGGCTCTTGGGTTTCTTGCCTCTACATCACCGCGACTGGACACTATGCCTACATCGAAGGCACAGCGCGGGATCTCATGTTTGCCGCCGAAAAGTCGAGTGGTGTCTTCAGATGCATGGATGGATTGTGACTACAGTACCCTTGTTAAGGAGGTCAAAAGATGATTTGTGTTACAGTAGGTGATAATTAGTAGATGTGTGAAAATTAGAAAGCAACCAAAACATGTACTAAAAAGACATTGGTTTGCTGGACAATCTCCACTTTATAATTATTTATGTATATATATATAGTTCGATGGTTGTCCCGCAGTTTCCCATTTAAATTTTCCCATTTTTGATGGGGATTTTCCAATCATCAGCGGAGCGCGCATCGGTCCAAGTCTGCAGGCTTTGATACGGACGGTGAAAGTCTGGAATTTTCGAAGACCAGGCTGCCGGAGCTGGAAATTTGATAACGCAGGTTTTTTCTGTCTTAAGTGACGGATTTTTTCGGCTACAGGCACCTATAGAACATTAGATGAAACTTCTTTGTTGGGCTGCTAGTTGACCATAAGATTCACCTGGGGCGCAGTGAGTCTTTTACATCCTGACGATTCGTCCATTGATTTGACACGTGTTCGACATTCTGTTGAGCTCGGCCTGACATTCTGTTGAGCTCGGCCTGACAAAACAAGACAGTACAAGACACAATCTCAAATTGTCATGGGTTACATGACATAACCGGCGTTACCAGTTATGGATTTTTAGAGCTATACTACCATCTTATCTATGGCATTCTATAGTTCAACCTCCACTTTTCGGGATGATGTTTAGAGAGTACCACGAGTTTGATCCAGATCAGCAATTCTTCCCAATGTGATGGGATGTCAAAACATTCAGGATTGGTATATATAGGTATATTTATATTTACATGCATACATATATTGCAAATATATTATTATTATTATTATTATAAATTTACCATAATATATCATATGTATGTATATCCATAGATCCCAGCTGCCCAGCTATTTTGCTGCTTAGCATTTCAATCTGATGACGGGGTGGGACCAATGCTTCAGGTGGTTTGGAGAACTGAGCCTCTACGCTGAGGGCACTCTGCACCAGCGCCTCGACGAAACCACTAGCGTCACCTATACGAAAGCACCAGCCTTCAATGCAAATTCTCCAACGAACATAGCCATCGAATTTGATACTTGTTGGTTGGTTGGTTGGTTGGCTGGCTGGCTGGTTGATTGGTTGGTTGGCTGGCTGGCTGACTGGTTGGTTGGAGAATTATCTTAACGATCCATTTTTTCCATCTTAAAGATCCATGATACATGTAACATCATGTAACATTATGTAACCATATCTTAAAGATCCATCCATGGACCATGCCGTTGGACCTCGCAACGCCGTTGCAAGGTCCACGTTGATCGCGGAGAGCTTCGCGGAGACCTTCACTTTGACCGGTCAGGACCTGGCCGAGTGCGTGAAGCAAAGCCGTGGCTGTCGCTGGGACGACCATTGCTGATGGTGAAGGAAAATGATGATCCTTAAGTTGGGATTCTTAAAAAAAAACATGTAGCGGGGAATGGAGGATAATGGGGATAGAACTTATCCGGGATATTCCGGGATAGATATATCCGGGATATTGTGGAGATATGATGGGGATATGCTGGTGGTATGATGGGGATACAAGCAACAATCTGATACATGATATGGGTTTGCCTGAAAATGGCGTACCGCCAAATCACTAAATCCACTGGTCTAGAATCTCATGTTCCCTATCAAGAGACGTTTGTTATTTTGCGATATTCTGGGCTATACGGCTATACCCAATTTTCAAACGGACCCTTATACTGTAGATCCCCGGAGAAGTATGGATCAATTGAAGTTTGTTTGGACAAAAAAAAGGCTGTTTGGATTCGATGGGTTTGTACCAAGGTATGCCATGTTGATTTAGTGGGCAACGCCTCATCACCTTCAATATTGAACTTAAATTAATCAGGGTTTATTCAATCCGAGCTTAACAATGCCATGCAGTGTCCCAAGAAACCTACTTTGACGTGGAGAATCTTCATTAATTTTATGACAGATCTTCAGATTGGCGTTGATCCAGAATTGAATTGAAGCTGTTTTAGCCAGCTCGCCATGAGAAAACATGTCTTTTGGAGGTTTTGAGTCTTGATCCGGAGATTGTTTGTGTTCTCCTGCATCAAGCCAGTTGTGAATGGGACGTGGGCGGAGTGATTTTGCGCCATTTTAGGACGTTTCATATTCCGCTTTAGAGGCATTTTTTGGAGGGTAAGAGCGATCAAAAACTAGAAATGATGGCCTCAGTTTAGCAGGTTTCGGTCCTTGCTGAGAAGGCTTCTATCATCTGAGGTATGTCCATGTTTTGCGACTATGCCAAGGCGGAGTGAGGGTGGAAGGGTAATTAGCATCAGAAGATTTACATATCTGGGTATATCAACAAAGCTGCTTTGACAATTGTCATATCTATTCTTGATTCTTTTGAGGTCTAGCATTCTGGGAATGGGCTGCGAGGGAGTTCGATCCCACTTTCTAAAACTCTGCGCAGGATCTGTTTGCCATTATGCGCACTAGATGCCTCCAAATATGCAGGTGGTGACTGGGAACCATACAGTATACAGCCGGCACAGAACTTGCAACAGAACCAGCAAAGTTCGATCGTTGGCATATAAGAGCCGTGCATATGGAAGGGTTGTGAGTTTGTCTGAAAATGGGGTGCCCGCAAATTTGATGATATTTGATGGTTGATCACAACTTTCCCTATTAAATTGTTCCTTTCTGGGTATTTGTTGTATAGCCCATATGTAGAGACACATCCATGTATATCCATGTTTCCGCATGATAAACCCACGGATTTCCACAGTGTGTGCGGCATGACCTCAGGACTTTGTAGCGGCCATGCAGGGTACTGCCAGCAAATGTGGTGATGAGGATCAAGTTCCCTGGCAAAGAATTCCGACAAAGGACGTTGCAGGCAATGAATATACACACCCCAAGGGATTGTCATTTTTCTTGTGCTTGAAGCTATGTGTTATGATGTGTTATGTATTTCAAGTTGTTGCAATGTAATATTTATAAACGCGTATCTATGCCTTTAATACACCTGTATAATTACTTGTACATGTTTACAATGATTCGGCCTCGATGTGCTATACATGGATATTCATTGGTTACAATTTTCTTTCCAGGGCAGATTTTGGTTTGATTTCTGACCATTTTCTGTAGATTTGTCCATTTCAAAATAACAATTACCATTTCAAGAAAAAACTTACCACTTCATGTTTTCATTTTTGAGTCATGATGAATCTGCCCGGGTATTTCCGCCCTTATCCCGGGAATTTCCGCCCAGAAAAATCGACACATTTTTACTATACGCAAAGTAGAGTAAGATCAGCCCAAAAGGTACGAAATCCAAAATTGACCACAGTAGTCAAAAAATGACCATTTCCAGCTCCTTCACAAGAAATCCGCCCTAAGGGCAGAAATCTTGCAAACGGACAATTATTTGTGTCCTTTCGAAGATCCAGGTATATATAAACATATGCAGCATATATTATGTACATATTTATGTATGTATATATATATATTATATATGTATGTGTGTTATCTCGCAAAATCAGGATGCCCGGAAACAAGATGGGAGGGGCATTCCCTTGACCCAAGTATCGGCATCGTCCTTGTCGCTGTGGGCTGCCGCGAAGACTTGAGCGAAGAACAATCCTTCGAATATTTAGGGGTTTCTATAAATGGGTGGTTGGGTGGTACCTCCAATACCTGGTGTACAATGGAAAATCCATCTATAAATGGATGATAAATGGGGGTAATTCCATTTTAGGAAACCTCCATTTAGGTACTTCTACATTTTTGATCCCCTCCTTGAGTATGTTTATCGTGCTGCGTGCCTGTAGGGACGTTTTTTTTTGTAGGATGATGTGTACAGTACATGTATATCGATACTAAGATATCAAATATGTATGATATATGATTTACTGTTTTTGTTTAAACTATTATTGGGATATGTTTAAGTTTGTTACAACGTTGGTTCCGAGCACGTGACAAACCCGGGATTTACCTCCTCCCAAGCAACAGTTTGACCCTGATAATTGCCACTTTTCGGAGTAATGTAGTCCTCCAACCTATGAAGGCAGGCGTGTCATATTAATCAATCTTAGGGATGGTAGATAGCTAGATAACTAATTAGATAGCTAGATAGCTAGACATCCAGATAGATAGATAGATAGATAGATAGATAGATGTAGACTGTAGATTAGATATGTGTGGATATATCAAAACATATGTGGATATATATATATATATATTTATATGTTATGTTATATGTGTGTATCACTAAGGTTCATGTGGCGGCGGAGTGTTGCAGGAAGAATCAGCACTACCAGGAGCTTCATGGGGTGAGCATGCATTTCTGCCATCAGAAGGTTAGTCTAATGATAGCTAGGTTGGTTTAGAATAATGGTTTCTAAATAACTAGGTAGATTCACCATGGTTTATGGTAGGTACATCTATTGTCAATGGTAATTTCAACCCCGAAATAATAACCTGCCGTTGATCAATTTGGGGAGCAGCCCCAAAAACTGACGATTTGCTACCAAGATGTATCCCCCACTTAAACGCACATGGGGGTTTATATATCCAGATTTTGACTTTACATACATGTACCACCATTTTCATTCATTTTCCAGATCTAAATGGTCACTAATGTGGAATTCACTATAAACATCCATAAGCCGCCCCGAATTATCATCGGTAACAGGGGACTTTTGTCTCAACCATCGCACGTAAGATTACTATACCCTATTTTATACACTCACTACATCACTACGATTGCAGTGTTTGCAGCTTGCGACTGTGGATTGCGCATTATAGGAGGGTAGACTTTGATATAACTCATTTTATACCACTGATCCATGGACGCAGGATTGGAAAGTCTCTTAAGACTTAAGACTGGAGAAGAAAAAAGACGGTCGACCCTCAATAATGTTGCCGCCCCATAGTGGAGCTTTTTTCAGTAAATGCCAAGATGCAGGGAAAGTGATGATGACCGTGTAATCCAACAACTACGGCCAGTTAATGGGAGTAGGACTAGGATATATTATGATTCATGATAAACCGGTTGAATTGGCAGCAGCCTAATTTCAGACAAAGCCATATGTTTTTTTTGGAGATTCAAGAGATGATGCTCCTGACTCTTCTATCCTGAGTGAAACCATCAGCCAGGAGATTTCAAGCATTTGTTTTCACAGGTCAATCAATCGATCTCCTTTAAAAGTCCCAATTGGAGTCTCATTTCTTGAGGGGTCCTCAAATTTCCCCACATGGTATCTAAGCCTTTTGGCATGCCACCCAAAAGGCGACGGTCTGGGTTTGCGTCAAGATTGGGCGCCTCAAATTGTATCTTTCGCTACTCACAGTTGGTGTTTGCAGAGGAAACATATACGAAAACTTTAACACCCATTGCACAACTACGGTAGTACCATGGGTGGTGAAGAATCACCAAATATTTTTTTCCACTTCGCACTTGGAGGGTGATCCATGATCAGTAAGCCCCCCTTCGAAAATAAAGTTACCCAAAACCCCAATTGTTTATCATCACTTTTCTTCTGGAATTTGCCACAAAATAGACGTAGACGTATACCCCGTTTTTCAGGTACACCTTACGCATCAGATGGTTGATTCTCTTCCTATTATATAATACAACATAATATATCATATATTCCACTATTATCATCCATTATATTTATTGATATACAGTATATCCCACTATATATATATAGTCTTGTAAATGCGATGATGTTCTCATTTGTGCCGATGATTTCTCATCGCCAGGAGCTGTATCCCGATCCGAAGACTCGGCTCCATAACATCCAAATCCCAACCACCAACAGTAACGGTGGAGATAGCGATGCTTGGCACAAAAAACAACAACGGGGCAGGTCGGAACGGTCGAGTTTCCATGGGAAACAATGGGGAAGAGATATGGGAAAGAATGGAGAAGAAATGCAGTCAGAGAATGCTGGACATATGTTGTCCAATGTTCTTCCAAGAAGCACATATAGCTATGAGAATGCTAGAGACCTAAACAGTAAAAGGATGTAATTTGACCATCGGAAATGAATGGTTGGAATTCAACCAATAAAGCTTTGGGGGTCAAGTGGGATTGGCCATTAGAAATATCGCCAAAAATGACTGGTGGCATTTGCTTTTTGAATCTTTTTGAGCCATACAGGACTGTTGGGGGTGCTTGGGACATTGGCGTCGCACATGGAACCCAGGAGAACCACCTCCACTATTGCACAGAAACACCGTCCAACCCCAGGATGCCAAATACAACTTTGGGGTGTTTAGTAGACATCGTTTTTTTTTTTTGTGTGTGTGTGTTTTTTTCCCACAACCTTTTTTTTGGGAGGGAATACTACCAAATGCAACATGTTATATATAACATATACCACATGTTTTTTTCATATAATAAATATCATGAATCATGAATATATACTTATGCATACAATACCACAGTCTATAAATGCAGGGTGTTCGGCGGTAGCAATGCGGCTTTTTTTCACAGGGAGAATACATCATACTTATCAAAGCTCGTTTTGCTGATGGTTTGTGACCAATGGTTAATACCCCAAGAACATATGAATTAACATTTATGGGAATTCCAGGATCCTAAACTGCAGGTATTCTACCGTATAAGGCTTAATATAAGGCCATATTTTATGGGCATATTCCCTGAAATGTAGCCCTGAATCAATATGTTGTGGGCAAAAAAAAGGCAGCCCAGGATTCGCCACAAGTCGCCAGGATCGGAGCCAAGAACTGATGCCATGGGTCGGAGCCCAAGAGTTTTTTGTTCGGGGAGGGTGCTTAAAATAGAAGACCCCAAGTCACCATGGGTGTCAAGATGTGTCAATATTCAAATTGGTCTAATTTCGGATTTGGGGATACCCCCATTTCAGGAAGCTTTCGTATACCCTGGATATAATATATGTATATATGGGCGTTTCCTGGAATTGGGGAGCCCGCAAACTGGATGGTTTATAATGGAACATCCTATCTATCAACATGGATGATTTCGGGATACCCATATTCTACGAAACCTCCATATGCACACTTGGATACATATATATATATATACATACATACTATAGGAAAGTATTATCAATCTGAGACACACACACACATATATATATTATATACATTATGGATCTAATACTATGATAGTATATACTATGGAATATACTGTGGTTGCGAAATCCTGCAAGAGTTGGTAACTATTGGGATTCGAATGGGGTAAAGCATCAAGATTTGTAGGTGAACACGGTGAAGTAAGGGAGTTCCCCTTGACTCATTCAAACGAGGCAATGTTAATTAAAACGCTTCCTGTACATGGAGATAGGTGGCGAAAAGTGGGGGACCATGTTTGATTATCCGATAGTTCATTTGTGGATGGAATCCCTGTCAGGATTTGAGACTTTGATTATGTTTCACCGCACCAAGAAAAAGGCGTAATACCATGAAAAGAGAGCCGTTCGGCATTTTGATAGACAGACAGGGTAGATTTACGCATCACGGATGTGCCAGGAATGAAGAACTCATGAGAAATCAATCACTATGGTTACAGGTCAACTTTGTTTTACCCCTAAGCAGGCTCGATGGATAGCTTTTGAGTCGCCTGACAGTAGTAGACTCAGCGCTTAGATTCTTAGATTCTGGGAGGGGCGCCAAGTCTGCCACTTATTCAATGATATTTATTGAATCCTTCTCTGGCTGGTGGTTTCAAATAGTTGTCTGTTTCTTGGTGGTTTAACGATAAAAAAGTGGTGATAAGATGGGTGTAAAACAGGGATGTAGTGGGTATGATATCAAATCATGAACTGGCTTAGTCGTTTAAACTATGTTTTTCTTCAACCATAGAAATGAGATTATTCTCCCCAATGATCCCCAAAAACCCTTTATATACATATACTAGACCCTACTGATCTAGGGTCTTTGCTCTCCTGATTTTCAGCGGTTTTAAAACCAGCGATTTTCCCCAAGTCCCGTATGATTGCTCCCAAGGTGTTGCACATGTCGTTCAACTCATGTGATTCCGGGGTCCCTGGGTGCACCAAGGAGGGCGACAATCTTGAACAAGGGGCACCTTGAGTGGCACTCTGGGTGCGACCTGGGCCTTAGTGAATGGTATTATAACCCCGGAATCCCTCCAGGAAGCCAAATTCAGGATTTATTTTTTTATTCAGGATTTATTTTTTAATGATTTTAATATGGTTTTGATATGATTTGAAGATATGAATTTGATACGCTTTGAGTTTGGGGTTATGAATTTAATATGGTTTTGTTATGTCTTTATGGTTTGGGTTGTGGTTTAGATATGGTTTTGGATATATGATTTTGATATGGTTTTGATATGGTTTGGGAACGGAGCGCCTTTTTCAGGGTTCCCCATGGGTTGGCTTCAAGAAAGGAAACAGAAACAGCCCCGGGACAGGCTTTTGCTCGATTTCTCGAGGGTTTTTGTGGTTTTAATATGATTTTGATAAGGTTTTGATATGGTTTTGATGCGATTTTGATATGATTTTGATACGATTTTGATATGATTTTTGATGTGATTTTGATATGGTTCCGGTGGGTTGGTTTCAAAAAAGGAAACATTCAAAAACCAGGGACATGCTTTTGGTCAATTTCTCGATGGTTTTTGTGGTTTTGATATGATTTTGATACTGTTTTGATACGATCGTGAGGGTGAAGTTGTGTTTTCCCAAGTTGAGCCCCAACCATTGAGGAATTCGCATTTCCCAACCTAAAGCAAGCCAATCAGGTGCACAGGATACCACATGCGCAAATGAAACCCCATCCAAATCACAGTTTTGACCCACATCAAGAAACATATCTGAATCCATATCGAAATCACAACTGAAACCGTATCAAATTCAACTGCAAAACCAGGCCAGAAACAAAACATAACAACAAATATATCAAACTCATTAAAACATGAAAATCCTCCATCCTAGAGACTTCCGATGTTATAAGAATGGTAGGTATGCGCGGGATCTAAGAGTAGGGCAAGAGCCTATGGTTTGCCCGGAACTGGAAATGGTGTTGATGATGATGATGAAGCTGGCTCGGGCAACTGTTCCATGGAGATGTTTTTTTTTTTTAATGTTGTTTTCTTATGGAAACCCCTAAATGCAGCCCTAATTGCGGTATGGTTATTTGTTACATGGGGGCAGATTGTTATATCTTATGTAGACCCTAAATGAAACCCTAATTGCGGTATGGTTACTATAATTGTTCCATGGGGCGTGGAAAATATTATGTTTTATGTGTTCGCATGCAACCTAATAGGGGTACAGTTCTCTTGCAAGCCGCAGTGCCATGGTCAACTTCGTCAGCGCAATATCATCTCTTTTGTTTGATCTCATTGGAAATTCATTGGTTTTTACGCTATTCTGTTCGTGGGCAAACCACATGGTCCGCGCGTAAAATTAGCCATCGGCCATCGGCCATCGCCCACCTTGTAAATTAATTCAGTCAAACACAGCGACCCCCAATCGGTTTTGTTCAGCTCCTCATTGTTTTTCGAATGTGTTTGATGATGTTTGATGTGCGTTGTGTCCACCTGCCCCTTGGAAAGGTTATCCGCAATCATAGATGTCCTTTTCCCACTGGTTGATGAATAGATGGTAAATCTATATACAACCGGCGCACCAAGTCGGAATCATCGCCAATGGACCATAGAAAATGGAGGATGGATGGTACCCTAATGAAGTGGCCTCATCAAAGATAGACACGCCAAAATGGCCCAAAATGCAACGAAAAGTGTTTTGTCCTCCCGGCCGCTGATACACGCCAATTGTTTTCTTGGCCAAATCTTTGTCGTTTGCCTAGTTTGCTTCCTAAATCTTTGCTGAATCTTCAGTTTTGCTCACAGAAACCCTGTGGTTTGCTGCTTACATCCTTTAAATTTCCAAAAAAAATCCAAGAACTATCTATAAAACAGCCAGGACATACATTATAAAACGGCCAGGAAATACCTTAAAATCCCTCAAATTAAATCCCTGGGTTTTGTATCGTTTTTTGGTTGAAACAAGATTCAGCTGGGCGCACTGAGGATTCGAACACGCCTGGCAGGGCATCACGCAACGGCTCGAAGGAATCCATGGAATCAGCCACTTGGCCCGAAGGGCACGGAAATTCCCAGGGACCATCGGACCATCGGACCTTCGGACCATCCCCAACCCTGGATTTTGAGTATTTCAATCCTTCAGTTTGTTGCTAAAAATGAACAGCAACCATAAACAGCAAAAACAATATATAACTGTTGTGGACTAGCAACGATTGACATTGTGAGGACAAACGCCCGATAAAACTAACCTGGAAAATCATGGGGGATTCATGGGGTTTAACCATGGATTTAACATTAATGGAATAGATTCTAAAGATCCAGCATGTTCCCAAGTAAACGCTGTTGAGCCCACTCAAACCCACTCAATGTTTGTGTCAACAAATTGTTCATTCAATCCCCATAAGATCCCATTTCATCATCCCAAGCGAAATGAAATAATGTGAAAAAAAACGATATCATCCCATAAACAAATTACTTTACTTCGTGTGATCCCCACCATGACATTTATACATTTTGTTACTGGCAAATCTTCTGGCATTCTATCTGACATATTTTCTGGCATTCGATCTGGCATTCTATCTGGCATATCTTCTGGCATTCTACCCTTTGGTGATTCAAGAGTTGTAGGCCTGATGGGGTGCTTCAACTTTTTATAGTAATAGCCACGAGGTTTTTCTAAAAAAAAAGTTGCCTAGTTTTTGGCCATTTTTGTTCCCTTGTGTTTGGGGTATTTGGAGCCACCCTGCCCAATATTCCCGACTAATACCTCCTTGTTCCCATGTTCGTTTGGTGCTGGATCTATGTTTGGGGGATCATATGGGGGGCGCTTGATGTGGGGGAGAAGGGATTGTGAACAATTATCCTGAGGTAAACATATAGAAAGATATTGAAACAAAACAACATGAAACAACTTGGTTTCCCGGGGAATTATGTATCGTGATCTACAAATTGGTGGGTTCAGGATCTATGTGAATTCACTGGGGGCATATGGGTGTGTGTGAAAATGGGGTGCCCCCAATTCCAACTGATGATAATCATTTGTTGCACTTAGAAGTGCCTACGATGATTACCTGATTGTTGGACATGCCTACGTGTTGTTTAATGTACAGTACCCGCCATATGCCTTGCAACTAATTTAGCTCCAAGTGAATATCCATTTCCAGATGCTTTGAGGGAAGGTCTGCAGGGAGCACCTACATTTGGCGTAAGCATGATTCTCTCTGAACAGTACTACGCCACACTGTTGCTTGTGAAATCCCAGCATTTGACGGGCTAATTTTTTGGGTTGCATGCCGTTAGACGACGTGTACAATGTGTATCACAGTGTAATGGTTTGATGCAATGTACTGTAATGTAATGTGATGTAACGAATTGCAATGCAGGTTAATGCAATGTAACGCAAGGAAATGTACTGTAATGCCATTGTAATGTGACGTACTGCAATGTAATGTCTATTGTAATGTGACGTACTGCACTGTAATGTCTGTTGTAATGTGACGTACTGCAATGTAATGTCTGTTGCAATGTGGCGTAATGTGATGTAATGTGATGTAGTGTCATGTAATGTGATGTGATGTGATGCCATGTGATGGCATGCGTCTAGCTATGCCTGTCTAAGTTTATTTATTCGCGTTTTTTGGTTTTAAGGATGTTTTATATGCATAGTATTTGAAATATTCAAAATACATGTGGTATATATATATATATGTAAGTCATATCATATGTGTGCGCAAGGCGTAAAATCAACAAGGTGTCTAGGTGGTACAGCGCGAGCGTTATAAGAATGTTGGTTGCCGATGGCCAGGGTCCCTCAATTTCTGATCGGAAAGGCCCCACGTATTATATGTCAGTATATATGTACAATTATTCGGTCGAGGGTCCCTTAATGTCTTAGCAAGTTCTTAATGTAGTATTTCACAAGCAGTCAGATTTGAAGATGTAAGAGCGGGGTTGCCTCTGCGCAGCTCCTTTCGTGAGTTTGACTCCGCCATCCTTGCGCTGCTTCCCAGTGGCTCCTGGGCACAAAGGAACAGTTACCCAGTCTCCTCTACAGAAAGCTTTTACAAACGCATACATGATTAAGAAATTGAGGAGCTGGATTTCTTAGTTATGTATTGAGTTGAATCCTTACCCGGTGACGTCTCCTCTACACAAGGCTCTTATAAACCCTTACATGGTTAAGAAATGTTAAGAAATTGTAGTTATGTATTGAACTGAACCCTTACCCGGTGACGTCTCCTCTACACAAGGCAGCACAGGCAAGGCAAGGCAAGCCAAGGCAACAGAAGCCAAGGGTACAGATGACCTAGAGTGAGTCTGGCTGGTGTCTGGCTGAAGCTGTTGCCAGCAGTCTTGGTGACCATGTTGTGGTACGAACCTCGGTTGGTCCTCCCCCCTTGCTTGTCATTCCCAACCGTGCCGCAGTTGTGCAAAGTTCATCTTGGCGGGTATTTGGTTGCAAGGGAGGCTGGCCCCATTTCCCGCTACAAATGCAAAGAAAATTGGGCAGGGGCGCAAAGGGGCTCCTTCACATGCATCTAAATTTCTCAGCCTTTAAAATTTCAGGGTCCCTCAATTTCTTCACTTCCATTTGCATACATATATATACATATATATATATACATATATATATATTCCACAAAACATATATGCGGCAAAAAGACCATCCCCGCATTTTCTTATAGAAGGAATTCTTATACAGTGCCTGGGCTGTAGTTCACCGTCTCCACGGCCGAAAAAACAAATTGGCTGTCATCGTTGATCACCGTTGAAGCCCATTAAAATTGCCATTGATTTAGGGGCTGATATTTCTTTAACGTATGTATTCTTTAACCAGCCAAACATCAGATTGTTATATAGTTCTAAGTCTATTCCCATGAGCAATGAAAAATCACCAGTATCGTTGATTAGTATCACCGCAGTTTCCATTATTCATTGGTTAGTTAATCCCAATGATTCACGGTTTGAACCCACTAAATCCCATATATGTTATGCATTTATATTTGTATAATATATGTAAATCTTCTTTACAATATTAGGGATCGTTCATAAATAAATAAATAAATAAATAAATATATATATATATATATCATATATATTCAAATTTACATGTGCATGGGGACAGAGGGACTGTCTATTTGCATATATACACATTGGAGTCTTAGCAAAAAAGTATATATATATATATTTGTAACGTACTATAATATATATGTATATATATATATTGAATATATTTATTCACATTTATTTACAAATGTATATATGTTTATTATTATTTTATGTTTTTTTATTGATTATTACTATTGTTTTTGTTTTTCTGTTTAACCATACTATGATTGTTGATGTTATTATTGTATATTATATTTATGCATGTGATGTATTTAATTTCTTGTGTATGATTTTCGACATATTTCATTTCTATACATGTCCCTATGGTATATCAGTATCATATCACCATTCATTCTGCTGAACTATGTTGAAATCCGGAATCCGTACGTTTCATCGGGCCCCGTTTTCAGCCCCTACGCTTTCGCAGGTGAAAGAAGAGGAATTCCGAGAGCACGAGGGCGAACGGGCCCTGCGCCGCTCCTCCGCCACCAAACTGACGGATCCAGGCTGGGTGAGCGGCTTCCAATGTGGCTAGGATTCGACATGGACCCCTTCAAAACACAACATGTTTTACAGCCATTACAAAAAAAAAACTTATCAGAACCATTAAAAAGAATTGTAACCATATCCTGACCACCACAAAATGAGGAATAGCAGCATGTTGTTTAATCAAGGGGTGGCACATGTTTATTAATAGGGAAGGACCAACCCAAAGTAGTACTGCCATATTTTTTGGAATGTGGGTGTTGGTGAATTCGGGGATGATTATTAATATGAACTTAACATTATTTGAAGTATGGCAAGGGGTTAGCTGCTGAGTTTGAAGAAGTATCTGCATTGAGCCTGAACATTGCGAAGGCTGTATTTATCCCCCTCTGGGATGCTCGTGATTTAACAAATGTGCGACGACTTGTCCAAGAACATTGCCCTGCCTGGAAACTGGTCTCGAACGCTCACTTTGCTAGATATTTGAGATTCTTAGTCGGTCCCGCTGCTGATTCTCATCAATGGGATGCCCCTTCGCAAAAGTTTGTGGACAGGCTTTACACGTGGAGCGCCCTCACTGGTGGAAGTTTTCTCCGGTCGAAGATGTTTAAGACCTTTTCGTTACCCAGCTTGTCATTTGTCATGCGATTGGTTGACCTGCCTTCAAACATCAATTAAATCCAGAGTCTTTGTGTCAGGAAACTTTCCCCTGGACCGGGTAATTGGATCTCCATGCGTGACGCTCAACATCTCCAACGCAAATGGCACTTTCCAATCGAACTTGACGATTTCCACATTCTGTCCTTGGCCATTCGGGTTTGGACATGGCGCCAAGTAGGGGCACGATGTGAAGAAGCGGTTCGCGAATTAGATGGTGCTTTTGCCAATTGATGCCAATTGTCATTGTCCTTTTCCAACCTGGTTTTCTCTCAGTTTTTACCGTGTCCTTTGGAATGCTGTTTTGGAGGTTCGCTCTCGGGGTATTCTTGAAGGGTTTCTTTTACAAGCTTGTAACCAGTGCAGTCTCCAACAAGCTTTAGTAAAAACATTGAAACTGAAGAATGTGACGCCTTATTGCCCTATTCTTCGCTTAGAAGACAAATTTGACAGATGGCGTCTTTCGGAGCGAGGCGACATTGCTTGTCGCAGAGCCTTGCGATGTCTTCAGCACATCTCAAAACATTCACGCCCTGCAGTTGTCATCACAGTACTATTTTGCGCGTTTGGTTCAATGGCTGGCCAACCGCCCGTAGAATGCGAAACATGCCTTCCAATCAAGCAACTCAGAGATGCAACCTTGGTTGCCAACTTTGTGAAGATTCTATTGAACATTATTCGTGCTGCAGTGCTGCCGTATTTTTTGGAAATTTTGCTGCTCCCCCCTTCCCCATGGTTTGGGAATTGCTTCCAGGCACAGATCAAAGGAAAACTTTTTCATGGTGAATTACGATTTATGCGAGAACGATTTTCTGAAATTGGCTCGTGCAATTTCTTTTTCCGTTGGTGCATCACCCGTGGAGCCCTCCAGCAATCTCAATATTGATATTGACAAGGTGCTGATGCTTCTGGTTAAGCAGGCAGCTGCTGGTTTCAACGCTTCGATGGAAATTTTCGCGCCTTCCCGCAATGCTACCTTGTATGACATTGACACGCCTATCCTGTCACAACATGTCACAACTTGGAATCTGATTCTCCAACATCTTCAACGACTGAGAGGGAAACTATTGTTCAAGGAGTAATTTTGTCAGTTTGCTGGTGTGCCCAGCCCCCTTTGCGCTTTGCAGTTTTCTTGCTTTCATTCCCATGAAAAAATATAAGCAGTTGATTAGACTGCACGGTTTTCAATCATTTTGAATCGCCCTGACCCAGTTCAATCCAAGACGCATTCAGCTAGGCAACAAACCATGATCGATAGCTTGGATGGCCGTCCATGTGCTCGGATTCTCCCTTGCCCCTTTCAAGATCTCAGACGAATGAAATGTGTTTCAGTATATTCGGAGATACCCCAGGTCCGAACTACTTATACTATCCATGTTTCCACAACAAACCTTCACATAAAAACACAAAAAAATAGAAACCATCAATAAATCTCTTCAATCCGTTTTAAGACCTTTTTTTCGTCCACTCGTCGTCCAGTCCCCACCGAGCCAGGGCTTCTGGGTTGGCTTACGGCCTTGAGCGAATTGGATCAGAGCTTAGCCGCGAGACTTCAGGTGGGGTTTACAAAGCAGATTATAACTAGAGGGGCGCTACGCGCTACCTTGTACCTCAAAAAAATCATTTATCTAGAACACATCATATGCAATGTCAAGTCTGGTAATTGCCACCTTCTGCAATGATAGGTGCTAAAAGTAGATACACTCACTCCATTCGCTCAGTGCACTGCCGTCCTCCGGGATATCATTTCCTGTTCAGCAATTCTTCGTTGGATAGACTTCCAACATCCCAAAAGGCAGAAATCCAAGTCAAAATTGGACAGTGCGATACATTAAAAATCGAAGGTCGCTGCCCCAAAGAGTGGATGGTGGTTCACCACCATTGAGTCTTTGATTTCTTCTTTGGTGCTTTCAAAGGGATTTTGATCATTCTTGGGGGGTACCCTTTTACCCAGTCTTGGGGGGTACTCTTTAACAGCCCTCACAGCCGTGGGATCAAACATGTGATTTAGAACTTGCGTTAAAATGCTTCCAAATAACGGGAGTTCCTATAAAGTGGTGGACTCAAAAAAACGTTGGTTTCGATTTTGCTATTAAAATTTGCCAAATGGAGATGGGCCATCTATGAAATATATACACCTGTAATCACCTTTATAATTTATAATAATAATCTATAATGTCCTGTAATACCAACCGTATCATATACCTATATTGTTCACCACTGCATTCAAGGACTGAAGCCCCGTGGCCAGGAGCTTTTGCCGGAGTTGAATACCGAATTCTCCCCGCATATCGCATCTTAGCGGCTATGCCACCTGGGACCTGGTGATACCTGGTTCCGTGTTGTAGTGATGGCTAGGCTGTGGCGAATCCGATCTTTTGGGAACATGAAGGCTATGAGATCCTTGCAGCGGGTAAGCCAGGTAAGCATTGGCAAACTAGGCCAAGTTTGAATGGATGACTGGGTATATTTTAGTATATATATATATTACTATATATATATAACATATATATAATATATATATATAATAATAATAATTATTATATATATTTAATAGATATAATAGATATAATATATATATATATAATATATATATAACATATATATATAATATATATTATATTTATAACATTTAATGTATATATATAATATATAATATATAACATATAATTTATATATATATAATTTATATATATAGAATAATATTTAAATATATATATATATATAATCTTTTTAATGGATATAATATATATAATATACTATATATATATCATAACTATAATATATATAATAAATATATCATATATAGAATACATACAATATGTATCATATAAAAAATATAATATATTTATATTATTTGATGTTCATATATTATATACAATATATATATATGATGGTTATATATATATATTAAATATATATATATATCTAAATATCATATTTATATATAATATTTATCCATTTAAAATACATACAATACGTATAATAATATATATATATATATATTTTTTAATTTATTTAATTATTTATAATATAATATGTAATATATAATATATAATTTAAAATATGTAATATCTTATATTAATATATATACTATATATAATGCATATATTATAATATATATATATGCTATATAATATAATATATGTAATACATATAATATATGTGAAATATAGAATATATATTATATATTTAATATTTTATATATTTTATATATTATATATATTATTTAAATATAATATATATATATCTTATTTAATATATATATATATAAATATTTAATTATATATAATATATATACAATATATAATATACAAAATATATGTATAATTTAATATATATAAGATATTTAATATATATAACATATACAATATATATAATTTATATAATATATATAATATATAATATATATATAATATATATATAATATATTTAATTATATATAATTAAATATAATATTTATAACATATATAATATTTAATATATAATATATATAATATATTTAATTATATACAATATATATATATAATATAATATATAATATATATAATATATAATATATATAATATATATAATATATATATAACATATATAATGTATATAATTTACATAATATATATAATATATATAATATATATAATATATATTTTATATAATATGTTTAATTTTATTTAATTATATATAATATATATAATATATAATATATATATAATATATTTAATATATTTAATATATATAATATATTTAATATATATAACATATATCATATATATAATTTATATATATAATATATATATATATATGTAATATATAAATAGATATATTATTAAATATATAATATATAATATATATAAGATTTATAATATATAAGATATATATCTAATATATAAAATATATATATATATATATAATATATATATATATATTATAATATATATATATATATATATAATTTATTTATTGTACAATATATATATATATATTATGTATGTTGCTGTAATTGGTGGTTTTTGAGCCGCCCAAGGTGTTTTTTTGAACTCATCTATTCAATGGGGCCTTCTAGAAATTGCCACTGTTCCAGGCCGGACACACTCTGTAAGTGCGATTATCGGAGCTCATGGGCCGTACCCTCCTATCCAAATGACGTCTAAATTACGAAATCCAGTCTTTGGCGGTTCCATATGATTTTGAGGCTAAGTCTTAGGTAGAAAGCCTGCGATTGTTGCTTCAGATTGGGTGCACGCATCAGTTGTGACGCACAAGTAAGGTCTTCGAGCAGAATGCCGAACGGGACCGCGCCGAATCATCTTGCATAAGCACCTTGGCACCCGCAGTCTCGTGGTGACGGCAGCAGTGAGGGGGAACTATCCCCTAAATAACCAAACAGTGCTGTACGCAGACACCGGCAACGCCAGGAGATATTGTGGGACATTGAACTGGGATATGATCATTATATATTTTTTATTTATTATTATATATATATATATGATTATTGCCAGCTACCGAAAGGTATGAAAGAACGCGGCAACAGGCACAAGGGGGACACTCCTATACGGCGAGCATGTGTTCAACCAACCTAAACCTCGAAGATCTCTGGACTCGGAGTCTAGGTCTAGGAGCGTCTAGGTTCCAAGCGGAACAGACCGGAACGGCAATTTGAGTCATGTTTGGCTGGCTTCCATGCTGAGTTTCCTAGTTAATGTGAGTTTCCACATGTTTCCATTCTGGACTGAGGTATCATGTCGCTCTGGAAGGCCGGCGAAACGAGCGAAACGATGACTGAAACAGGGTTGGAAGCGATGATCTACTGGGGTGACTTCAAAAACTGTTCGGAAATCGGAAATCATCGAAATTCACCATGGAACGTTGGCATGACGTTCTGCCAGGATCGCTATGATATTTTTACGCAGCCACAAGCACCGAACGTGAAGCTCCGGCCGGAGTCACTTGGCGTCCAGGACTTTCGTTGATTCCCCACCTGCCAGGTGAGGGTTGTTAGATTTTATCAGAGCGCATGCCCGCCTCCTCCTCCTCCGCCTCCTCCTCCTCGACTAGCTGTCCTCCTCGCCCTCCTCCTCGCCTCCGCCTCTTCCACCTCCACTTCCGCCTTGCCAACCTTGCCAACTCGTCGCCAAGCTCTTCGCCAACTTCCCAGCTCAGTGCGCACTGCTGGAGTCAACCTGCGAGCTGCCCAGCTCAGTGTGCTGGACGTCAACCTGCGAGCTGCCCAGCTCAGCTGGACGTCAACCTGCGAGCTGCCCAGCTCAGTGTGCACCGCTGGACCTCAACCTGCGAGCTGCCCAGCTCAGTGTGCACCGCTGGACCTCAACCTGCGAGCTGCCCAGCTCAGTGTGCACCGCTGGACCTCAACCGGGGACCTGCCCAGCTCAGTGTGCACCGCTGGACCTCAACCGGGGACCTGCCCAGCTCAGTGTGCACCGCTGGACCTCAACAGCCAGATAGAATGCCAGATAGAATGCCAGAAGATATGCCAGAAGATATGCCAGATAGAATGCCAGATAGAATGCCAGAAGGTATGCCAGATAGAATGCCAGATCGAATGCCAGAAAATATGTCAGATAGAATGCCACAAGATATGCCAGATAGAATCCCAGAAGATTTGCCAAATAATATGCCAGAAGATATGCCAGATAGAATGCCAGAAGATATGTCAGATAGAATGCCAGAAGATTTGCCAGTAAGAAAATGTATAAATGTCATGGTGGGGATCACACGAAGTAAAGTAATTTCGTTGCTGGTTTTTGGATGGGGTCACCAAGAAGAACTGGAAGACCAACGACCAACATAGACCAACCCACAGTAACAACCAACCAGACTTGTTCTTTGCCAAGTGAACTATGATGTATTTGAAGCATGTTTAAACCATTGAAACCATTAGTCGACATTTTAAAGACCACAGAACGCCATTTTGCCAAGCGTTTTTTGGATGTTTTGGGAAGCTATTGGCCAATCATTAGTGTGGCTTCAGCCCTTGGGCCCTTGGGGCGTGGAGCACTAGTCACTGGGCGCTGAAGGCAGTGGCAAGAGCTTCAAGACCTGGTCAACTGGATCGACTCTCGGCGAGTTTGTCGCCATTTGTCACCAAAAGAGACGTTGGGCCCCAAGCAGTTTAGTAGACAATTTCGCACAATTTCAATGAGGATCAATTATATATACAGCATATATATATACATTATATTATATATTATAATTATGATATTTGGGGTTACTTTTTTTGTTGGAGTTGTGACATCTCCCAGTTCTATCCAATTTTATAGTGCTAGCAAATGCGTGCAATGTTCACCCACCTGCCTGCCTGCCTGCCTACGTGAAATACATACAAAAAATGAAATAAATGCATGCCTGTAGCCTCGTTCATGGCATTTTTTTTGTGCATTTGCAATTCGTATCACATTTCGAAAAACGATCACAAATTCCTAGAACATGCGAAATGCACAAATCTTTAGAATTTGCATGTTTTTTTTTCAGTTTTGCATGTTGCATGGCCCCTGCAAAACTATTTGGGCTAATCTTGACTCAACCAAAGTGGCTCGGGCCAAACACGTTTTTTTGGTCTAAGCCATACAATTGTTTTTCATGTTCATGGTAATTTGATGGAATTTGGATCACTTGGTCACCGTACCTGGCAATTGTCTCCTAGCTCACTTGCTTTGTATAAAAACCAGAAACTCGAACACTTTTAACTTGAGCACCTGCGGTCGAGTAGGAATTTCAGAATCAAACCCCGAACAAAAAAAATGATACAAATGGGGGTCCAGCTACACATACCTATATATGATAATATGCATATATAGATATATTAAATATATCCGTTGACTGGTATCTCTATGTTTTGGGCATATACATGCACCAGTATGTCAGGCATGTGTGAGTGCATTTGTACGCCAATTGGAACTGTGAATCCCCCAGTGCATTTGGAAGCCACTAATGTGGGTAAAAAAAACAACACCAAATCACCAGTTTTATAGTTAGCATCGTTACCATTCCCAAATGGGTGGTTTATATGTGGTTTATAGCATCGTTTTACCCACATTAGTTTCTTTTGACAACGCAAAGTGTTTCTTTTGGTTTCAAGAGATGGAGTTTACCCTAGCACAATGGGTTTGTAGCGATCCAGGCACCAAAGTTCCGTGGCTTCACCGTGTGAAGGAAACTAGACCCTCCAAAGCCATTTTGGTCTGAAAATGGGGCACCAATAAAAAAAACAGCATTTGATGATCTCAATGTCAATTTCATGGCCATTTGGGGTAAGCCTCATGTGTTCAGACATACTCACCTGTTCAGAGTTTTGAGATGTTGAAAGTGCTTCCAAATGCTGGTTGCTCCTGATCTTCTGGTTTCACCACCAAGTGCATAACTGCCGGAAACCAACGGGTATCCATTGGCAAGAAGCTTATTGTAAAACACCAGCAATGCATTAATTAAGAGGGTTGTCTTGGGTTGACCCCAAAATCCGAAATTGATGAACAGAATGAGTATCAACCATTGGATTCTAGAAGTGCCCCAATTTCTAGAACCCAAACGGCCTCATGTTCCAAAAGGTCCATTTGTTTTCCAAGATTTGTTGGTTGACCCCAAAAAATGCATGGTCCGCATGTTTTGTTTTCTCCTCCTCTAAACCTAAGCAACAAATACGGTGATTCCTTAGCTCCCAAGCTGGTGCTGCTTGACCCAGTCGTTGAGGATCCGGACCTGGAACAAATCCAAGCGGTTCTGGTGCCGCGGCCCTGAGATACAGGAGGGTGCCCCCCCAGTGATGTTTGTTGGTTTTTAAACCCCATGAAAACTAGTTATATAAGTTATAATTATATCATGTTATATATCTACTATAAAACCATATAGCGTTCAGTTGAGATAGAAGTGGCCCCATCCTGTACCCCACATGCTCATTGAAAATTATTGAAAATTCGCAGGGGTCTCTTGGTCCATTTGGTCCTTCTCAATGAACTCACAGTCACAGTTGGCATCTCGCAGCTCGATTTACAGACATGACCCGCCAATTTAGGATGTAAAACGGGTATTGAGCCAGGTTCTATGCCAAAAAAGTGATTGGAACACATTGTAAAACACTTACATACCATGACACACCAAGTTTTGAGTGCAAATATGTAATTAATTATGTTAAATGCCAACTACTAAACCACTATTTTTGCTGGTCAAATGGTCATTTTGGCCAGTGAAATCGTCTTGGCTAATAACTACCCTCCAGTAAATTAGAGGGCCGGTATGGTCTAGTGGATAAGACGCATCCCTCATGCGTCAGACCCGGGTTCAGTACCTGGGTGCAACACTAGGCGGACAGGCGGGCCACTACCCCACCCCTGCAGTTAAGGGGATGAACTAGGGTGTGGTCCGTAAAACCCTCACACCCTCCAGTAAATTAACATAGACCCTGAACATATTTGCTATCTAAAACTATTTGGCAGGGTCTATGTTAATTTACTGGACGGTATTCATCATTGTGTTCACCATTTTGCTTGTAACCAGCCTCCATGTTTGAGCCACCAGGTGCTTCTTGCCATCCGCGGTCTGGGGAAGTCGAAATCGGTCTTGCAGCAGATGCCGCGCGACAACCGACGCCCCGAAAAGGCGGTGCTGCATTTGATGGAGAGTCACTCAGCAAAATTCAGGTGACTTTAGGGACACGACTTTGTTAGTTTCATTCGATTCAACTGGCCAAAAGGTGTTTGAGCGTGTGTGTAATCGACAAAGATAAAGAAACGAATTTGTACTGGTACCACTTTGGGGTTTTCCGGCTGTACATGTTTATTTTTACGGAGTTTGCACGGGGTGTGATTTGACTAACCCAAGACAGGCTGCTTAAAGCAAGATCAGGGATTTAGGTTGTAAGACAGCGATTTGACAAAGGATACAAAGGAAACCCAAGAAAATTGAACAAAGTGATGATTTTTGTGGCAAAAAAGGGGCTTCATTAATTTGACCAACTGAGATTGATGTGGGTTGAAATGACAGACAAAGGGGGATTTGGCTGGCAACAATCATGGTGGTTAATTATGGGCAAAAACAGTGCTTTGCTGTCGTAATCCAACAAACATGGAACCAACAAAAACATGAGATGTAACACGTCAATGAAAAGGTCATGAATCAATAGAGTTCGAAGCCATATGTGGCAGTAAAAAACCCGAGGATATTGATATGATATCGCTACCAACAGGCTCGTGCACTGGTTTCAATCCTACGTCTTGTTCCAATATTTACTCAAGAAGATGATTCTGAACGGACTTGTGAGTTTAACCGCATCGTGTACTTTGTTCAAGACAAACATAGCAGTATATGGCAGTTATGGGCCTTAACAGCTGGTTATATAACTGGTGATATATGGCAAGTGCCATCTCCATGGCCCACGGCCCTCGGGCCCACCGTGAACTTGGTGGACACTGTTTGGTGGTCAACCCATCGGATTGATGACCGATGTTTGAAGAACCTATGGAGAGGGAGTGTGGTGGATGACATTGGATGACATTGGCTCGGACGAAGCCGACTAGTCCGTTAGTCTAACTTGATCTGACTGCACATATGGTGGGCTTTTCAATGCACTTAGTCTTGGGGATAGAGACGTCCAGGGCCTCAAAAACTTGAGCAAAGGTCAGAAGAACGTTGTACCATCAGTGTTTTGGCTTGGCCCACGGGCATTGCTTCTCGGCAGCACGAGTTCATAGGCGATTTCATGGGGATATTTATTGGATTTTATTGGGATATATGGGATGTAAAACCAACAATGGGATTGTAGTATGGGCATGTCTGAAAATGGGGCCCAATGCTGTACCCATTCAAATGGCAATTTCCATGAGTAGAATGAGGATATTAATCCATGGGAATCGGGGGGTACCATGTGGTACCACATGGTACCATTTTTTCTGACAAAACCCTAAGGCTGACCTTTTTTTTACTAAGCATTTCCATCCAGGTTCTGTTCGAATAAGAGCGGTGAAGTGCCAGGAGCTTCATCACCGATGCGCTGGCAGTTCACGAATTATTTAACTTAGCTCAGAGACTTGGCGTTAAGGTTGGGAGAATTATGGGTCATCAGGGAAGCACTCTTGGATGAGACATCCACCAAAAAACCATGGTCAGGAGTTGAAGTCCGAACTGGTTCCTAAATTGCATACTCATTGATGAGGTGAACAGCTGTTCCCTGGTCCACTTCCAGAATTTGATGTGTTGAAAAATCAAGAGATAACTGTCCAAGAGAAAAATATGTTGGGATTCATGTATTTTTTGTGGTGTACCCTTGTAGCCCACTTGGGTTTGCAGCTGGACTTGGTGAGGATGGTGATTTTTGGAAGTCAACGAAGATCCAACATAGTTGACCTTTCCCAGCTCGAAACGTCCATTTTTAGGTGATTTTCCGTTGCCATGACCACACCGGATGCCAAAAAAATCTAAACAACCCCCCGTTCACGCGCTTGGTGTAACGCAGGATGTTGCAAGGGGAGAACTTGCCTGCCAACATTGCGCAGCTGCGCGATTGCATCGCTGAGAAAGGTGCCGATGGGCACCAGGGCACTAGGTGGAAAATCTACGTTCATTGCTGAATAATCACTAAACATTTAGCATACAAGTGCATGCTGTGCTGTGTGTGTGCGCACGTATGTATATATACATACGTATACATCGTATACAGTCGTATACAGGTTGATTGATTGATTGATGGATAGATTGATGGGTTGATTGGTAGATTGATATCTGATAGACTAGATGGGATGAAGTGGATGAAGTAGAATGAAATACAGATGTAGATGCAGAATATATGGATATTACATATATATATATAATCGTATAGACAGATGCACGGTGAAAGAGAGAGAGAGAGAGGGAGAGAGATTAGTTAGAGAGCTAGATAGATAGATAAATAGGCGGACAGCTAGATATAGATACATACTTGCACATCAGATCCTATTGAAACCGCTTTTTGTCCATTGCTTGCTTACATTGTCCTCCGGAAACCTTCGGTCAAGTGATCCATTGGATTCGTTACATGGGGGATCTCAGGGGTGGGCAACACCACACCACATCGACCACTGGGTCCCCCAGTGGCCCAGTGGCCCAGTGGTCCTTGATCGTCATCCTCACAGGTCAAGACATTTTCCGTTTCTACATCTTTTTCTTGTTGGGCTTCATGAAGCGCGGCAGCAGTTGGTTTCACGAAAAAAAAACGGGACGAAGGATGGCGAAGTATGACGAAGAAAAATCGCCACTGCTTGGTTAAGGAACTGCTCTAGAACTCATTGACATTGAGAAGTTTGAGACATATTTGCAAATATATATATAACATTGTAACATAATAAAACATATTATATATATATATATTATGCCGATGTGAAATAACAAACACGTCATTTATTCTGGGGAAACAAGCGTTAACTATAACTACTTAGCAGGTAGGATCTGTGGGATGATACCTCCTGTTGATCAATCCACAATTTTGCTTGGTCGCATCCCTATTTTGCTTGGTTAATATCCTCATCGATGGCTATGGCTCTAAGGCTATACGACCATGAATGGGGTATGGAAATCTAACAGCCAGTGATCCGCGTCCCATATATGGGCTGGCTATACACATGGTTTTACAACCATCGCTAATTTCACCAGGATGCAACCAACCAACCCCAAAAAATGACCACCCAATAATAGATGATGATTAAGATTCACCCTCATAAACCTGGTAATATCAGTTTGCTATTGAAAACCAGCATGTTTAAGAGGGAAATCAAGAAGTCATCGAACTAATTGGGCCGTGGCTTCCATGGCGATGTTAAATTGCCAAAGGGAACATTGCAGTTTCTGCATTTTAAATCTCCATGGTTGCCCTTATTTAATTGTTTTGCTGGTTGACAAGCTCTTTATTTGTCAGTAAGCCACGTTTGATTACCAGAGGGCGCCATATTAACCGATATTTCATTCATGTTTATATATATATATCTTTTTATCTACCTATGAACCTACTTACCTATCTACCTATCACCTATCTACCTACTTACCTATCTACCTATTTATCTATCGATCGATCTGTCGATCGATCTATCTATCTATCTATCTATCTATCTATCTATCTGTCTATTCTATCTAATCTATCTATCTAATCTATCTAATCTTATCTATCTAATCTTTTCTATCTAATCTTTTCTATCTATTCTTTTCTATCTAATCGTATCTATCTAATCTTATCTGTCTAATCCTATCTTAATCTAATCTAATCTTAAACTAAATCTAATCTAATCTAATCTAATCTAATCTATCTATCTATCTATCTATCTATAAATCAATATTCCATTCCACTCCGGTAATCAAACATGGCAAGAGAAGTCCCTTGTAAATCGAGGTTTTTATCTTGGAAAGTCATCTGTACATTGTGGATTTTCCAGCAAGCCACGTTTGATTACCAGAGGGCAACGCTCCCAATAAATCCACCCAATGAGTCCCAATGATAGATTAACCTGTATACCCTCCAGTTGTGAAACATAGCAATGGAGAATCCAATTTTTTTCGTTGATTTTTCTCATCAAAAGCCTCCATTGATGTGGGATTTTCAGCCACGTCGTACCGGAGCGTGCCATGAAATCCTGCTGCTTGAGGAGTGGTATCGCAGCCGGTCAGGGATCTCGCTTCATGAATGGCAGGACGCCGTAGAGATGGGATGATCATTGGGCAGGGTCCCACCATGCGCTTGTTTGAAGGGAACTTTTGAAAAGGCATGTCTTCCTGTAGATGTTCTTAAAAGCAATCCATTGACAAATAATGATCCAAAGATCCAAGTTATAAAATCCACCCCAAGCAGACGGTGCGATACAAAGAATTGAACCCCCCCAAATCAATGGCTTAAGATCGAATGTATATATTTTTAAATAGACAATTTTATAATAAGTAAATAAATAAACACATAAATATTTATGTACATATACACATAATTTTGTTGAATTATGTATGAAAATCCATGAACTAACTCGCTTTTCCATTGAATCGCACCTGGAGGAATGCCTCCTCCGTCATCAGCGGCGTGCGCTTGTTGAAGCGCCTTATGGAGTGCAACCCCACGGCAACCCGGCAGTGGTGAATGGTTGGTGAATGGTGTGCTTTAGCCCTTTTTTATACGGGCAATCTTGGGGATATCATTGGAAAATAAGCAAAACATGTATTAAACAATGGATTGAATGGGAGAACTTCATCCCCAAGGAGGCTTTAGCTTTCGCACACTGATAGGTTGGTACGGTTTTGAAGCTGTGCCAGAAAGGAGGCCGAAAGAGTTTTGTTGCAGATCTAATGACACGGATACTCTATGCTATTCTCAATATGCCCCCAGCATGCCAATGGTCCCAAGGTGTCATACATTAGAAATCCCATGGATGCTTTACAAAATGAACATATTCCATGAAAAAAGTGTTGCTGCTAAAGCTCATTCACTTCAAAACCACAACAGGTTTTAGTACCCTCTAATTTAACAGTTTGCTATTGAAAATGGCCCATTTGTCACCATTTGTAGATGATTTACTGTACCTATCAAAATGGTGATTTTTCGCTATGTTAAATTACCAGAGGGTATCCCATTATATCCCACTATTTCCGACTATGTTCGTTGATTTACCCATGAACAATACGGACATGTTCCGTAGCGAACCGTTGAATTTTCACCAAGGCCATCTATTGGGGATACTTGGAGGAACGAGCACAAAAACTCCGAGTGAACTTCTATAGTGCCGAGGACCTGCTGAAAATGGAGTGGTGAAAAAGCTGAAAACATACATTTATTTAGTGCCAAAGTCGGCGAAAATTGGGATCTCTCTGTTTTGTTTACTTTATATACATATATATATATAATTTGATGATGTTATACGTGTTTTATGAGGATCAAAACTAGTATATGTCGATTTATATATGCATACATAGATGTATACATCCATATCTTTGCATCACATGTATAATTCTTTTTATATATATACTAATATGTATATATATATATATACTAATATATATATATACTAATATATATATATACTACATATATATATATATATAAATATGCTACACATATGTATATATATATATATACATGTGGACCTCAACAGTCTTGGATGAATGGCGTTGTATCCCTGGATTAGGATTTAATGAACTTGACACTGCCAAGTGGATATGGTTCGTATGAGTATTATTTTCCCTGCGGGCTGTGTTGCCAATACTTCTTGCATCCTTTTGGAAAGTATCCATTGCAAGTGAGTAAAAAAGTAAATTGTCCCACAACTGTGGCCATGCTGTTTCAAACTTGAACATCAATCATTTTGGTTTTTACTTGGAACGATTTGGAATGTGCCAATTCCCATGTTTGGTTCGCCGAGTTTTTTGGACTCATGGTGGACCGTTGGTTGGTTTTGCAACCAAGTAGATGGTTGTGTCATCAAGCCATCCGCTGAGTTCAAAGTCTCAAGACATTCCACTTACCGTGGCATAACTGGGTAATATATTACATAATATTATATATATAGTATAAGTCGGATAAAATGATAGATATAGATGTTTTACTTTTTTTGCTAACATCTAAACATATAAACATATAATTACATATATATATATATGTATATTAATTACATAATTATGATAATTTTTAGTTCTCTAGAAATATACGCATCATCCATTAGCCATCACTTCAGGTGGATTATCCTTTGCCACTATGAAGGGCTCACCTTTTTGGAGGGTTGGCTGGATCCCCTATGGAGCTTTCCTAAGTCATCAGGGGGTATCCCGAAAAAAATCATCCATTTATAGAAGGATTGTCCGTGAACCAGCTACTGTATTGGGGTATCCCCCATTTATGGAAACCCCCATCATCAACATGGATTCCCTTACCCTCTGGTAATTTAACATAGCTATTGAAAATCACCATTTTTAATGGGAAAATCCACTATTAATGGTCATTTTCAATAGCTACGTTAAATTACCAGAGGGTACTGGATCCAGGCCGCACGAGAAAAACGAAACAGGACTTAGTGCTGATCCGCTTGTCATGCCTCGCTCGGGCGCAAGACGAGAAGGATCCCTCCGTCGGGGCTTCAAGCTCGGTTGGGTATTATCCCCTAAATGAGCCATTAAGAATACCCTCTGGTAAACTAACATAGCTATTGAAAATTGCCATAGAAATAGTGGATTTTCCCATTGAAAATGGTGATTTTCCATAGCTATGTTAGTTTACCAGAGGGTATCTATGTTTATTATATATATATAGGTTTTACTAACTGGTTTATTGGGGATTATTATAGCTCATGCTTGGACTATTTTGCTAAGCATAGGCTTTGAAGATAATCAGCAAGTTTTAAGTGGAAATTAATCTTCCAACCCCCTATTTGCCAGGGTCTATGTCAATTGGAGGGTAACGGCAATGTATTTGGGAAAGTGATGATACATGATTCTTTTTGGATACGCAGCGGTTTGTTCTCATAGTGATAGTAGTTATATGATGTTTTATGACTATAGTAAAAATGTGGTTGTAAATGATGGTAATAGTCTGCCTGTTTCTTTTTTTTGAGCATGCAAGGAAATATAAAGAGGACTTGCTCAAAAGGACACATATTTTTATTTTTTTTTGCTGGGGTCCATCTAACTAGATCTAACCTACCAAACCTACCAACGAATTTGTTTACCGAAAACTGGGCATTTATCAAAGCAATATGGTATTCGAATGTGGCTCAAAAGTGTAGACTCATGGAACCACTGTTGGCCCCAGAATTTCACCATGCGCAGTTAGTTTGAATGACTCATGAACACAAACTGGTCATATCAAAAGTAAAACTAGAAAGACAATCACACAAATGTATGTGCATATATATATATATGATATATATATATATATGTATATTATTGATAGTCGTAAGATGATGTAAGATAATGTGTGTTTTCGTTACTGTATAATTTTAAAGGATGGGTCTCTTCCGCTGGTCCTCGCAGGATTACTTGTTGTTGCGCACTTCATGGGACGCCTTGAAAGCTAGAGACGCTTGGGCGCTACTTTGGGATGGACATTGGGGAGGCAACGCATCCAGGCACATGATTTTTGATTTCTACACATATTAAAACATATTGTTGATAATTAAAATTACTTTACTTCGTGTGATCCCCACCATGACATTTATACATTTTGCTACTGGCAAATCTTCTGGCATTCTATCTGACATATTTTCTGGCATTCGATCTGGCATTCTATCTGGCATATCTTCTGGCATTCTACCTGGCATATCTTCTGGCAGATGTTCTGGCATATCTTCTGGCAGATGTTCTGGCATATCTTCTGGCATATCTTCTGGCATATGTTCTGGCATATCTTCTGGCATTCCATCTGGCATTCTATCTGGCATATCTTCTGGCATATTATCTGGCAAATCTTCTGGCATTCCATCTGGCATTCTATCTAGCATATCTTCTGGCATATTATCTGGCAAATCTGCTGGCATTCTATCTGGCAAACATTCTGGCACTTTATCTGGCATATCTTCTGGCATTCTAGCTGACATTCTATCTGGCATTCTATCTGGCATACCTTCTGGCATTCTATCTGGCATATCTTCTAACATTCTATCTGGCATATCTTCTGGCACTCTATGTGGCATATCTTTTGGCGTGGATACTCGCGGTTGAGGTCCGGCAGGGAACACTGGGCGTGGATGGTCGTGGTTGAGGTCCGGCAGGGAACACTGGGCGTGGATGGTCGTGGTTGAGGTCCGACAGAGAACACTGTGCGTCGAGGGTCGCGGTTGAGCAGGAGGACGAGGACAACGAGAGGAGGAGAAGGAGGAGGACGAGGAGGACGAGGAGGACCAGGCAACTGACATAAAATCTAACAACCCTCACCTGGCAGGTGGGGAAAAAACTATATATATTGATATTATAGTTGTTAAAATTTTTAGTATGTATATATTATATGTAATTATACACATATATATATACATATATATATAATTTAGGTTTTATCCTATCACGTTATATTGCATTGCCTGTAAGTCACTGTGTTCTATTATGTCATGTGATAATTTGTGTGCATACAATTTTTACTTCAATTATATGTTTTATTATTGTTTATTCAAATTGTATGCGTATCGCATATTGTCATACTTTAGTTTGCTAGATTGCATTATTTGTATTTGTATGACGTCCCCAAATATTCGCCGTGCTTGCTTCTACACACACATACTCTCTCTCTCTCTCTCTCTCCCTCTCTCTCTCTCACTGTCCATCTATAATTTTACATATAATTACATATATATGTATGTTTTTCATGTGTATACAGGATAATTAAAGACATAAACATCATGTAGTCTTTCTATTTGGCAGCTTGACCAGCACCATTTAGGGACCAGGGATGACACCGGTACTAAAAAGACCCAGGTTGACTGGTTTATAATTAGGTCAACTATGGTTTATTTTAGATACTTGAGATATGTGGATATAGTTAAGGTAGTTTAATGGGAACTATGGCCGTAATAATAATAATTATTAATTATTATTATATATATGGTTGTATGTGTGTGTAGTTGATTACATGGGGTTCACGAGCCATAACTGTTGTTCATTTGACGGCTGCCAGAACAGGAATGCCGTGTCAGAACAACTCAGGGACGCAAACTGCGATGATGCTGGAGAAAACTTGGTTAAGTATGGTTAAGTAAGGTTTATGGTGGATTTGTATAACTGTATAAGTATATATATATATATGTATATATATATATAGTTAATGGGGGTTTATGACCAGGACCAGGATAACTTATATATATATATATCCATCTCTAAGTATCTATGATTAATGGGGTTCATACACCAACTTCTCAGTGCGCTGGCACCTGGCCTCGCTGCATCCAGGCGGATGTTGAATCCAATGCCCCCGTTCTGCGCGTTGCGCCCAAGGAACGTGTCGCTTTGACGGATCACTTCTTGGCGGATGGAATTCAGGTGCCCCGCTGTTGTGAAACGGGGGGGGGGGTCCAATTTCCAATTTCCTAGCAAGTCATCGCTATAAATTAGGGATCACCCATGAATCAACTAGGGTTATGAGTTTTTAACTTGAATGAGTGAGTAATCACTCTTTCATGGGTTACCGTGGATTACCTCTAATTAATCACCCAGTTTTTATTGTTCCTGCAATGATTATTGGGATGTAACCAACACGACGATCAATGGATATTAAATGATATTAATATATGAAGTAAGCAGGCGCTTGTAACCGGGTCATGCATTCCCTAAAGATGAACTCGCATGAACATGTCTAAGCACCTCTGCAGATATTGAGACAACCACCACAAGTGATTTGAAGACCCATCCAATTCTTGAACTACAGTAGGTATCCTCACCCGCAGCCATGCCACGCACCGGAACGTGAGGAGCAGGCCTTCGTTTTAGAATTTTTACCCAATTGCATGGCAAATGCCAAGGCCTGGGGGACAGTATGGGATAGTATGGGACACTATGGGACGGTGAGACACGGGAAGTGGGGATGAAGTTGGGCCGCACATGGAGGAAAAACAAGTCTTTACATTCCACTGGATGTATCTTTTTTGGTGCTGGAAGATGAGCAGAATTGGCTGAGTCATTGGGAACCGGATGACTGAATTCTGAATGTTTGATCACAGCAGCTACTCTCCCGCCATTTGTAGTTGGAGGGCAAGGTCTGAATTTATCCATCCAGGGGTCCAGGGGTCCTTAACACATTCTCAACATTACAGTTGTTCTAACATAATCGTTGGATAGCGGTTGCACCCTTGGCCATACGGTGAAGTAGCCCAGCTGCCCCCAAGGTGATATGAATGATATAAATCAGCAAAGTGGCTCACTTTGCAGGCTCCCAACTTAGGGGACAAGTCGAATCAAGTCGATGCAACTCCTCATACTCGAAATGGGCTTAGATTTTTATGATCGGATCATGTTTTTTTTTTTTATGGGTCATCCCATCAATTGGGGCACCTTTTCCCGGTCATCCGCGGTCATCCGCGAAGGCCAATAGCACTGTGGGATTGGTGGGGCTTCTGGGGGTGCTCGTGGATTTGCTGAACAACCTCAATACCAGCACCTCGGAAAATCAGTGGAAAGAGGTCACCACCGGGTGAACCACAGACTGATTTTTGATTTTTAAACATGTTGAGGAATGAACATTTCAATATATATATATATATATTAATAGATGTCTTATGAACATATATCTGAACTATATATGAACTATATAGATATATGTTGATATGGAATTAGTTCACTTAGAGCACTCCAGAAACGGGTGATTTACCCTCTGGTAAATTAACATAGACCCTGAAAATCACCATTTTTTAGAGGAAACTAATCTTCCAACCCTATCTGCCAGGGTCTATGTTAATTTACTGGAGGGTATATGGAACCAAATTACTTTCCCTAAGCAGGGGAGAGGGAGGGAGAGAGATGCAGATTACCTCCCCCAATGGTCACTAAGCATGTTTTAGCCACACAAAATCCCAAAGATAGCAGAAACGATCAAGCTGTTTTGAGGCTGATCTAAACTTGTGGATTGAATGGCTGTCAGTGCTGTCCGTACTCCAAGGAGTTGTGTGGAATTGCATGCTAACTTTCACTAAGTGACTACAGTAACTGGAAATATATCATGCATGCAGATCATTACACCTCACCATTTGTCTTCTTCTTTTTTGCCTGGCTGGATGCTTGAAGGATGTGTTTTTCGGTGGTTTTCGGGGAATTTAGCAAACCACCAGTCAACCATTGGCTCAGGCATTCATGGAAAGTCATGTGTCATGTCCAGTCCCTGCTTGGGGTTACTGGGCAACCCTTGAATGGCTAGTCTCTTCGCAGATGTTTTGCCACTTAAAAAACGACATTAGGATGTATCTTTCTGCCAACCATAGTGGTGATAATTCACGCTGAACCCAGGGGTTAAATGAGTCACTTGTGTATTCTGGTGACATATAAATAAATAAATAAATTTATATACTTATATATATATATATGTATATATACATACGTATGCACATAGACATAGAGAGAGAGAGGGCCAGAGACCAGCGGAAAAGAAGCCTTGGGACCGGCCCCAGTGGCAGTTTCTTCGGCACTGGAATCACTGGATTTCTCTGTCGGGGGGAAGTCATCTCTAAATGGATCACAATGGATCTAAGTCTAGTGAGTCTAGTGATGATTGGATGTTTGAGTTTCCAAATGTGAATCACCCATTTAGTGCGATGATTTTCCAATTGAAAGCATCAGGAAAAGCCCTTGGTAATTGAAGATAGCTATGAAACATCACCAGTTGAAGAGCTAAATCATCTACAAATGGCATATGCTCACATATTTTCCACAGCAAACTGTCAAACTGCAGGGGAGTAATTCTCATTCATATCATCAAGATCCCAGTCTTGTATAGTATCAATGACCATAAACTACAATTAAATTAAATCCCATTGAACACTTTGACGATCATTTAAAACACGGACACTTAGGCTTGGAGTCGATGCCTCCCATGGCAACTCGTCAGAGGTGAACGTAAGACTAGACTTGGGACATAAAATGGGATATAACAAAAATAGAGCATAACCAATGAACAAGAATGGGTGTGATTCTACAAGAATGGGAGTATGAATTATCCATCAGAATTGAGGTTCTATGCACCGTTGGGGATAGAATGGGACCCTTCAAACTGCCCATCCCAATCGGACAGTGGTAGACCGTGTGGTGATAGTAGCCACCAAATGAGGGTTGTTAATGCATATGGAAGGTGGGCTAATGGCTAATGATTGTGTTATATTATGTTTCTTAATCCATTTATCGGGGTTAAGTCAGAGGAGCACTGGAGCAGCTGAAAATCATTCAGGAAAACGACGCAGGCAAAAACAAACGGACATGTTTGCTTGACGACAGAAAGAAGGCAGGGCATGTGTCGGCGGCCCAGAGTGTAAGTGCGCTGCATGCGCATCTGCAATTGCAATTGGCTTGAACATTCATATATGAGATTATGAGTATGATAAAAGCGTGACAAGAAGATATTGTATGATGACATAGTGACCTGACATCTCAGACCATCCTAGACTTGTAGATGTGATAATGCTTAATCTATTTTGTTTTGTCAGATGTATATCAGATATGTACACTCCGGTAATCAAACTTGGCAACGGACAATTCTCTGTGAAGGTTTAGTTCACTTGGAATATCATCGAAGTAAATGGTTCTAGCTGGGCCATATGGTGGATGTTCCATATAAAATATGATAAAATCACATCAACAAATAGAAAACATATGATTTATTTGGGAGTTACTATAGAAACCATCAACTGCCACATAAAATCACATCACAACAGTTTCTATGGTGGCAGCCCTTTGTGATTGACCCACACATGGCATGGCAGCCCGTACCGTTGAAGCCGCCCTCAGGAGAAGATGATCCCCGTGGATTTGTCGGAGATGGCCGAGTTTATCGCTGTGGTGCAGTGGCCTGGTGGTTTATCGCTGGAATTTGGAAATGCTTGGTATGGAGTTTTTGAAATGGGAAAAACATGATCAATTGGCATATCAACTTATGATTTTAAAATCTGGATTTTGAAGATCTTTCCCGATTTGATATATGAGGAGCTTCGTCAATATCATGAAATATGATATTGATTGAAATTGGATATAGTTAGTCTGGTTACCGCTAATTTAAAAAGTGATCCCACGAGCCTTCTTTTTGAAACAGCCCATGGCTGCATGGTCTGTGTGGAACATCCCTATCCACCATGGTAGATTCCCAGAATTGGGGCGGTTACCCCGAAAGATATTGAGAAAATGGCGACTTGGTACCACCATGTACCCGTTCATAAACATCATTAAACATCATAAACTGGGCATTTATTCAATCCTGGCTCAACATGATCTTGTTTTGCATTTCATGGGTTTTCGTATGAAACTTGGACACAGCTGCAGTCTTGTTTGAACGCCTATCGGACCTATCGGCTTTGCTGAATGTTTCTGAATCCAACATTCTCCTCAACCTTGGATAGTAAAAAATCCTTGAGTTTCCTGCTATGGAAAATCATAAAATGACCAGCAACAGATATTTTACTATTTTTGACCATCAAAGATAGATGATTGATGGATTTTTATTTCCAGACCCACATTAAAAAATTGCTGTATTATTGTTGTCCTTTTCTTGTTTAATTTTATTAAAACGTTAGACCATGAAATGGAATTCCAGGTCACCCCATTCCTTTTGAAACACCGCGTGGCACAAAAGTCGAGGAATCGCTTTGTCTTCCTGACCTGTGTGTCACGATGCCAGCTGCAATTTGTGGGGCAGAACCTTGGCACACTTGGCCGAGAATGGTGTCTCTGGCTTTTAATTAATGGATTAATCATAAGTGTTCCATCTTTTTCCTAGTAAGTTTTAGATACAATAAGTTATATTAATATAAACATATTATGTTATATAGATATTAGAAAGTAATGATATGGATGGTATGCCCCGATGTCAGATACATATTGTCCAAAATCACCCAACAATTTCCTGATCCAAGAGGGAAATCACTTCACTGGCCATGGTTACTCCAATGGTTTGCAGTAGGTTTCCCCAATTCTTTCATGGCTATCTTTCGGGCACCCTTTTTTTTTCTGTTGGGTCAGTCCTTATAGTCCCAATTCTGCCTTTAATGTGGGTGCCTCCCACATTTCGCAAGTTCACCCCCCAAGCGACCTTGAGGAGAGTTTATTTGAAGATGACAGGCAGCCGCTTGGCAGCTATAGATCCCGATGTACTGATGAAGTTGCCATGGTTCATGAAGATTAACCAACAAATGGTGGGGCTTAACAACAGAAATGGTGGTATAATTGGAACACAATGGGATATATGATATAGGGAATGTATCTGGATAAATGAAATAACGACTTCACGACTCGCGACGTGAACTAGAAATGGTGCTTAGGATTGGCGGAATGATCCCTAAATTGCCAAAGTTTTCAGTTTGGAGAATTATCATTTATCCAGTACATATATCCCACAACATTCTACAACGACTTTTCTTGAGAAAACAGAAGTAGTTAAGACTAGTTGATATTATAGAGATTTATAATAGGGTGTGTGTGTGTGTTGTGATGATGTTTTTTGTTAAAGCTGAAGCTGCGGATTGTAAGATTCAGGAAAAAAAACCATATCATGGGCCCGAAGATGAATAGATCTATATAATACTAAACCAGGCTTTCTTTTGCGGGTGTTCAGTCTACTCTTAAGCAATCAGTGTTGGGTATTGGACAGTCAGCACCAACCTCCACTAACTGTGATACCTGAGCAGTTTCTCAGATAGCTCATGTTCATGGCTACCCCAGCTTTGCACTTGAAATCTGTGTGGAATTTTGCATGCAGCATATCCCTGGGGTGGGCTTTTGGGCCGAAAAACCTTCCTATAGATGGTATTTGGAGCGCCAGGGTATGAACATGAATTCTAGAAGAACACGCAATTTGTTTATTTATTATTACCCTCCGACAGTCAAACAGTCAAACATAGCAATCGAAAGTCACCCACTTCTAGATGATTTCCCCAACTAATTATAAACCTTCATTTATAGGGGATGTTCTCTTCCCTTTTTTGATTACCGAAGGGCCGGAGGGTGCTGTGTTCTTTCCTTGTCTCCCCGCGCAAAAATCACCGCAGCGAGCTGAGGTAATTGGGGTCGCACCACAGACCCTGATTCCGACATGACAAGCCTGGCTTATACCCTACAGGCCGCAGAGGGAGTGGCGTAGTCATCAGTCATGAAACGTCTAGCACAAGGGACATGATTGTTTATATATGTTCATATAGGTGCCTCTATACATGTTGCAGCAGATGTGTTTACTGTTTACATCTATTTGCCAAAATTTTGCGTGTGCGTGTATGATGGTATAGATGCATGTGTGCGTGCACTCGCTTGCATGCAACACATGCAAGTGTATGTTTATACATTGTATGGTTTCAATGTATGTGTTATCCATAATTATCCTGAACCAACTTAGCATATAGTTATGCATATACACACACACATATATATATATATACACATGTGTGTGCGGAAAACCATGGCTTCTCAGGAAATACCGTATACATGAATGTAAACGATGTTCCAAAAAAAAAAAAGACGCATAGCAACCGCAGAACAGATAGGACAGTTAATCTAATCCATCATTTTTGGGCGATTCATGATAATTCCTTCCCTCTCTAATATGTGCCTCATACTCGTACTCTGGGATGGCGACGGAAAACATATGAAGCACATACCTTGGCTCAGTACTCAATCGATTCATTTTAATCTGGCCATGGAGATATAGCCCGGCACATAACAAGCAATTTATTATGTACTTTCCTATGTAATTACTCACGCCAATATGCATTTGTATATGCGTGTGCGTCTCAAAACGGGTGATTTACTTTCAATATTTGGCAATTTCAAAAACGGTCAACCATCAAGCCACTGGTAGCTTCCCATTCTGGCTCACAAAATTGGATGATCAAGCCATTCAGCTTGATGATGACTAACCCATCTCTGATGTGAAGTGATGGATACCTTGCAGTAAAGAAGCATAGTTGTTCGTCATTACCCTTTGGGGGGTATTGGATTTTTTGCTGCTTGCCCGTGATGTCTCCATTATATCATTTATATCCCCATGTGGCCCATGTCCCCTAGTTATGACAGATTTCATCATATTTCCCCCAATGAAATCCCAATGTTTGATGCCAGAACGGCTCCCAGCAGGACATTCTGCAGAAACAGGAAGTTTTAGAGGCACTGCGAGTGCCCTCGGGCACGACCCCTCCACAGATCTTTCGGAAAAAAACCATCGCAGCATATCACAGCCTCGGAATTTGACACTCAGAAGTGCATAACATGCAGTTTGAAGATAGTTGATCTGAGTTTATTCGCATAGTTTATTACAAAATTACTTGATCGTTGAAGATAGTTGTGTTTTGTTCAGTCATTTTCAATATAAAGATCCTCAACAGACTGGGCATTGTTCCCCCTCACTAGCACTTTTTGGAGATAAAACCAGGTTATCTATCGCAAACATCTAGAACAATACATGGAGAATTTGAATAAGACCGGTCTCTCAACCTTTGTCCATTGAAGTCCAAGTCTCAGTCCCCTCTTGTGACGTGTGCAGTTTCAGTGTTCAATACTTCTGTTGCGCAAGATGAGTGGTGCCTACCCTCTGGTAAACTAACATAACTATGGAACATCACCATTTTCAATGGGTAAATCCACTATTTCTATGGCCATGTTCTATGTCGCAAACTGTAAACGTTTACCAGGCCGGGTAAGATGGACACAGCCACTGGGAATTGTTTAGGCACTGAATCATGGGATTTTTTCCAGGAAGCCTTGGCAATGATTATGAGAGGCTATTGATCAATATTATCCAATATTCCATTGCAATATTATAATATATATATATATACATACGCCTTTAATATCATTTAATATTTCATGATATTTTGATATACAGTATATCGCCATATATCGCCATTTTAATTTTGTTCACCATTGTTCGCCTTTTTACATCGTTTTAGCGTTATTGCCCATATATCCCGTGATAGTCATAACTTGGAAGCTGGGCCAGGCCTACATCATGCCCCCTGCCTGCACTGGATGAGTGGCCTTTTACAAAGTGTTTTTTGGAATCCCTTGGAAGAAAACACCAAGAGATACCAAGCGGTTCTAGTGAAATCCTGGAAAAGATAGAACATGATAGAACTATTAGTATTTTTGTTGGACATGTTTTTTTCCTATAGGTTTCAGATGTCTTTTTGTCTCTTGATATCGTTTTAGGAGTTGTCACAGCCTGACAATTGCCCTGCCAAATGTCAGACCCTTCGGACCTGGTCAAATTTGCTTACTGAAAATAGGGAAATGAACCAGAAAATCAATGAACATCATCTACCCTCTGGTAATTTAACGTAGCTATTGAAAAAAATCACCATGTTCAATGGGAAAATCCACTATTTCGACTGGGCCATTTTCAATAGCTATGCTAAATTACCAGAGGGTATACATGGGGGAAGATATGGGAAGGTGTTCGTGAAAAATTGGATGAGTAGGGAACTTGGCAACATTTGGCAATGCGACGTACCAAATGATTTTGCTACTTTAGGAAACATCGGAGTAGAGGCCACATAGGGTTCCACCACGGCAAGCATCTTGAATTCCCCACATCAGTGGTGACTCCGCCCTCCCTGTGGTAGACTCGCATATAACCTGTGCAATAGGGCCCTGGTTGACCCCATTTCTCAGATATGGATGCTGTAGATGTTGTTTTATACCAAGAACATCCTTAAGAATGCCAAACAACAACAAACAGGATGAGTGTGGTTGTTGTTGTTTGTTTCCCATGGAATTTCCAGCCTTTTCAGGCGCAAACATGAAGATTCCGGTCCCTCGGCAGCACACCTTGTGGTGGAAGAGGACGTTCACGAGGACTTCAAGGCTTTGGAACGATCGAGTAGCGCCTCAGCCTGGAAACAACCAGCGGATTGCTGGAGCTGTGGCGGTTTTGTTTCCAGCAAACCATGCTGACATTGGAGAAGATGCAATGGTCAGATCGGTCAGGATTAGGGGAATCATCCCCAACGTTGCATGAAAATATTCGCATTGAAATGGCAGTTTTGAAAGCGCATCACCTCCGTTCTCTTCAATATAAAGTTTGTTGTCTGTATATGATTTAAGCTTCCGGATAGTTCAACTGCCATTTTCGCTCTCAAACTTGAACCCGCGCATTTTTCCCAATATAGCATATATGTTTTATGTTCAAGATCAACTGCCCATATCTGTGGGATTCATTGCGTTTCTGAGTCTTTGTCTTGACCCAAAAACATATTTGATGAGTCTGCGGGGTGTTCATCACAAACAAAAGCTCCAAATAAGCCATACCATCAGAATGAATTCGGGATATCCCTCATACAAAACCAATCTTTCAATATCTTTGACATGGCAGTGATGCACCCAGAAATCTGAGAGAGTTCCTGGCTCTTTGGCAACATTTGCCTGCACTGAAGATGTACAAATAGCCCCGGGAGATCTCAATTGTTCATTTGAAACGTTAAAAGTGGGTACAGAACTGGTTTGGGTCGCTTGGCAAAGAGAATGATTGCCAATTCATGTTTGTTTTAATCATTGCAGCATGCCGAAGATTGGGGCCACCCAAATCCACCTATGTCCAGCGGTTTCAGAAGAGCAAGTCCGCATCTTGGGTGCTGTTGATAGTGGGTTGTAGTAATGATCATGGCCACATAGGCAAAGACATGGAAAATCATATCGTATACCCTACTAGATCAATCTTTTTTTAATCAACCTGGCTTTGTCTCAAATGACTTCTGTGTAAAAAAACGCGAGGTCCAATTGGTCCAATGGGTATTCAACACCACCAGTGGTGATCCCCAATCCATATCTTAACCATCTGGGGTGTGGCCCCGTAGTTTTCCTGGCGCCACCCCGTGAAACTCCGAAAAAGCCGATCTGCAAGGTATGGCGGTGCAACAAATGGTTTTCTGAGCGCCACGCTGGCACCCTTTTTGGGCAGGTGGCGTCAGGTGCCCAAAAATCATGGACATCACCTGTCCCAAAGAAATCGGCGCAGCCTCAGAGAACTGAGCGGTCCCATGAATCTATGCAAACCTAAATGTTGGCTTGGTGGTTGAATTCATTTCATACCAATGGGAGAATATATTTCACGCACACCTGCCATGTATATTGATATATTATGCACCCTTCGATAATCTAACATAGCCATGGAAAATTATGGAACATGCCAATGTTTCACAGAAAAACATGTACAAATGAGTGATCCATGGTCTCTTTATTGTTCCTAAAAGAACATCGTTGGTCAAACAACTTGCAACAAGAAAGTGTAGCAACAAACAACGTAGTTTTTTTAATGTTGCATTTTTTCAGCGTAGTTGTTTTGTTGATATTTTTGTGGGAGGTAGACCTGAGTGGTATCAACAACTGGGATGCTAACACACTATATGCAGCTGGCTTCTTGGACCTTGATGAGTTGAGACATTGAGACGCTTGAGTGCCATAATTAAATTTAAAGATCAGAAAACCGGTCCTTTGAGGAACAATCTACCCAAATTTATGTAACCAAACATTCACAGACTCCGTCTAAGGCTAATGTTCAAGGAAAAGATCCATATTTCGATGGTAAAACAATATGCAGAATCATGGTTTCCGGAGTTTCTCCTGCAGAATTTTGCTTAAAATGATCCGTTGGTTCCCATGATGGACGGGTGGATGTCGGCTGTAGGCTTTCTCAATCCATTTCCGGATTAGATGTCTCAAGCCTGCAATAGACTCACTCTGCGGACGGCTACTAAAATCACCACAGAAATTTGGTAATTTCTCAGTTCACATGGTTTTTGATGAGTTTTGCCACAGCGATTTTCATGACATTTTTAAGGGTGTCTCAGATGAGTTGGTGTAGATGATTCCCTTGAACAAAAGAAGCTCAACTTTGAAGATTTTGAAGATTCAACTATGAGTTGGGGATACCCTCTGGTAATTTAACATAGCTATTGAAAATGGCCATAGAAATAGTGGAATTACCCATTAAAAATTGTGATTTTCCATAGTTATGTTAGTTTACCAGAGGGTAGAAGTCTCACAGCACTACTTTTGTGATGCCTTGATCAACCGAAGCGGTGACTTTGGGGACTTTGCGCCTGCCGCGGCCGCTCATGGCTCACGGCTCGTCTCTTTTTGCGCCTTGTGAAACGGTATCAAAAAGGAGGATTTCACCCAGCAAAAAGCGGCAACTTCAGATTTCACCAACAGCAATGACGATTTACTGTCTGGTTATTTTACATACAATATGTGAGGCCCCCTAGATAGCTAAGTTGGTTTATAACTCCAATAGCTATGGTTTATGGTATTTATAACTATAGTTACTGGGGCTTATAAACCAACTTATATCTTGGGGGCCTCACATTGTAGCTATGGACAATAATCCATGTATAGATGTTGTTTGATATGATTTCCCCATTAAACATGGTGATTCTCCATGGCTACGTTAAATAACCAGAGGGTAATATGACTTCATCACTTTTGCCGATGGCCAAATTGGTGGTATGAGGGATATTTCATGGGTACGAACAGTACCACCTGTGGTCTACTGATGTCTACTGTAAGTGGTCAGTTTGGATGCTTGTGGGCCCTCGGAAAGGTTGAGGCAAGTGGCGGAATCTTAGCAGGCAAAGCTACCGCAAAGAGTGACACACATCGCTATAACAAAATTGACCCCGCCGAGATTGACCAGGATTTTCTTGAAGCCCTTCCAAATAATAAAACACCGCGTTGAAACCTCCAATTTTCAATTGTCACTCGAAGAAGGGCACCGAACTCCGCCGGAGAACGCCGGTGCTGAAATGCGTCGAACCACGCATCGGCTGCGTCCCAGCTGGCGTGACATTCGGAATTTCAGGGACCCTGCCATACCCTGCCCCCTAAATTAGGAACCAGTCTCCCAACATCCCAAATGAAATAAATGGTGAATTGATGTGAATTGTGTTAAAGTAAGCAGCAAACTGGTTTGAGTACCCGAGGGTCAAAACACTCTTGCGGGGTGTTTCAAAGTACCACCTCTATATGTTTGGTGAAGGTTGTATTCCCATTTCTACTGGTCCAATCCACTTGTTGCTGTTGAATGCCCGCCTTTACTCCCCTTTAACCAAAGGTTTAACTTTTGAATCTCCAATGTCTTGTGCATTTTGACCCTGCCAACACAATAACCTGAAACATATATGTTTCATTATTTTCCCCGTCAGATATGCACATTCACATCCATCAACAAGCCTTCTGTGGTCGGGTTTGTCAAACCAATTTCTGGAAAAATGGTATGGTTTACATTTCTCTTTGCTCAAATGTGATTTGTAGTTGGAATTGAGAGTGGCGCTCAGACTTGTTGAACCATGATTATGCACGATTATCAATGATAAACCGCCTTTAGGTGAAGAACATTTGCTGACGAATCAAGAATGGGTGAAAATGTACCCACAAATTAGTCTTAACCCATCCATTCTGGGAGGTCAATCAGTTTCACTTTTCCCCTCTCTGTCATCATAGTTGATTTACGGAAAGGACAGGTTCAGGGAAATTCAACCGAAGCCATGAGTTTTACCATGTGATTTACCTTCAAGTTTTGACAGTATGACTTTCCTCTGAAATATGTGTGACCTTTCCACCACCCTTCGATCCCATTGTCGACCCAGTGATTGGTCCCAGATATGATTGGGAGAAACTGGCTAAATAGAGGTAACATGTTAAATACATGTTGTAAGATATGGTAATGACCTATTAACACCCCCTTGTAGCAATTCCTGACCTCCAACCTAAGGTCCCCTGCTCTTTGAGGATTCAGAATTCCACAATCTATAATAACTAGGCCATTGTAACATAATGCAACATTTCAGAGACACGGGGTGTCTGCATTTTTTGTGATCGGATTCAAATTTCTCGGCACTTAGATGAGCCGGTAGCAGCATGGTACTCATATTTCTTGATTAAATCTGCACAGCAGTAGCTGGTTACAGTATCTTGGCTGAACGATGGGTAAGCTAACAGAGATGTGGAGAACCCGTGGTTTCCCCAGGAAAACATATGGAAAACAAATGGTGGATGTTCCATATCTTAGTTTACCCTAGGGTATCTATGCATCTCTTGATTTTGTTGCTGGAAAAACATCTTGTGTGCGGCCTGGGGCACAGGCGGCCGACCTAGAGCGAAGTGCGGAGAAGATGCCTGGGGATTGGTGAAGAAACCTTATCTTTGGTTGGGGATGAACATACTGGTGCTAAACGTAGGGAATTTTCGGGAATGATCCATAATCACTAGTAATAGTCATCCCAGCAACCCCCAGCAACCCATCCATTCCCAACGTAAAACGCACCAGTAAGTGAACATCGATGAACATCCATAAATCCCGGCTAAGTTGGTTGCTGTGACACCAGAGGTTTCGATTCATCCCTGTAGGACACGGTACTTCCCGGAACCGGGCTGTTCAGTGGGAGTTCACAGATCACTGGCAGAGAGCGGAGTTCAAGTACGTTGAACATCGTTGAACACGTACGGAGACTTGGGAAAGGTTGGTTAGTTGGGTCAGTTATATGGCAACATTTGGTAATGGGATGTAGTGGGTCAAAACCCTGGCACCCAGCGAACCCCATTGTTTTTTTTTGATAGCTGGTATAGCTGGATGTTCATCTCACTAATAGGTTGATACTAACAGGTGACCCAAACCATAAGGTGTCTAACCAGCTTGACGATGATTTATAGTGAATCTATATGTATATAAAACATGATGCACGATATTATCCAATTATGTATTTAAAATTATTTATTTATATATATATATATATACATGTGGATCTATACTGCTTTCTGGGCGCATCTGGGCACCACCTTTCAGGAATCAGCGTGAGAAGGATACTGGTTTAATGCCCCACAGTCACAGGGAACCCGCCATGTTTGTCTAATGAGTCTAATCAAAGGATATTAATTGATATTAATGAATATTTTTATATGCATTAATATGCTCATTTTCAGGGATCATTATCAACTTGAATTATCAACCCTTCCTTCTCACTGACATATTCATGATCGTTGGGCTGGTGAAAAAGAACGCATGTACATCAGCTGATGCATGAGAGTTTTGACCCAGTTATGGATGGTACCAACAATGGAACATCTCAATTTTCATGAGAACATCAGGAACATCACCATAAAAGGGATTGTCCATTGCTTGGTTAGACCAGCAGACATAACAATCCCATATATATATATATATATAGGATCCCAGCTTGGCCTGGATTAAAACAGTTGACCATAGATGACCCCATTTTCAGGTGGTTTCAGGTCCTCATTTTTTTCCGGATACCCTCTGGTAAACTAACATAGCTATTGAAAATGGCCATTTATAGTGGATTTTCCCATTAAAAATTGTGATTTTTCATAGCTATGTTAGTTTACCAGAGGGTACATTTTCAGAATTTCAGATTGTGCCATTGGTGCAGCCAATCTTGGACTCCAGCTCTTTGGCCTTACTTTTTTGCGAACAGCAGCGCCATGCCAAAGGCATGGCAGCATACAACCTCTGCTGCCTATAGTGGTGGACATACCTCAACACACTGCGGATCTGCGGCAAAAAGACGTAAGCCTTTCAAATGTGCTGCCGCGCAAGCATCTAAGTCAGGAATGGCCTCAAGGAAATCTGGAGGAAAACACGGCACAGTTGATGCCCCCCAGATCACCCACATTTTCCATGCCGTGCAGGTGCATCGTGTCCCGTGAATCTGTGGCCAAAAAGTGGCGCGTCTTGTTGTTCTGCATGTGGAATCTTCCAGGAAGGGTAATCTGTCATTCTTAGTAGGACCGTGAGGGATAGACATTGCAATTGGTGGCAAGCCATGCATAGGGTGATTATGTCGAACCTGCGAGGCAAGAGACAAGAAGCATAGGAATTGGGATTCCGTCCTTGATTGACATGGATGATCAAAAACGAGCAGGTCATATAGTATTCATAAATTTCAAGGTAAACAAAATATTCTGATTGGTGGTTTGGAACATTTTTTATTTTTCCATGTATTCAGAATAGTCATCCCAACTGACTAATATTTTGCAGACGGGTTGAAACCACCAACCAGTATTGGTGCAACGGGGAAACCATCGTTTTCACCTCCAAAAAAAAGGCCGAAGCCATTTGGATCAGCCTGGTGCTGCAGAAACCATGAGCAACGGTGCCGTCAGCGTTGAAACAGGTGGGCGACACTTGTTTGGTGAAAGTTACTTCTTGACCAAGATATGAGTCTCGTAGTCAGAATTGATAGATCACAACTCGTTGCTACTCAAATATATAACTGTGGGAAGCTCTGGGGTTCAAAATGCGCGCTGCTATCCTTTTCTTGATGAACCCCGTAGAATCAATGGCCATCTGGGTTTGATGGCCAGGCACTGACGCTGACGCAGTCAGCTGTCAACCTCACCCGCCCTTTAAGATCGATTGGGGTTCAGCTTTTTGAAAACTGGCAGTGATATTGTGTCAGACTTGTTTAGGAAAGAATAAACAATTTGCCAGGATCCAGCAGAAGCATGAGGATCATGAGTTGTCTTAAGGTTGCACTAGGCCATGGGTCAAAATGGACATCCATACTCGTACATCCCAGCTGTTTTGGGGTTTTAGGGTATCAGGGTTTTGTCATGTTTTGTCATGTTTTGTCCTATTATCCGTGTGGATGACTCCCCAGAAATCCATTCCACCAGGGGAGGACGAATCAAAGATACACAGGCGGGGCTGGCGCAGAGCGCAGGGATGGAAAGAGAAGGACACACACCAGAAATCACCAGAAATTATGATTGCAATGCAGCCCATTCAGGATGGGTGGGAAGGTCACTCTTACAGGTAGTTTTCCAAGAGTGTCTCACAAATACAACCAGGGGAACTAAGTGTACCCTCTGGTAAACATACAAAAAGCTATGAACAATCACCATTTGTCATAGGTAAATCAACTATAAATCACACCTTCCATCGTGTTTCCTATGTTTTCCCTGTTTTTTTCCCCATGTTTTTCCTATCACTGAGCTGTGGCTCATGTCCCAGGCGGATCACTTGGTTGAACGCCAACGTCTTTCCAGATCGGAATATCAACGACCAGGTGGGCTATCCAGCCGTTCGACTTGGTTGGTCATGTCAGATCCCACAGTGTCCATACCTGCCTTGGGTTTCAACTAACAATAACTATAATAATAATAATGTTTTTTTGGATCAACTATAATAATTAATAATGTTTTTTTGAAGAAATAAGAAACTACAATAATGCTTTTTTGGATCAATTTGTTATTGGTTGATTAGTCAGTGTTTTATTCAGCTAACTTTCAGTGGTTGGTTGAATAAACCCGGATCCATCCGGACCACCACGGCTGAATTTGTTCCAAACCGCTACCGCGGTGGCGAAGAAAACCCCATTATGATAATATATATATATATATTTGTATAAACTATAATATAAATTATAATAAACATATATAATATAATATAATATAATATAATATAATTTAATTTAACATAATACAATAAAATATAATATATACATATATTTATTTGTATCAAGTATCAACTAAAATATATTGTAATATATATATATATGTATAAACGTTAATACAATAGAATACAAATATATATATATATATATGTATAAACTAAAATATTATATATATATATATTCACTATTAACAAAAATAATATATATATATATATACATGTATAAACTATAATACAATATATATGTATATATATATGTATAAACTATAATATGATAGTACTTTTTATATACTGTATGTTTAAACTATAATTTTAATATATATATATATGTAAAAACTACAATAATAAATATATATATATATAAACTATAATATAACATAGTTCGTATATATGTGTAAACAATGAAATAATTCAATATATATATATGTAAAAACTATAATTCAATATAATATGATATAATTTATATATATATGTATAAATAATATAATATATGTTATATATATATATGAAAAACTATAATATAATATACATTATATATATATGTATCAACCATAATATAATATGATATATTTCTATGTATAAACTATATAATATAAAAAAATGTTTATTTAAACTATACTATCATAATATATATATAAGTAAAAACTATCATATAATACAACGTAATTTATACATAATTATATATATGTATACACTATAATATAATATCTTATATATATAACAAGCTAATATAATATTTATATGTATAAACTAAAATATAATATAACATAATATAATATAATGTAATGTAATATAATATAATGTAATGTAAAATAATATATAGACAGACAAATAACGATATGACATATTCTTTTATATTCACTGTCATAGATGATCATAGATGCTTTTTGTATAATATTAAGTATATATAATGTATCAATATATATATATATATAGTTGGAGTTATCAAAAGACACACACACATACATATATATATATATAAATATATGCATAATTTAATATATTATAATATTTCATAATCTATTATTTAATATATATATATATTATACAGTACACATGCTCATCAACATTGGCCATCGATTGTTTAGCCCCAAAACGACTGTGCCCAGGCCCTGGCAGCGGTCCAAAGTCTCCCCGTGCCCCGGGGCTTGGAGCTACTGAAGGACGCCCGGTGGGGCCCGGTGGGGCCCGGTGGAGCCCGGTGGAGCCCGGTGGAGCCCAGGGACAGAAATAGCTGGTTGACTGAGACCTAAGTAACAAAAAAACATCAAAAAACAACAAAAATGTTAGGTCAATTATAGGCTTTGGTTCATGGATTTGATGTTTTTGATGTTTTTTTCAGTTAATGGGTGGTAAGCCAAATCATAGGGGCCTGCTCCCTACTTGAAATGTTGCTCCGGAATAAATCATGTGTTCAGAGGTGCCGCCCAGAGATGTTCTTTTCATGGGTGATAACACATGTCGCACGAAACTAAACAATCAAGGATTCAAGAAAGAGCATGTTGGGTACACAACAATGGGCAAAATTTTGAATTCATTTGAATTCAATCGAGCGAGGTTAAGTTTCAAGTATCTATCTATCTATATATATATTGTGGGTAAAATAACAATAATAAACATCCCTTTGGGAATGGTTTATAATTACCACCTATATCTATGGTGGTTTGGGGGATGTTTTTTTTTAAATAATTGTTTTACCCACATTACTTCAGTAGCTAAAGGCGAACTGGAACTTCACCGGTGTTTTTGCCCAGCTTAGAACGTTGTAAATGCCGAGCTTCAGACTCCCTAAAAAAAAGGCCAGAGAATGTACGTTGCCGGCAGCCATCAAGGTGGAACAAACTCAGAAGATTGAGGACATGTGAGGACTAATTTCGGAGAATTTCCACTGGTCAAGCTACATGATTTCGATTTATAGATGGTTTTCTTGTGGCTCCCATGTTTTGTGTTCGACATGCCAGCCCAAGGACGTCGAGGAAAAGGAAGCGAAAATCAAAAATCCCAGTGGCTACCTGAAGGCCTATCCCAAATCCGGGAACCTTAGGGGATGCTCATCCAAGTGGGGTCCATACCATACATCCACAATCCCAAATCGCTGAAGTAGGAAACTGCACTGCAGCAGCTGCACATGTCGTGGGAAACGACCCACGACATTGGTGAGATCTGGTCGTAGTTGGCAGTGTGCTTTCAACATACTTTCAATGTACTCGTAGATCTGGTCATAGAACCTTTCCCAGAACTCCTTTGTCGGAGAATCGGAACTTCAGATGTTCACGTTTACTCTCAAGCGCTCCTGGGGGTGACCCATTGTTGGAATGGAGGAAACCCCGGTCAACCACTTGGATTGATTCCAAACTGAGATACCTAGATGATTGTGGCATTTCAGAAGCGTACTATCATACAATTCACACACATTTGTCGACAAAAGAGTTGAGGAAAGTAAAAACTGGGATACTGAACCTCCTGAAGAACTCAATTTGGATTCAAGAAATGTATCATTGTCTTCCACCAAACCTGTGGGGGCCTGCGGGGTTTCCAACTTTGGAACATGCCAGACAGCGGTGCAGCGAGAGGGTGCTGGTGTAGCTTGGCGAAGTTCAAGTGGGATGTTGGATTGACGGGTTCAGGATGCTTCATTTGTATTATAGTTCTGTTTGGTTTGTTGCTGAATGCTACTCTGCTGCTGCTGATGATGATGATGATGATGATGATGGTGATGGTGATGGTGATGGTCAAGTCATATAATATAGTTCTTCAGATTGGCCAAGTTTCATCTAGTTGATGATCATTTTGAACATCGGGCACCCCCCAAAACCCATTGTGTTTCATAGTTTCCCCAAGAAAATTGCAAAAAAAACATGGGCATCCCCTAATCTAGTAGCTGGTTTAAACATGGAGAGTGGTAGCATCATGAGGTTTCTGGTCGAATCGGGGGAACAATTCATTTTACCCTATTCCTCCCAATCCTAAAGCATCTTTTTCTCCATCCCAAACAGAATCCCGCTTCAGTATTGGAATTGTTCATGTTATGTTCCCTTCATGGTGTGATGGGGTGTGTATTTTTAGGGGTTGGGATATTAGAATGCCACATTGGCTCCGTCTCCGGCAATCCCTTGCAGGTCTTGGTGGCTGCGGAGGCGCCGCGTTCAAGGGTTGTGGCTTCACCAAACCCGGCTGCAGGCAGATGCCCAAATAAATAGAAATCAAAGTTTGTAAAGGTTTACCCTAGGGTGAAGCAACATGGAATAGCTGTGGAAAACCATTGGTTTCCAAGGAAAGCAAATCTTCAATTGGTGGGTTCTCCGCATCTATATTAGTTTACAGGAGGATAACTCCTAGATGCTGAAAAGCATGCGATTGAACTTGGACCTTCTGTGAGCGTGCCGTGGATTTTTGCTCGTGAAACCGCAGTGATCCAGGATAATCCATCCACATTGTGCTTGTATCGAAACGAGAACAGTCACCAACCATCAACTGTACCAACCATTTCGAAAACACATGGGAGGATGGAGGCAAGCAAGTTGCCATCGGCCAAGGATGGGGAACAACGGCAAATTGAAAAGAAAATTATCATCCGTGTACTAGGGAAGAGAGAGAGAGAGAGAGAGCGAGAAAGAGATACTTGGATTAAGGATGATTAAGTATTCGTTTTGCTCGATGGTAAATCATGGCAGATTAGTAAATCCCCAGTATTCTGAGTTTTCTTGATAACCATCCCCATATTTGATGGTTGCCTCCCACATGTCAGTGCTTCAAAGACCCGACCCTCAGGGTCGTTTTAGGGTCGGAACGCATCGTAACGCCGCGGAACAGGCCGGAGATGGTGCCGAGAAGATCGAGAGGCCGAGTCTCTTCGCAGTGCTTGAGGAATTGTTGATACAATGTGGCCCCCCAAACGATAGCTATTGTTGCGGCAAGATCCTTTGGTTTGCCCGAAACTGGACATGATGATGATGATGATGATGATGATGATGATGATGATGATGATGGCGATGATGATGATGATGATGATGGTGATGATGATGATGATGATGATGATGCTGGTGGTGGTGGTGATGGTGGTGGTGGTGGTATTGTTCATTGTTCATTGTTCCATGGGTGTGGTGTATACTTATACATTATATATTGTTTTTATGTTATATATATATTATATTATTATTATATTATGTATATATATATATATATTTGCATTTGATCATTTTAATGAAATCCTAATTGCGATATGGTTGAATGTTCCATGAAGTGGGATAAAAAAAATGTATATTAAAAAATAAATAAATTAAAAAAAAAAAACAACTCATGTAATATAATTAAACCATCAATTGCGGGTATGGTTAATTGCTCCGTGGAAGTGGGAGGTTTTAAATCCTATATATAATCCATAAATGAAACCCTACTTGCGGTAGGGTTCATTGTGAGATGTCTTCGGTTATGTACATCCCAAACGAACCTTAATAGCGGTACAGGTCTTTTGCCCAGCCGCAGTGCCATGTGTTTTACCACCCATAAAAACTGTGATTTTGGGGATGCTTTACTATTGCTTCACTAACAGCAAAGGTTGTTTTTAACTCCAACAACTATGGTTTATGATACTAACATATACCTATAATTAACGGGGTTTGTAAACCAACTCTTAACTGGGAGGGGGCACATTGTGATGTAATTCAGCCGAATGATCAGTATACCAACTGGCAAGGAAACATGATCAGATTCAGAGAGTGGGGAAACATTGCGATGAACTAAGTATAGGTATACTAAGAGGGACATATGCTAAGTCTGGGGAAGCCAACAGCTCAAATTGCAGTGGATCAATTCTACTACAATAATGGCTCTGTGACACCCAGTATGTTTCAACGATCCTCAACCGCGGTGGCAGACTAAACTGCTATATAAGTTGCAATTGCATTAGGATCATTTGGGATACTGGATGTAATCCGAAGTGGTGGCTCACTGAATAGGAATCCAGATGCAGTTGGATGTCAGACTGGTTCTGGCTCCTAAACAGGCGAGCCAGCTGGCTGAACGCCAACGTCTTCCAGGACCACGGATGGATTGGCTGTTGACCCTCCCAACAGAGAGGATCCCGGATTAAAACATTAGTCTATAAGAGAGTCTATCAAATATGAAGTCTAAGTATAAATTCCACCATAAACATAAGCCCTATTTATGCTTTTGGGGGCCATGGAAAATCCAATAGTAGCTCGTATAAATCCATCCTTGTAGTTATAATTCCATAGTAAACCATGGTTAATTGCATATGAACCCTAGTTATACAATCTTGTTCTAAACCAATTTAGGCAACTTCGGCCATGGAAAATCCACCAGGCATTGGTCAGCGGTGCAAATTGTCGGTAGTCTGATGGGAGCGGCCAGGGTGTACACCGTATGTTTGGACACATTCAAAAAAAATGTGGATGATTCTGGGTTAAGTTATACATACCATGTTATTTGGGTAAATTAAATTAAATTATAACGACCTCACTGCGACCGAAACCTGGAATCATGGTTAATAAGAGGAATCATCCCAAGATGGCCTTATTTGTTCTTAATGATTTCAGGTTAGTGAAATATGATAATTTACCCAGATGTTTTGCCATATTTTTAGGACATCCCCATTCATGATATCCCTACTTCTGAGTTATACGTATATGGCAGTGGGTCAAAACCTTGTGTACCCCTGTAGTTCATCAAAATAGCTGGTTTAGCTGGATGTTCATCCCACTAAAAATGGTGGAAACATAGGCATTGATCCATAGCCATAGGCGGCCATAGGCCATATGTTTGTTAATCTCCAGGTCGATGGTCCATTTCAAGCTTTGCTTCACGATCTGGTCGCTTCAGGACCGGCAGATCGATCCAGAGGCGGGTGCGACCAGGGATTAGAAATTCTCTCCCGCCATGGCGAATGAAAATGGTGCTTTTACGGATGACTTACCTATTAAATCGATAGACAAAATAAAATGATATATTAAGAATGATGAAAGAATCATAATTGACAATATCTCTGTCAAATTACCAGGAAGGTACAGTAATTATAGCACCATTTATGTTTTTGAAATACATTGAAATACCAATGTTTGATTCTTAAATCCCACCGGTCCCATGGGTGAATCTAATTTTTGTTGGTTATATACCTTTGCATTTTACATCCCCCATTGCATCCCTAATTTCCCTAGTCCAAAGGCGATTACGGCGGTGAAGAGCTTGGGCTCAGCGCGGGCCATGGAGCTGTTCAAAGATTTGGAAGAGCCTTGGCTCGTTGTTCCGTTGGAGCCGGGGCTGGCTGGCCAAGATTTGTTGCATTTTTTTTGTGACCCCCAAGTGAAGGTAGAACAGGTGAACATGCATTCTGGGAGCTACATTTCTTTGAACCAGGCGCAGCAAATTTTGGTGAATGCTATTTTAGGATTGACTTTTGAAGATGTTCCATCGTTTTGAGGGTTGCAGATAATATGTGGTAGACTGGTAGGCCGAATCAAAGGTATCATAAAGGTTCAAAAGGATTGCTCAGATATAAAGAGGCATTTCCACCAATAACATGCTGTGCTAATTTTGGATGGTAAGCTATTTTTTCAGGGTTTGGTCAGAAGGAAAACACATGGCAAGACCATATAAAACCATTCTTGGGTCTACCGCATAGCTAGATGGATATGTTGAAGGAACAAAACATTGGTAATGCCTGTCAAATTTGCGGAAGTCTCGCCAGGTTGTCGTCCTGGCGGTACGTTCTGACAAATTCTGCACGAAGATAGATAGATAGACAGATAGATAGATAGATAGATAGATGGATAGATAGATAGATAGACAGATAGATAGATAGATAGACAGACAGATAAAGGTGTGAACATATGAATACATAATTGCAAACATACAAACATACATGTATAAATATGATACGGTATTTATTGAGATCTTCATACACATCGCTGGACAATTCGGTATCTGAATGGTACCATTGCTTGACTTATCAGAAAACGGGATTTACTTTGGAGTTGATAGGATGATGACATATGTATCAGCTGCTGATTGCTACAGCCTCAGTCCGTAAAACCGGCATCGTTTGGCTATAAGGTCGCAACATGTTTTTTGTGCAGGAGGTTTTGCACATACAGACTTTCAAAGCGGGGCCGTGCCATACTACCCCCCCTGATAAAGTGTTGAGACAATGGCGCACATGGCGCTTTTCACAGGTGGGAGGGTTGTGAGTGATGCGGTTGCCGTTCAAGGGGGGCTCAAAGCTTCAATGCCGAAAAATAAGTGGAAAACTCCCTGCAAAAAAGCTACCTACTTTGACTGACTCAAGTGTCAAAGCTATGACCCAGTTGACCAAGCTATCAACCCAGTTGACCCTGATGTTCGAAGACGGAGTATGGCCGAAAGGTTCAAACATGGCTATCTCTCTATATAATAACTGGAATGTAAGTCATGGGGAATGATCTCCTACCCCAATTTCTGGATCATCCAATTGGCGCCTAAGGAGAGGAAAGATCAGGTCCAAAATCCTTCTGGATATTTGCAACCTGGTTGCGCTAATGGAAGCGGCTCTGAAGAGCCACGCGCCATGTTTTGGGCTCCATGGGCTCCATCATGACTCGACCCCCAGTTGTTTTGTGCTGGATCCAGTTTGGGAGGGTAAAATCTGGGTATGTTTTGTTACTGGCTTACGATGTAATGTCTGAAGGCGCCTACATAAATATATATATATTCGTTGTTTTTAAAGAAGGTGCCTGTGTGCAACACCAATTGAGGTCAATCTTGGACTTTGTTTGGAGCAATCTTTCCGTTTATTCACCTGAGGTCGTAGTCGTGTTTTCCCGCGTCAAACTGTTTGCGACACATTTGGACCTGGAGATCATCCTCATATTATATGCATTGTATATTATGTTTGCATTTTTTATGCGATGTATATATATATATGTATAACAATTAACATATGTATGTGCGTTTGTATGTGTATATATATACATATGTGTATATGGATCCTATATATATAATATATTATGCATCCGGTTATATATATATATGTATCTATATGTGTTTCCTACGTCATCTATGTATAACATAAACAAACATATAAATAAATGAACAAATAAAAACACAGACACACACACACATACGTGTATATATATATATGAGTGCGTGGTTATACCCCCCATCAACCCCTTCTTTCGCCCAGGAAAGCTGCCGTGAAACGTGAGCCAACCATGGCCAGAGCGCCCATGGTCATGGCACCCATGGCCCGATCCATGGCTTTTACGGCCGCGGACCCGCAGAAGGTGCAGAAACGGGCCACCTGGCTGAACGCCAACGTCTTTCCAGATCGGCCTATCGATCAAGAGGCAGGCCATGGGCCCATGGGGGTTGCGGTGTGCGGTGTTTCTTTGGGACACCCCAAAAAGAAAAGATGGTGGGGATGTGCCACGAACACCACCATGATTATCCGAGGAAGTTTGAAGTTCGTGGCCCTCATTCCGCAATACCCAGGGGGACAACAAAGAAAACATGAACTACGTCAACATGTTCTTGGTACGTTTGTCGGATGTGTGTGCAAGTTGCAGTGTATCATACTTTGATATGGTCTTTGGTCTATATTTTGAGCATGAAATTCTCAAACGTGGTCTTCCATCTGGTAAAACCAATTCAAAAGCATCCCCAATATTACCAGAAATGGGTTGTCATGTTAGTTAAGCAATGTACTGCAACAATAAACTATATGTTGGTTTTTAAAACTGATTCATGGTAAAACTGAGAATGGTTTACAATTGTTATGAGTCCAAGAGCACGGATAATGTATGGTTTTACACAAAAATAGTATATACCAGTATATAACTATTGTTTTTCAACGGGAGGTTTCTGGCGGTGGTAAAAGCCCTGGCACCACATCCAGGCGGTGATGATGATGACGTCTTTGGGTACGGCACGTGCCATGGAGCTTTTCAAAGATGTTGAGGAAAAGCAGGAACAAGTGAGACACTTGCCATTTAGATGGAAGTTGAAGCCACTGAGTTCAATGGTATTCAATGGTATTCAATGATATTTAGGGGTGCTCAATGGTATTTAATGGTCCGTACTTGATGGTACTTAATGGTATATGGTACTGAATGATATTAATGAGACTTGATGGGACTTTATGGGATTTATCAACATAGCCATGAGACTGGGACCAGCTTTGGATACCAAATATAGTTGGGTGAAAAAAGGGGGAATCACCCGCATATGACCAAACTTTTCAGGCATTCACTTGAATTTAATGCTATCCAATGGTCCTTAATGGGACTTAATGGGATTTATATAAGGGAAATTAGTGTGATTTAACCAACATCGCGACCGGGACTCAACCAAGCCCCTCATCTCGAAGAAAGAGGTAACTAGTGGGTTATGAATCGCGGATAATAAACCAGCAATGCACCACATGTTTGGTGATTGATGAATGATCCAAAGGGGGTCCAATCTGGATCATGGAGATTGGTTTCAACATGTTTCAACTGCCCGAAGGTGCCGCCATTTTTGGTCTGGAATATCTTCATGTTTTGCTCCAATAAAGTATGCGATAATCACTTTTTGTTTTTGCGGCGCCCAAGTTTCGCACTTACAGTGACTATATAGTTACCCCGTGGTAAATTAACATAGACCCTGAAAATGACCAATTTATAGTGGAAACTAGTTTTCCAACCCCTATCTGGCAGGGTCTATGTTAATTTATTGGAGGGTAATTAGAACCTTAAAAAACAGAGACCCTCAAAAGAACATATCACAGTTGGGACAGCATCGCCTAAAAGCCATGGCACTCGGTTGGGGGCCATAGTGCCATAGTTCCCAGTGAAGCATCGCGAGTTTATAGATATTTACAATGGGCATATACCAGCCCGCAGAACAAGAGAAGGTACCAAAATAAATGGTAAATGGATATCACTGGTTCATTTCATGGTTCCTTTTGCGTCGATGCTTCGCGGAAATCCACTCAGCTGCCGAGGAAATCCCAGCGGATATTTGAAAACAGCTGCTCAACGTGACGGTCCCATCCAGCAGGTGTATCACTCCAACGGTGACGATGCTTCTTGTCGCAAAACACCAGCTGTGTGATGGTTTCTGCTGCAGTGAACAGACACGATCTTGAGACTATGAGCTGGTTGGATGTGGTTCCTCATCATTTGACATGGCATGGTTGGTCATTTCCCTTGGACCGGTTCCAGCCCCTTTGACATGGAAGGGTTGAGAAAAGTGACGCAAGACATCTTACATATCTTACCCTCTGGTAAGCGAACATGCTTGTACTACAAGCCTTGTAGCTATTGAACATGGCAGTTTATTTATAGTTGATTTATCCATTAAAAATGGTCATTTTCCATAGTTTTTGGTATGTTTACCAGAGTTGTGGAGAAAACTCCTTCTACATTTTGGTGCAATTCCTGGGTCAAAATCCGCATTTCACATTTCTTGGGAAGACCCATCAGGCTCAGCCCCATCCCCCAGCGGCTTGCGCGCAGAAAGCATCTGAGGGAAAGATTCATCGCCGCGCCACATGGCAGGGAGCCCCGGAACCATCCATAAGTTGGCTCAGAAAATTTCAAGGTTTGGGACATCTAAACACTGGACATGTGTCGAAATCCCATCATGTGGGGATGGGTCAAAACCTATTATCACTATATTTGCGGGAAAAACAATCCAGTAAGCATCTATTTTAGGGTACCACGGGTACCGGGGTTTTGACCCAGAACCATGTTGGAAATTTCAATGTGAATATATCATGATAATATTATTAAATAGATGTAAATAGATAAATAATGATAAACAAAATAACTAGATAAACAAGCTCAAACAAGCTCTGCTGAACTCCTTGAGAAGGCGATAGAGAGAGAGAGAGAGAGAAGTAAATTAAATAAATAAATGTAACATAATGTAACGATGTCACAACGCCACTGTCCCCATGCCTCCTTGATCTCCCGAGGTTGAACGGCAACATCTTTCAAGATCGCCCCATCGATCAGGAGGTCGAGTTGGAGTGGAACTCCTGGGATCGGACCGGGAGAACGGAAATTGGCTGAAAAGGGTGGTGACTGGCACTATCCCATAGGATCCATGTATGCTATATATGGTAACATTTAAGGTCAATATACCCCCAATGTTGGTATATATACCATGCATGGATCCTATGGGTATTCTATATGTAACTGGTTGTTGGTGACTGGAACCATGGCATTTTATATATTTTATGACTTTCCATATGTGATCAGATATGTGTACAGTGTAGACTATGTCACATGTAGCATATATGTTTGTATATGTGCTGCAGCCATTTTAGTGCTTTCAGCTACCTTCGAGCTGACTGAGTGAAAAGGTGCTGATCAGTGCTCAGGAGTGTTCATCAGATTTAAGAGCCCAAATTCTCTGTTCATGGTAGCGGAGCTGAGGTTCTGATACCCAGCTGTGAATGTGTAGGTGTCAACGCCGAGCTGCATCAGCTCTGGCGCGCCTACCCAGTGCCAACTGGAAAAGGTTGACACTCAAGCTCCTGAAAATCAGGAAACTCCAAAGGTACTTCCATAACCTGGGAGTGCATCTCCAACAGTATCCAAGGGTTCTCTTGAACCAGGTCTCTAAGCACCTGAAGAACGACTAAGGATGGCTCAGCAACAGCAGCCACCTCAGCAACCAGGCACTCCACCGGCACCACCACAAGCACAAGGCAACGGTCCCAACATGTCCCAGATGATCATGCAGATGATGGCCCAATTGACTCAGGGTCAGGCGCAGTTGAATCAGGCAATGACTGAGGCTATGAGCCAGCAGCTTCAGATCAACAAAAATGTTGAGAGATCTGTTGAGTACAAAGACAGATCAGAGTTGAAAGGCATACCAAAACCTGACAAGTTCAATGGAGCATCAGGCACTTGGGATAGTTGGTGGTACAAGTTTAAGACATGGGTTGAAAGTTGCCACAAGAACGCTGTGAAGATTGTGGCACAAGTCGAGTCTCAGTGTGACAAAGAGATCACTGAGTCAAGTCTAGAAGTAGACTTTGATGAAGGCGCCGAGCTAGTTTCAGCTCAGGCTAGACAAGCCCTCATATCATTGACTGAGGGAGAAGCGTTGGAAATTGTCAAGAACACATCTCGTGGTAGCCACTTTGGCCTAGAAGCCATGAGACGACTGTTGTGCAAATATGATCCTCAAAATCCTCAAGCCAATTCAGCCTTGTTGAAAAAGGTTCTGCATCCAAGTCAATGCAGTCTTGATAAGCTTCGAGAAGGGCTTGAGAGTTGGGAGAACTTGAAAAGAAAGTACGAAGACAGGAGAAAGAAACCACTTGAAGATGACATCTGCAGGAGTTGCTTGCAGCAGATGTGTCCCAACAAGTTGCAAGATCATTTGGACTTGCAGGCTTCGAGATTGACCACGTATGACCAGGTGAAAGCTGAAGTTTTGGCCTACCTTGAGAACGTCGAGACCAGGAAAGAAGCAAAGTCAGGAGCCGTTCCCATGGATGTGGATTCCCTTGCTAAGGGTAAGGGAAAAGGAAAACATGACAAAGGGAAAGGCAAAGGTAAGTCCAAAGGTAAAGACAAAGGAAAGAGTCAGTCTTCGTCTTGGTCAAACAATTCATACAACAAGTCTTGGAACAATCAGTCTTGGAACAATCAATCTTGGAATCAGCAGTCTTGGTCTAAACAGAATACCAATGACTCCAAGAGCAAAGGCAAAGGTAAGAAAGGTCAAGACAAAGGTAAAGGAAAAGGGGATCAAGGCAAAGGTCGTAAAGTTGCTAATGTTGAGTCTGACACTTGGGCTCAAGAGCAACAACCTGCAGCCTCATCTGGTGATCAACCTGAACCAGAGATCACTGCGCTGTTTGCCTTGGAAGACACTATGCCACCCAAGTCTGAAGCTCGAGATGAATCTTCTCGTCGTGGTCGAAGCCCAAGACGAGCAAACCTTCAAGCACCTTCAAGGAGCACTGTGACCAGGAGCGCTATCGTCATGGCTCAGAGCGCTTTGGCATCAGCTTCTGGGTCTAACAAGGAGCTGTTTGGCAAGATGATTGCTCAGGCTGAGAGCGCTGTCAAAGAAGCTCAGGACAAAGGGCGTCAAGCAAATCAAGCTCTTAAGGAACGCCAAGAAGCCCTGGACAAGTTGAAGAAAGAGGCAGCCCAGCATCACAAAGAGGCCAAAGTGGCAATGGCCAAAGTGAGGGCAGAAGGCCGTGCTGCTTCAGCACCGGCTGCACCCTCTCGTCGGTTGCAAGCCGACCTAGATGCTGGAGTACATGCAAGAGCTGCCAGGAAAGCAGAAAAGAGTAGGCAGAGAGCTGCTAGTCATCGAGCAGCCACTGCAAAAGATAGAACAGCTAGCTTCAAGCGCTATGAGTTGGCCACCTTTGGACAGGCCGACCCTGACAAGTGGGACAAGGATGGAACCCAAGCGCCATAGAGGAGGACATCACAGGTCTGAAAGACGAAGAGCCGATGAAGCAAGGAAGAAGGCCAATAAGGAGAAGATGAAAGAGATGAGTAAGGATGAGATCCCACAATGGATCCATGACAAGTGTGAGATTTCCTCTGAGGAGAGCATTTCCTCTGAAGGATATGAGTTTGTTAGCAGACTTGAAAAGCTGAAAACCGATCCTGAAGTCCTCAGCAAGTTGGACAACGTCTTGAAGGAAGCCTACGAGAAAGCCTATGGTGAAGTTCTTGACCTAGGATCTTCTGATGAGACAGATCCAGACGATTTGCCCTACAACCAGGAGCCAGCACCAGGCATGGAGGATGTGGTCGAGCATTGGCAGAATTCCTTTCGAAGACCCATTCCATTCAAGGAGTTGCATGAGAAGTGCAAAACTGTCTCCAACAAAGGGTATCCCTATGTGAAGTGCCAGTCATGTGGAAAGGCACTCAACTCCATGAGCGTTGCAAGCTTTTGGCAACATGTGGAGAACAAGCAATGCTATCCTCAGTATGCCCTGGAGTTTTGGAAGAAAGAACATCGTCAGGTAAAGGCAGAGAGAGAGGCACGAGAAGAAGGAGAATCATCCCAGAAGCGCCCCATGGATGATGCAGAAGCCAAAGATGAGAAGAGGCGCCAAGAGATTGCCAAGGATGAAGAAAGGAAGAAGCGCAAGCAAAGCTTTGAGGAGCACTACGAGCGCTTCAGGCACAAGGGCAAAGATGAAGTGAAGCCCGAGGTGAAGAAGATCCCCAAGAGGCCAGGGGAGAAAGAGAAGGTCGAGGAGAAAGAGAAAGAAGAAAAGAAAGAAGAAGAAGAGGCACCCAGAGCACCCATCGAGCTGAAGTCCAAATCCCCATCGAGAGCGCCTGAGGACAGCCGGGCTGATTCAGCCCAGGCGTCCAAGGGCAGGGGAAAGTTCAGCATGGGCACCAAGAGATTCCTGGAGAAGACGGTGCGTGATGCAGCTAACTACATGGAAAGAAAAGCCAGGAAGAAGAGGGAGAAAACGCCATCTCCCAAGCCCAGGGAGCATTCACCAGGAGGAGGAGTTCGGTCAGACTCCAACCTCGACTTCCTGGGAAGTTTGGCATCTCAGGTGGATACCATTGTCTGGGCCACCGTTGACTCAGGGGCAGCAACCAGTTGCCTACCCAAGGAATTGGCACAGTCATTGGAGTTGGCTATGACACCTGTGGATGAGAAGCCGTTCACCAACGCATCAGGGCAGCCAGTCCAGGTGCATGGGGTGTGCAACCCTATAGTGACCATGGGTGAGAAAGGAGGCCCACAAGTCAAAGGTGTGGGACAGTTCCGGGCAATGGATGTTGCAAAGCCATTGTTGTCTGTGTCCAAGCTGGTTGAGAAAGGCTGGACAGTAACCTTCGGCCCCAATGGATCGTTTCTGCAAAGGGGAGCCAAGAAGGTTCCAGTCACCATGACTGGAGGTGTTTTCAAGATAGCCATGGATTTTCATGGGCAGCCCATAGAAGGGTTGAAGGCGTAAGTCCTGTGGAGACCACAGAGAGCGCAGGTAGTGGAGATGATGAACCGGGCAGTAGTAAGCTAGGTTCTCAAGCGCTACCAACTGCAGCAGCGCCGACGCAGAGAGAAAAAGAAGAGCATTTTGTCAGCCATTATCCTTTTAGGAGTTGGTGTGAACATTGCATTCGAGGTAAGGCAAAGGCAATGAGACATGTCAAAGTAGATCATTCAGATGAAACAGTTCCTGTGATCTCAGCTGACTATTGTTTCATGAATTCAGTGGATGACACTGTCATCACAGAAGAAGTGCAGAAAAAGCATGCACCAGTTTTGATAGTACATGATCGATGGTCCAAGTTGACCTACGCACACGTTTTGCCATACAAGGGAGTTACCCAAGGTCCTATTGGATCTAAGTGTCTTTTGAATGACCTTAAGAAGTTTGGGTACCCCAAGATGGTCATGAGGTATGACCCAGAGCCTGCACTCAACTCCGTAGTTGAGGCAGCCAAGAATGGTTTTGACAAACAGTTGGTTTTGGAAAAAGTTCCCAAAGGAGTCTCAGAATCCAAAGGGGAAATTGAAAGAGCAGTTCAAGCTATTGAATCTCAATCCAGGACACTCAGAAGTGCCTTGGAGACAAGCTATGGAAGAAAGGTGCCAGACGACCACCCAGTTTTGACATGGTTGGTTGAACATGCTAGCACCACTTACAATTTGTTTCACAGATCATTGGAAGTCAAAGATGGGAAGACACCGTACTCTAGACACCGTGGTCGTGAGTGGAGAGTGTCATTACCACCATTTGGGGAAACAATTGAATTCCTCAAAAGAGGTCACAAGTTTGAACAAAGATGGCACCAAGGAGTTTTCTTGGGAGTCAAAGACAATACCACTGAGAAGATAGTGGGAAATGCATCAGGTGTTTTCACTGTGCAAAGCATTCGACGCAAGAGTGCTGACGACAGATATGATGCCGAAACTTTGATGTCAGTCACTGGGGTTCCCTGGGATCCTCAAGCATCAAAAAGAGATGATGTTTTGCTTCCTCAGATTGTTGGGGGAGATCAGCAGCCACTGGCGCCATCAGTGCCAGTTGAGCCACCAAAGAAGTCGACAAGACGACTTTACATCACCAAACGTGATTTGGACAAGTATGGCTACACCGCTGGTTGTGTCGCCTGTGATGCCACTAGAATTGGCAAAAGAGGCACTGGAGTTCATCACACTCCAGCCTGCAGAGAAAGGATGGAACGTCTGCTTCAAGCAGAAGAGGGCAACCTGAGAGTAGCCCAACATACGGCCAAGGTTGATTCTGAAATCACTGGTCAGAAACAAGAAGTGTCCGAAGAAGGCACAAAGATTCTTTATGGGTATTCAAGTGAGAAACCACAAGAAGTTCCTCACGGTTTTAAGGTGTTTGCGCGCCTTGACAAGAATGCAAGGTATCTCAAGGGTACTATGCCAGAAGGTCCCAGTTGGGATAATGTCTGGTGGAGAGTCACCAGAGATTTCAAAACAGGAAACATTATCAAGTCTGAACCAATGGATCCTAGTTTAGGAGATGAAGTCATCAACGCGCCTTTGATTGATGACGCAGATATCGTCACTGAACTGTGGTACTCAGCCACAGGGGAATCTGCTCCAAGTTTGCCAACAGCTGGACCTGCTATCGCGAGGCAGAGTCCTGCTACCGGACAAGCTGCAGATCCACCTGCAGAAAGCGCAAGCGCAAGCACAGCCTCAGCCAAGAGGGCAGGAGGCGAGCAAGAAGAAAGAGCACACAAAAGGTTGGAAATGTCTCCAACTAAAGGTCGGAAAAGACCTGCAGACTCAGGAGGCGAAACGTCAAAGTCCAAGGACAGCCGAGCTGTTTCAGCTCAGGCGTCTAAGGGCACCAAACGGCCACCTGAGAATGAGAGACCAGAAGACATGGATGACATAGACCAATGTCTTATGAACCTGATCATGGAAGATCGGGAGAAGTACCTTCAGTCCATTGAAGGTGAAGAAGAGCCAGTTTGTGAAGAGACAATTCCTCTTCCACCAGAACTGGAAGATGAAGCAGCCACATGGTATTATTACGATGATATCAGTGGAAAGATTTTAGACAGCAAAGGTGTAGAACAAGCCAGAAAAGATGAGGTCGAAATCATCGAAAGTTTTCCAGTTTGGGAAAAGATTCCCAGACACAAGATGCCCAAAGGGGTACGCACCATTGGAACACGATGGGTAGATGTCAACAAGCAGGATGAAGAGAATCCACTTTATAGAAGTAGGTTAGTAGCTCAAGAAGTCAAGAAGGGCTCAGGTTTTGATGAGTTCTTCGCAGCTATGCCCAGTTTGTCGGCTTTGAAGATGCTAGTTACAATAGCCGTCACGTTTCAGTTGCCAGACGCTGGAAAAGCTGTCAAGGAAGCCTATCGCAAGCGTAGACTTCTAGGATTTTTGGATGTGAAACGCGCCCACTTTTACTCAGATGCGACGCGTGAGATCTATGTGGAACTTCCTGCAGAAGCAAAGAAGCCTGGAGAAGATGTGGTAGGAAGATTGCTCAAGTCTTTGTATGGAACCAGAGACGCACCTCTCAACTGGGAGTTGCAAATACAGAAGGTTATGTTAGCCTTAGGTTTCAAGCAAGGAAAAAGCAATCCATGCATTTACTACCATGCAGGCCGAGACCTCAGAACTGTTGTACATGGAGATGATTTTACAACAGCCGGAACATTTGACAACATCAAATGGCTTCATGAAGAGCTGTCGAAGAAGTGGAAATGTGTGGAACGTGGTATTTTAGGACCACCAGGAACACCAAACACCATCCAGGACATCAGAGTCCTGAACAGAATTATCACATGGAAGGAGAATGGAATTTGGTGGGAACCAGATGCACGTCATGCAGAGTTGGTGATTGATTTACTCGGAGATGGTCCCCGAGGAGCCAAAGTCAAGACACCACTTGCCAAGGGTTCAGTGGAAGACCTCAAGAACGCCACTGTTTTTCTCAATGATGAAGAAGCAACCCAGTACAGATCAGTTGCAATGCGAGCAGCTTATTTGGCACAAGATCGACCAGATCTGCAAGTAGCGACAAGATCTTTAGCACAAGGGCTACAACGACCAACTACCAGCCACATGCTTATGCTCAAACGAGTTGCACGATACCTAAGGTATCGACCACGCATGGCACAATTCTTTCCTCATCAGAGCAAACTCAGTCCATTTGTGATGTGGTCTGATGCTGACCACGCTGGTTGCGTGAAGACGAGGAAGAGCGTGTCAGGAGGCGTCCTGATGGCCGGAGGTTGTTGTATCAAGACTTATTCTAAAGGACAAGGAGTTGTTAGTCTTTCGTCTGGAGAGAGTGAGTATTACGCTCTTGTGAGCGGTGCCAGCAATTTGCTGGGAGAAGTTTCAACCGCCAAAGACTGGGGTTTGCAACCCGAGAGTGAAGTTTTCATGGACGCAAGTGCAGGAATAGCAATGGGTTCTCGCAGAGGACTAGGCAAGGCCAAGCACGTGGATACTCAATACCATTGGGTACAAGACCGCGTTGCCAAGCGCTATTTTCGGCTGAAGAAGGTCGACACTGGCGATATGCTTGCCGACGTCTTGACGAAACCTGTCATAGAAGAGAAAATGAATAAAGCCTTGCGGAATATGAACTTTCACTTTCTGGAAGGTGAACATCACCTGACACTGAGAGCATAGATGGCTTGAGCGTGGCTATGAGTAGCTGTACATATCAAAACTCGCCTAGTTCAAATAATTGGACGGGAGCGCCGTTTTTAAACAGGCTCGGGAGGCGTGATCAGATATGTGTACAGTGTAGACTATGTCACATGTAGCATATATGTTTGTATATGTGCTGCAGCCATTTTAGTGCTTTCAGCTACCTTCGAGCTGACTGAGTGAAAAGGTGCTGATCAGTGCTCAGGAGTGTTCATCAGATTTAAGAGCCCAAATTCTCTGTTCAATATGTCCATTCAGTTGGGAATGGAATGTCATCATCCCAACTGACGAACTCCATGATTTTTCAGAGGGGTTGGTTGAAACCACCAACCAGTTATAATCTTCAGCAATTAATCCCCAATTGTTGGTCAAAGCTCCACTTATTGGAGGACACTTCTCTTCAATATACGACCCTGCGGGTTTTTCAACACTGGGGGAATGTCTTGGATTTGTTCATTCTGCAGTCAGTGCAGTCCGCCAAAAAAGAGGGGGGAATAGCAACATTAGCACTGAACTGATATTCATGAATCGGTTTACGTGGGGAGTGCGAGCAGTTTACAAGGAATTCACCATATTTCATCTAACCAGCAATCAACTTGATATAATGCCGGCGCATCCAATGCCCCTGGCCCATTTCGAATGATGAATCCCTTTCACTTCCTTCGCAAGATATGATGTTTAAGGGAATCATCGTCACACATCGTAACGCTTGAATCGTATTTGAAGTTCAAGAGGTTTCAATAGTTTTTATCAATGAATTGAGAGTTGCCTGGGCATGTCACTGGAGTGTAAAAAGTAGACCGCAACTACTTAGCTTGACATTTTAACAGGCAGGTTCCGCACGCATGGTTGAAATATCATACATGCTATGATTGAGGCTATCTATATAACTTGATCAACATTTTTCGTAACTGAACTTCATGAACACACACACACACACACACTCACACACACATACACATATATATATATATGTGTGTGGATAAATTATAACGGCCTCACTGCGACCTCACTATATATAATCATTATGAATAAGAGGAATCATCCCCAAATGGCCTTAGTTCAGGTTAGTGAAATATTATAATTTACCCACACACACACATATATATATATATACTGGGTGGTGGTTTGGAACATTTTTTATTTACCCCAATAGTTGGGAGGATGATCCAATCTGACTAATATTTTTCAGAGGGGTTGAAACCACCAATTAGTATATATATATATTTATATATATATGTATAACTTGACTTGACCAGCCGCAGGCCATCCAGGCCCTTACCACGGTGGGCACTGCGCGGGCCATGGCGCTCTACAAGGATCACTAAATGGTGGGTCAACGAACGGTGGATTCCCAGCATTGCCTTGAAATCTGTGGTGAAACATTTGTAACAATATGCTGGTTGGTGGTGACTGGAACCATGGAATTTTATGACTTTCCATATATTGGGAATGGAATAATCATCCCAACTGACGAAATCATATTTTTCAGAGGGGTAGGTATACCACCAACCAGATATGGCTTTGGACATGTTTTTTCAACGGTCATTTCAGGAACCTAAATTGGAGGTACCTACCATATATAAGGCCATGTAAGGAAATATCCCCACAAAATATATAGCCTTATATGGTACAGTACCTTCATTTTAGGATCCTGAAATTGCCATTGAAAGTTGGAGCCACCAAATGTTGAGATAACGCCATGGTAATGCAGCCAGCAAAGATGTTGTCATCAGTAATTCAGAAAAGGTGAACGTCAACGAGTCAACCCAAAACCAGAGGTATCTAAACTGCAGAAATTATGGACATATGAATCATATGGATTTCACCAGCGAAAATTGGACGATGCCTAAGAAAACGGGGGTGTAACTGATTGATTGCCAGCAAAAAAACAATGATATGGGATGGTATACCTTTCTTAGACCTATTATTATATACCAACAAAACTTGGAACTCAGCCAAAATAAATGGGTAGATTAGAATGCGTCCGCACTGGTCATGATTCCGCATATGGAATTTGCCAACCTTGTGCTGGTTTGTGGAATGCTTATGACAAAAATTACCTTGCAGTGCTTTAAGAGGTCATATTTTCTATGACCAGGAGCCAACTCAGCAATCCCATGGGCCAGATGCGTTTGCAGTGATTCCACTCAGAGCAAACAAATTCTACAACGATCTGACTAATTATTAATTGATAATAATTGGGGACACTCAGTCGATAATAATTATCTACACAATGTTTGTGGGTTGTTTGATAATAATTGGGACACTCAGTGACTCGTGTTTAAGATTCTTAAGATGTTGAAACAGTGTTTGCAGAGACACATCAGGACCACTTTTGAAAAACATCCCATGTTTGTGTACCAATTGATTAAACTGCTTTAGCAATAGTGAGCTTTCATCATGTGGATTTGATCAAGCAGATGCACGTTCTTGATTACCATCAATTTCCCAGATCTAGATGTTTAGGACAACTATTCTCTTGGTCCAACCAATAACTTAGCAAAATGTTAGATTTGGGCAAGATATGTATCTCAAAATATGTAGGTCCCATTGGTTTCTCAGGTTTTTGGGCCACGATTGATGTTCCGGCAACCTGCACTGAAACTGAATTCTGCGGCGGCCGTAGGAGGTGGAAGAAAAACAGGAGCAGGTAAAAAATCCAAGTGGATCCTCTGCAGCAAATCCGCGGCGTGAAGTTGATATCTTGTGGGTCTACATTCAATGTCGGGATCTATCAAAATTTGAGATCTATTGAGTGAGGAGGGAGCCAGGGAAGTTTTCAGAGTTTTTCCAACCACATGATAGCTGAGAATTCCAAAAACCCAAGTTTGGGGCCCACAATTTTTGACACGTGTCATATTTGCGCGTGCTGAGAAGTTTCAAGATCGTCAACGAGAGATGTCTGGACCGTAAGATCCAATCCTACTGGTGTGGTGAGACCAAAAAGAACTAAGACGCACTGGTCAAGACAGTTGATTAAGCACACAAATGGATACACGTGGTAAAATCCGGTAACAGGAGGCAATATGGTAAACCTAATGATATATGATGAACCTCCCATTTCTGACAAAATTGGGGACGGTTTACAGTATAGCATTGGGTTTACCAGATCATGGTGTATTCCTGGCATTGAGATCAACGTCAGACTTTGGGACCTATGATCGCCCAATAGTAAGCTGAACAGACAGATACAGACAATAATTGGCACAACAAAGTCCGATTCAGAATGTTGCTGATTCGGATTTACCACATTCTGTGTTTATACAATCCTGCTGTAAACTATTGTAAACTGTTACTGACTTGATTTAATTCCCTAATCTTTTTATTGGATACGCAAACAAAACCATGTTAGAATGTATTGAACATTGACTAAATAGCTCCATATTTGAGATCAGGATTGTTAAACCATCTTAGACCACCATGGGATCTTAGCCATGTTCTACCAGCCCGCAGGCTATTTGAAGACTGCCGTGGCACGAGATGGGCCTGTCAGCGGATATGTGGCCCGTTGACGAGGAGTTGTTGGAACGTTTCACCTTGAGAAGGAAAACACGGGCTTGAACGAGCAAACATGACCAGAAATTATGATAAATGGACTTTTGACAACGGATATGTGTATTTTTTTGAACTTAACCGCTTGAAATATGCAAACAATATGTAAAAAAAACAGATAAGAACATGCGGATTCAATGCAACCAACAAATATTAGAATCAACAACAGAAACTGGGATGCCCGACCATATAACCGGTGTGTTTTTCAATGATTGATGACCGTCCCCATCCCTGGCAAAACTCCATTCTATATGCTTGGTTGTCAATGGAAATACCCTACTTTCCATATACAGTGCTCATTGAATCTTGATTAATATTGATTAATGTTGATAATAGAAGTATGAGGGATGTTTTTTCCCCCCAGATTGCATGCAAACGACCCCCCCAACAAGCAACATGTTTCAGTTGTTCTTTTTCAGAGCCAAGGCTGCACCGGCTGCAAACGTGCACATGCAGTCGGAAAGGGAGGAACAATCCAAGATTCAGAAAAGGATCACCTGGTTGTTCCTCGGCAGGGCTGGGTGCTGGATGGAATGGATTCGCCTATAGATGATATAATGCTATAAACGGGGAAGCAGATTTGCAATGGGACCAAGCTGCTGACCACCTGGGATCTGCTGAGATGGGGCCGGCTGACCACTTGGGACCATGGCGTCGCCGTAGCAAGTCATGGCCCTTAGATGGAACAGTGGAAACGAAAAAAGACATCTGAATATATCTAACTTCCTAAATTCATGTCCATTCATTTCCCACTAAGCCTGCATTTTTAGGGCCCAATGACTAGTTGAAGTGAGGTTCGAGTTGCCCAGTTGCCCAGTTCACTTGCAGTGCCTGTACCTATCCTCACTTAAAGAATCTATTTTATTAGCATTGTCACTTTCATTACTACCATGGTATACCATTGCCAAGTTGATATGATATTCTTCAATTGTAGTTATTTTACCCCTGATGTTATCATCATGATTGCTAGATCATATATCGTAGCGCAGGAGTCCAGATAGTCCAGACAGATTTTGCCCAGGAATGCGAATGTCTTCCCTGATCGCCCCATAGACACAGAGGTCCCAAGCGATGTTTGAATTGGGAAAGGATGGAAAGTCTTAAGACATTCTTCAAAATTGAATGAGAAACTTGGGTACCCTGTGGTAATGAAACATGGCAATTGAAAATCCCCTATACATGGGGTTTAGCGGGGAAATCATCCATAGAAGGGAAAAATCCATTGCCATGTTTGATTACCAGAGGGCAAATCTTGGACAGATGGTTTAATATTATATGTTTGTATTCACGTATTGCTTTAGAGAAAACTGGCGGATATGTACTAGCCAGCCAACAAATGCAAGGTGTCGAAGATTGGCCAGGAAACATGTTTTTCCGACATGGGCTTGGCTACCTCTCTGAGAATGCTACAATTCTTGGCAACATTTGGCCAATATAGTTCAAGAGGATGGAAACCACCAACCAGATAATTTCAAAGTTGTTTATCAACTGCAACTCGTTACTTCTCAGAATGATTCTTGGCTTGGGAGGATTTATCCACGGTTTCCACCTCAGTTCCGTCCATGATAAAGTGTGGGAACATTAGTACATTCTTTGTTTCTTCACACTCTTGTTGGTTAAAGCCGTTAAAGCCTTTTATCCTTTGTGCTATGTCCTCATCTTTCTGTCTTCTATCTGAGATTTTTGCTTATCATATTCAAGAATTGTGGTTTCCCAATTGGTGGATTCCTAAAATGGGCCAAATCATCCAAGTCATTACTGGGTGCAGTTCAACTTTGTTTACTGAGTGTTTATCACGAAAGGTAGCTCCAGTGGTGCTACCTTGAGTTTAGCTTTACGAAGTAAAGGGGAGGCTGGCCAGCCCAGGTACCTGATTATTCAGGCGATTGCTGTTCATTTGAGGACCCCCCCTCCGCTCCCTCCACGAACCCTAAGAGCAGACCCAAAACACTGTAATTTACAGTGTTTTTGTGCCTTTGGCATGGAAAAAGTACTTCTTTCAACACACTGAAAACAACAACAACAACAACAACCACAACCACAACCACAACCACAACCACAACCACAACGACAACGACAACGACAACGACAACAACAACAACAACAACCACAACCACAACAACAACAACAACAACAACAAACACCACCAGCAGCAACAAACACCACCAGCAGCAGCAAAAACAAAAACAATAACAAGAACAACAGGAACAAGAAGAACAACAAAAACAAGAAAAACAATAATAACAAGAAGAACAACAAGATCAACAATTAAAAAAAACAACAACAACAACAACGACGACGACGACGACGACCACGACCACGACCACGACAACGACAACGACAACGACTACAACAACAACAGCAACACCAACAGCAACAACGACAACAACAACAATCTTTATGATCAGAGTGTTGCCCGCCGGACCTCAACCACAAGAATCTCCGAAGATATATCAGATATAATGCCAGATAGAATTGCAGAAAATATATATGTAATATGAGATAAAATGCGAATGCCAGATAGCATGTCAGAACATATGTCAGAAAAGTGACACTTGGTGGGGATCACTCGAAGACAGTAATTTGTTCCGAAGGCTTTCAAAATTGACTTAAGACAGCCAAAGTGACGCCTTGTGGGGCCCTGCGCGCATCATCAACAACGGTAACAGCATCAAGCATTTGATCTTGGATTCTTTTGTTTCATTTTTGTTGCGCTTCGGCTGTGGTGACGCATTCTGCACCGATACATTTCTACAAACAGGCGACGTTACGCACAGAAGTGCGGAGAAGCCTTTACACAGAGCAGCTTTTTCGCGCACCTATTCTTACACGAGAGGTTTGTGCACGAAAAAACTTTTGTGCACAGACGCCTTTCCACAGAGGTTTTTTACGCAAAGAAGGAAGTATTTACACACAGATACACACAGATGCTTTGTACAAAGATGCTTTTGCAGTCATGAATAACGGCACATATACATAATATACATATATTATTAGGCGTTTTTTACACAGAACCTTTTTCCACAGAGAAACCTTTGCACAGAACAATTTTTACACATGTTTTTTCTACACAAAAAACATTTGACACAGAGAAACTTGTAACTTGTACACACAGACTGCACACATATTTTTTTACAGACCGACTTTTTTTGCACGCAGAAACTCTATCCGGAGCAATTTTTACACAGCAGAAACTTTTTCGCACAGTTACCTTTACGCACAAAACAAAATATGCACAACACTTTTTTCCCCACCTGCCAGGTGAGGGTTGTTAGATTTTATCAGAGTTGTTCTTCTCCTCCTCCTCCTTCTCCTCCTCCTCCTTCTCCTCCACCACCTCTGCCTTCACTTCCATGTCCACTTCGCCTTGCCAACTCTTCGCCAAGCTCTTCGCCAACTTCCGCACGCAGTGGCCACTGCTGGACCTCAACTGCAAGGGTCTGAGCGCACTGGGCACCGCTGGACCTCAACCTGGGACCTTCCGAGCTCCGTGAGCACCGCTGGACCTCAACCTGGGACCCTCCGAGCTCAGTGAGCACCGCTGGACCTCAACGGCCAGATAGAATGCCAGAAGATATGCCAGATAGAACGCCAGATAGCATGTGAGATAGAATGCCAGAAGATATGCCAGATAAAATGCCAGAAGATATGCCAGATAGAATGCCAGAATGTTTGCCAGATAGAACGCCAGTAGATTTGCCAGATAGAATGTCAGAAGATATGCCAGAAGATTTGCCAGATAGAGTGCAAGAAGATATGCCAGAACATATTGCAGAAGATATGCCAGGTAGAATGCCAGAAGGTATGCCAGATAGAATGCCAGAAGGTATGCCAGATAAAATGCCAGAAGATATGCCAGATAGAATGCCAGAAGGTATGCCAGATAGAATGCCAGAAGGTCTGCCAGATAAAGTGCCAGAACATATGCCAGAAGATTTGCCAGATAGAATGCCAGATAGAATGTCAGAAGATATGCCAGAAGATATGCCAGATAGAGTGCCAGAAGATATGCCAGAACATATTGCAGAAGATATACCAGGTAGAATGCCAGAAGATATGCCAGATAAAATGTCAGAAGATATGTCAGATAGAATGCCAGAAGATTTGCCAGTAACAAAACTATAGATGTCATGGTGGGGATAACTCGAAGTAAAGTAATTTACAGACAGACGGTTTTTACACAGAAAGTTCTCCGCACAGAAGTCTTACGCACAGAAGGTTTTACGCACATTTTTTTACATACAGATGCTTTACACACAGATGTCTTTACACAAACACAAAATGCACACAGAGAGGTTTTGCCTCCCTTCTTGATCACCTACCTTTCGTGTTCCCCCTCAAGTACTGTGTATGTATATATATATATATATATTGTTTTTCCTTTACATCATGATATATTATTGTATATTAATATTTCTTTTTATTATTATGAATTAGTAGTTAACATATGTTGTTGTTATTTATAGATATTTATAGCATCATTACAACCATTATTGTCGCATTATTTTGTTTAATGTTTTTATTTTATAAATAATCTAATATATTTGTATGTACACTATATATACTAGATTTTATATATATGTACAGAAAATAAGCGAGAGAGGTATAAATATGGGGTATGTCCCAACTTATGTGGCTAATAAGATTTTATAACAATTTCACATGAATTTGTACATATCAACCTTGGATTTGCTAAATCGGTGATTGTTGATTTTCCAGGCAGGGGCATCTACTGGGAACTTGTTTGTGTCAAATTTTTGGGAGCCATTTTGAGCAAATCCCAGTACAAACTGGGCCCCGCCGCCCCGCTTGTAAAGATTTGTAAAGCCCATGAATTATAACAATATCATATCAACCGCATTTTTTCCATCAACTTAGCCATAAACCAGCTCTAGCGCCTCCGGTGCAGTGCCCGGAGCTCGAAGAAAGCGCGCCAGGCGACCGGTGCCATGTTTGGCTTGGGCATCAGCCGAGCCTTCGAGCTCTTGAAGGATGAAGTGCTGCTGGTTTCACACATAAATATACATACATGTTCATGTATATAGTTATATATATATATTTATTTATTTACTTATTTATTTATTTACTTTTTTTTAATTACATCATATTACATAGAGGTGAATGATATAATGTTATCAATATAATATATAATATATAATATATAATATATAATATATAATATATAATATATAATAAACAACAACAACAACAACCACAACCACAACCACAACCACAACAACAGCAACAGCAACAGCAACAGCAACAGCAACAGCAACAACAACAGCAACAGCAACAGCACCAACACCAACACCAGCAGCAGCAGCAACAACAGCAACAGCAACAGCACCAACACCAACACCAGCAGCAGCAGCAACAACAACAGCAACAACAACAACAATAATAGCAATAATCATTATTTTATATATGTATATATGTATACTTCATATATATATTCTTTTATGTTTGCCAATTGTATATACACACGCGCGCACCTAAGGACCTACGTCTGTTAAGTTGTTCTTTAAAGAGTCGCTTCGATTTGTTGAAACGCTCCCACTGACATGGGTACATTTGGGTCATTGTTAGCCGGCAATTTTGAGGTGCCCTCCTGGTCTTGATTCCTACCCTGCCCCAATCACAGTACCCACTAGTAGCAAGACCGCCTAAGCCATAGTTCAACTTATATAATATATATATATATATTTAAATTTGTGTATATGTATACATGTATATATATATATATAAGTTATATACGTAGAATGAGAGGTATACATGTATAAAATATATTTGTTTTTATACAGCTGCTAGAGATATCTATGTGTGCGGGTGTGATTCAATGGTCCGCTTCCAACTGGATTTCACTCCCGGTGCCCGTGGCCTGAAGGAGATTGAAGGTAAAGCCCAAGAGCTCAGGACGGTTGTGGTGCCTCATGAGCGGTAGATATCGGTAGACCCGGTAGACCCAGTAGACCCGGTAGACCCGGCACAAGGGGGCTTTAAAAGGATATGATAATATATATATATATATGTATGTATGTAATGAATGAATGAATGTATGACTGAATGTATGTATGTAAGTATGTAGTGTATGTATGTATGTATGTATGTATGTATGTATGTATGTATGTATGTATGTATGTATGTATGTATGTATGTATTAATGTAATGTAATGTAATGTAATGTAAAGTAGTGTAATGTAATGTCATGTCATGTCATGTCATGTCATGTCATGTATGTAATGCAATGTAATGTAACGTAACGTAACGTAATGTAATGTAATGTAACGTAGCGTAACGTAATGTAATGTAATGCAATTAATGTATGTATGTAAGTATGCATGCATGCATGCATGCATGTATGTATGTATTTATGTATGTATGTATGTATGTATGTATGTATGTATGTATGTATTATGTATGTATTATGTATGTATGTGTGTGTGTATGTATGTATGTGTGTATGTGTGTAAGCGTGTATATGGATATAATGGGATATAATGGGATATGATGTCATATTATAATTTTGATACCGTTATATATATTTATATACATATATATATATTCTTGGATCTAATGACATAGGATTTTATGCGGCTGATTTAATCAACCAATAGAGTCACTAGAGGGAGGTTGCCTAGGTAAGTTGGATGAAATAACTGGGCTAGCGGACGGATTCAGGAATTTTTGTGGTTGGTATATCGACAGTTGGGTGGGTGAAAGCGAGTGGGTTTAAACCTGGGGGCCACAACCTGTGCAGTAATCCTGGAATTGGCAAAGGCGTTTCTGAATTCTGTGCAATACGAGTTTATACATATATATATATATTTTTTTAAAAAAATATATATATATATTTTTAATCATCAGAATATGGAGATACATAACCAACCACTGATGGACATCTTGGGGACACATAGATATACATATAGCACCATGTAGCTAACCTCTAAACAATTCCAGTCAACATCAGTTAACCAGGTATTAACCAATATTCCATTAATATCTCTAATAGCCCATTGATATTCCATCAAAAATACTACATTTTGTCGAAACCCCCAAGCTCGCCGCCGGCAGGAATCCAACTGGCTATTTGAAGACAGCCGCGATGCGTGAGGGGCTGGCCCCTCCGGACCAGGGCCAGGGCCAGGCAATGTGGCGATGGGGAGATTACCATACTGGTTATGTATACCCTGACCATCAGCTGACCCATAAAATTACACCGGCACTAGACCCCCAACAGTGTGGGGAGTAGGAAGTCGATGTACCAGATAGTTAGACATTATCGCTAGTGCAGCAACAGGACCTTGTAGATCGTTTGTGTGAGCCTGCGCAGTCGAAATGAACATGGACATGTCACAAGAGCAGTCTTATGCGAGAATTTACAGGGAAAATGCTGGGGCCCACCATCGGACAAAATTCGCAGCGCGGACTTTGTGCGAGCCTGCGCTGTCGAAATGCACATGAACATCGCACAAGAGCATACAAGAGCCATTTATGCGAGAATTTGCAGCAACAAAGCCGGGGATCACAAAGCGTACTCTGATCAAACCCCAGCCTTAACTCCTCCCGTAAGAAACCCTTCAGTGTGGACAGACTGTTTGGGGAAAACTGGGTAAACATGGTAACACATGCTAAGCATGGTAAAGATGGTAAAACATCAGACATGCTTTGGCAAACAGTATGGAAATCGTAGAGTAAATAGAAAGTTTCATGAGTAAATTCAGGGCCTGTTAGAGGGAAATGTCGCTGGAATATATTTGAATAGTCTAAGTTGCCGAAAAAACTGGCAACATGCTGTCTACTAGGGTGAAACGCTAAAGTAATTTCTGTCCATGTTGCAGGTCCAATTAGTGGACATTGGCTGTGACTGTGGCCTAAGTCTGTGATTTGGTACGTTTTGAACAGTGATCAGCTGCAAGACGGTGATTTTATAAAACATGCGTATCAAGACCTCGAACCTGGCAACAGCCACGAACATAATCTCAGTTGGGTTGCAGATTGAGTTTATGGTGCATCCTGGCGCTGACTCTCTGACATGTTTCTGGCTTAAATATGCTTAAATCGGAAACTAAAAATCACCAAACTTTTGGATGAACATCCCAACGAGGGACCCGGGGGAATGCTTTACTCATATGTTTCACTTTTCCGTTCTGAGCCCAGCGTGATTCTCCAGATATATCATGATATATCCGGAACGTGTTGCCAACATGGCACATATTTTGGATGTGAAAAAGGGTGAAAATCAAACGGCTGTTCTGCGAAGTGACCCTATCTTTGGGCCATCCTTGGAATTCCTGCAGCCGCAGGCAGCAGTACAATCTTCCCAGGACTGAAGCTATTGCTGGGAGGGTGGTGATGCTTTGAAGTCATTTTTCCTTTGGATTTTGTTTGGAGTTTGAGATGGTTGATATAGATGTTGATATTTGTTGATATATGTTGAAATGGCTAGCCATTTCTGATTTTTCCATGTTGGCTGGTTTCTCACCTGGCCAGTATACAGTTTCACCAAGAGAAGTCCCCTGGCAATCACATAGTAACATAACATCACTAAGAAAACATCACTACCTTCTGCACGCAGAAGGCGCTTGGAATCCTGCCGGGGCCCCTTCGACTGCAGGAGGATAAGGTTAGTCGACGTGTGCCTTGTCGTGTTGAATAGCCTACGGATCTGTAGGCTGGTGGTCAGAGCGTCACAAATGAACAAATTGGTTTTGGCCTGTACAAATCTCAAGGAGTTCAGTTGTATAGAGTTTCTGGCGAAATGTAAACTTGACATGTTTTCTTCTCCAAAAGAGATTTTAAAAATGCGTCAACTGCAATCATCAAGCCAAGGCTGCACACCAAACTGTGACCTGTGTGTGTGATTTTGATTCTTTGGGATGTATATAATGCGTTTGACAGTAGCCTCTAGACTTTGACACTTTGGGTTTGCAAGATGGTGTTGATGATCCCCTTGGAATTTCCTCTTAAAAAGATGGAGAGTCCATGTTAGCCGCTGAATTCCCAGAGGGGCTGTTGATGTATGTTGATGTATCTTTTCGTGGATCTGGTTGGTGGTTTGGAGCATTTTTCATTTTTCCATATATTGGGAATAAAAATCCCAACTGACTAAAATTGTTCAGAGGGGTTGACACCACCATCAATCCCACAGCGAGGCCAGATGGTTGAACAAGAACCTCTTCCCGGACCGACCCATCGACCAGGAGGCATCTGGAGGATCTGCCGGTCGCATGGCGTTTTTTTCCTCAAAATGTTTCAAGTTTTTTTGGAAGAATCCAATCATCGAAGGAAGTTTAGAAGTCAAACTTCCGACAACATGGACAGATGAAAAGCAGAGATGGAAAGGGTTAGAGAGAAGAGAAAGAGTAGAAGAGAGAAGAGTAGAAGAGAGAAGAGCAGAAGAAAGAAGATCCAGATGCGCGAAAAGGTAGAAAAGCCGCGAAACACTGTGTTTTTCCAATGATTTGTGGCTCCGGAGGGTCGAAAAGTAGGCTCGCTAAAGCGGCGGGTGCGGAGCCATCTGGCCAGATGAGAGATGAAAAAGTGCACGCCGTTGTGGCGCGAAGCACATTTCGAAGTCAAAATGTGCAAAGCACACCTGTGGCGCGAAGCACATTTCGAAGTCAAAATCTTAAAAAACACTAGGGGTTCGGACCACTTTCGGAGGTTCAGAAGTCGTTCCGCGCGGCAGGCGCAAGGGATTGTGCACCTTGTCAAAAGTGAGCAAAACGTGAGGGTTTTGTAGTATTTCCAAAAGCGATGGCAGGCGTGGGACATTTGAAGAGGATCTGCAAAGATCTGCAAAGATGCATTTTCCGTGGCAGGCGCAGTACAAGAGACATCTTCATCGGAGCTGTTAGGATGTGAAGGCGCTGATTTCCTGAGAGGGGTTGCATTTGGAGCATCAGATCTTCAGGTTTGCTGAGATGATTTTGCGTGACAGGTGCAGCACTTCGTATGACTTGGCATCACTTTTTCGTGGCAGGCGCAGTACTTTCGACAGGTGGACTGGAAAAATCACAAAACGCATTGGTACGAAGCTGTTAGCTCTGCACTCAACTTTCCATTTTTGAAGGAAGTCTCGCAGAATTGCTTTGTTTTTGATGTTGTCACGTTCAAAAATTGAAGAAGTCTCGCAGAATTGCTTCGTTTTGGATGTTGTCAAGTTCAAGAAATGAAGAAGTCTCGCAGAATTGCTTCGTTTTGGATGTTGTCAAGTTCAAAAAATGAAGAAGTCTCGCAGAATTGCTTAATTTTCAAGCTTGCAGATAGATAGGTAGATAGACAGGCAGACAGACAGAGAGAGAGAGAGAGAGATAGACAGATAGATGGACGGATAGATAGATAGATAGATTAGATTAGATTAGACTAGATTAGATTAGATAGATAGATAGATAGATAGGTAGATAGATAGATAGATAGAGAGATAGAGAGATAGAGAGATAGATAGGTAGATAGATAGGTAGATAGGTAGATAGGTAGGGAGGTAGATAGGTAGATAGGTAGATAGGTAGATAGCTAGCTAGATAGCTAGATAGATAGATAGATAGATGGATAGGATAGATAGACAGCTAGATAGATAGTTAGATAGATAGGTAGATGGACAGATGGATAGATAGATAGATAAACAGATAGATAGATAGATAGATAGATAGATAGATAAACACATAGATAGATAGGTAACTCGATAGATAGATAGGTAGCTAGATAGATAGATAGATCGGTAGGTAGGTAGGTAGGTAGGCAGGCAGGCAGGTATGTAGGTAGGTGGGTAGGTAGGTAGGTAGGTAGGTAAATAATCAGAGAAAGAGAAAGAAAGAAAGAAAGAAAGAAATAAAGACAGAGAGAGAGAGAGAGAGACCTGTCGCTCCAGCAGTGGCTTCGCTCTGTCATCCCTGATTCTCAACAACCAACCTTTCCTATACGTTTCCTGTTTTTGAAACTTCCGCCACCGCCTTGTGCGGTACTACTGGTATCCAATCAATTCAAATCACCATCATATTTTCATATATTTTCTATTCTCATCGATGTCGATGATTATAGATGTATAAATAAATAAATATATATATATATTTATATATAATCATGATGTATATTTTTCACCCAATGGGGGTACTGATGAGATATTGCTATGATTACTCTAGTGGCAACACTACGTCACATCCCAAAACGGTTTGTTCACCCCAGATGTTGGATGTGAAAGACTCCACTGTTGTCGCTTCATGTCGTTTCAAACGTTTCTGTGGCCAATTTGGTAATTCCTTACTTTTTCCCCACCTGCCAGGTGAGGGTTGTTAGATTTTATGTCAGTTGCCTCCTCCTCCTCCTGCTCCTCCTCCGCCTCCTCCTGCCTCGTCCTCCTCTCCTCCTCCTCCTCGTCCTCCTTGTCGTCCTCGTCGTCCTTGTCGTCCTCGTCGTCCTGGCTCAACTGCGACTCGCGATCCACAGTGTTCGCTGCCGGACCTCAACCACGACCATCCACGCCCAGTGTTCCCTGCCGGACCTCAACCACGACCATCCACGCCCAGTGTTCCCTGCCGGACCTCAACCACGATCATCCCCGCCCAGTGTTCCTGCCGGACCTCAACCACGACCATCCACGCCCAGTGTTCCCTGCCGGACCTCAACCGCGAGTATCCACGCCAAGTGTTCCCTGCCGGACCTCAACCGCGAGTATCCACGCCAAGGGTTCCCTGCCGGACCTCATGTAGGAAGATATGGGACAAAGAATGTGCAGAAGAAAGTTAGAAAGAATGTCAGAAAGAATGTCAGAAGATATGCCAGAAGATATGCCAGAAGTTATGCCAGATAGAATGCCAGATAATATGCCAGAAGATATGCCAGATAGAATGCCAGATAGAATGCCAGAAGATTTGCCAGATAGAATGCCAGAAAATATGCCAGAAGATATCCCAGATAGATATGTCAGAAGATATGCCAGAAGATATGCCAGAAGATATGCCAGAAGATATGTCAGAATATATGCCAGAAGATATGTCAGATAGAATGCCAGAAGATATGTAAGAATATATGCCAGAAGATATGCCAGATAGAATGCCAGAAGATATGTCAGATAGAGTGCCAGAAGATATGCCAGATAGAATGCCAGAAAATTTGCCAGATAGAATGCCAGAAGATATGCCAGAAGATATGCCAGATCATATGCCAGAAGATATGCCAGATAGAATGTCAAATAGAATGTCAGAAGATATGTCAGATAGAATGCCAGAAGATTTTCCAGTAAGAAAATGTATAAATGTCATGGTGGGGATCACACGAAGTAAAGTAATTTTTTGGTTCAACACCTACCTTACCTTTGTAGGTTTTACACTTATCAGTCTCACAGGTGTTTTTGTGTTGCCTCATGACAGGATAATAAATGTATACACATATATATATAATATATACATACATTCAAATTGCTTTGTAAGAACTCGAACTCTCTTTTGTGGTCTTGTTGTTTCAGTATCATCCTGAGATACTGTGATTTCTAGCGACCAGTCCCATGTGCTCCATATGCTCCATGTCCAATTGCATTGTATTTGACGGACATGACTGGGTGGTTTTGGGTGGACATGTTGGGAAATCTTCCACCATGAAGATCCATAAGCATTCGGGAATGTTTTTTTCTAGTATGTTCGAGCCTCCTTGGTGGTTCCAATTGTTTTTTGTTACTTCCATATGCGGAATGCTGATCTCCAATGGCCAATGATCAGTGTGTTTTTGTTCAAGGGGTTCAAAACCACCAGCAGACACTTGATGGGTTGTAGCTATGCACCTTGATGTGTAGTGTAGTATTTTTTGGGTTAGATGGATCTATTATACACGGATTCCTTGTATTGCATAACCCATTAAAAGTCAAACTACCTTTGTGTAACATCATAGCTCCGGAAAATGGTCCCTTTGTCCCTTGGTAGATGATTTACTATGTATTTATGTATATGTATATATATATATATACATATGTACATAATTATGTATACTATATTTTTATACACACACATATATATATTATATATACATATTGATGGCGGTTTTAGGCATGTTAGATTGCTGGAGGATAACCTTCATAACTTGGCAATCGACAAACCCAGGCGATTGCTGCCATGAGCAGCTTAGCCATGCCGCGTGCCATGGAGTTGTTCAAGGATGTGGAGGAGAAAGCTGTGGCAACTCCCAGGAATTGAAACGGAAGCTTCAGCATCCAATATACAGGTTATTCAATATGGTTATTTGAATTCCAGATTTGAATTATGGCCATGAGAGGCAACCTGCACCTCTGCCAGTTTCAATATTCTGCATCAAGAAGCGTACATTTTTTGCAGCACAAAATTCGTGCATTCTCTTTATGCATCCAAACTTGCTTTGCCGTGATATTCACGATTGTTTGGTATTACCTGGTAAGTTTGCATGTATTTTTTTCCTTTTTGCATTTTTTCCTGCCTTTGAATCATTGAATCTGGGTAAATTATAACGACCTCACTGCGACCGAAACCTGGAATCATGGTTAATAAGAGGAATCATCCCAAAATGGCCTTATTTCAGGTAAAGGACAAGAACGGGGTTCCTGCTTGGGCAATCGCTGGGCAGGGATCCAACAAGCAACGTCGAATGATGGCCTTATTCCAGGTTAGTGAATTAGGCCTTATTCACTGATAATGGCCTTATACCCAGATTATAAAAATAATGGCCATTATTAATGGCCCTTACCCAGATTTTTCATGTGCTTTGCACGGTTTATTTGTCACGGCGCAGATGAGTGTCACGGCTGCGCTGAGGCGCAGCTTCGAAATCCAGGCCGTGGTGAAGTCCTGCAGCCTATCATTTTTTGATATGGTGTTTAATGATGAATAATTAAAAACCATGATATATATATATATATACACTATATTATATATATATACTATATAATATATATATAACAATGATATTTTTTCAATGGTATATGTCAATATATAATTAAAATTTAACCTCATTAAACAGCCTATCACTGTTGAATAATCATTAAATGGTGTTTAATGTGGTTTTATATGATTTAATAGGGACCATATTGAATGATTACATGATGTTTAATATGGTTAAGTTTTATATGATTTGATAGCGGTCATCATGGGATGCGCTCATGGGATCATCCGGTCTCGAACGTTGCGTCCTGGATATAAGTCCCATGAAAAAGACACGGAGGTTTCTGGCAGGGAACATCCATCGAAGTGAGGGTATCTTCATGGATTTTCTGCTGTGAGTACCGGAGGGTCAATCTCCCCAGATCGCGAGGTGGCTATTTGAAGGTGGCGGTTTCCAGAGAGGGCACAGGCCCAGGCCCAACAGGCGGTGCAACGCCCAGGTGTGGATTCCAGGGCGTTTTCGGAACGGTGATCGGGGACTGATCTCCTAAGTTGGATGTAAACTAAGCTGGTTCAGTCTGGATATTTATGGATAAATTATCAAGATATTTAGTCATAGAATCTATGCAGTACCAAAACTGATCCATAGTCCAATGGTTTTTCTTGAGAAGTACCCTCTGGTAAACGTTTACATAACGATGAAAAATCACCATTTTTTAATGGGAAAATCCACTATCATTGACCATTTTCAATAGCTATGTTAGTTTACCAGAGGGTAAACCATTGTAAACCGATCAGTGACGGAGGGGCGAAGAAAAACTGATACCATGCGGGCCCACATCCCGGGATCTTGTTGGGATCATGAGGCTAACCTGCCGTGCCGTTCAGAACGGAAGGCAACTGAAGTATGAAGGAACTTTTGCCTGATATGTACATCCAAGTACTGTATGGATTCACCAAACTAATATATATATATATATATATATGTGTGTATATATATATGTGTATATATATATATGTAAACATATATATATGTATATATATATATATGTAATTATATATATATACACTATATAAATATGAATATATATATATATAATATGAAGGTGATGTGATTTGAGCAGTGATCAGTGATGTTAATATTCATCTTGTATGTGGTCAATTTACAAGAATCTTCACCAGGGGAGTTATCTCTATATCCCATTATACCCCAGTGTTTGCTTTGCTTTACATCCACAATTGAGCAACGACCATGTCTTCGTTTTATGTTGGGTTTGAAGTAAGATGGCTTTGCGGAAATGAACACCCCAAAGCGTGGAAGCTTCGCTCAAGCTCTCGCGTCAGTGGTCCGAAAATCAGGTTGAATCACCATGGATAGCCATTTGCAGATGGTTTTTAGGAATTGTTATGCAATATTCCTATATATATATATTTGAATCTTAGTGTTGATAGTAGAACACCCCCGCGGTTTATATCACCATTTAGCATTATATAGCCAGTGATAGCCATGGTTTTAGCCGTCGCCAGTTGTACCATGTGTATCACCAGCATCCAAGTCTTGAGGGGCCGAGCCTTGATTCCGCCAGGTCAGCCATTTATGCACAACCGCGACAGGCAGAAGCACCGGGGTTGATACTCTGGAGACAGATGCAGATATATAGATACTCTCTGGTTTGCAGGGGATTTGTTTCACCCATTATGAACATATTTACAAAGCGTAGACATTGAAAATCACCAACCTTTATTATATATATATACTGTGGCAACTTAACTAATCTTTGAACCCCTATCTGAGGAGGGCCGACTTGTTAATTTACTGCAGGGTACTGTGTTTTATACTTGCTGCACTTTCACTGTTACTCATACTGTTTTTGGAACTTATTGGAGAATTATCCAAATCTGATTGAACAAAAATGGGGTGGTGAATAACGATTCTATACTAAGTAGGTATGACAATGACGGCTTATCCTCGCGTCGAATTCACTCCCGTTCCGTGGGTGACAACGCGAGCGTCCAACAGTTGAATTTTTCCCAGGGCAAGCCACCGACATTGAGCCCCATTCAAATTTTAGAATTTCCATGTCTTAGGTCAAAATGTCAATGGGAATTCCAGGATCCTGAAATTAGGCAATATTTTGTGGAAACAAATCCTTACATAGCCCTTACATAGGCCTTATCTATGGTAGGTACCTCCAATCAATCGGCCCCTGAGATGGCCAGTGCAAATCTGGTTGGTGGTTTCAAACATGTTTTATTTTCCGTTTCATATATGGGATGTCATCCATTGTCATCCTTCCCAATGACGAACTCCATCATTTTTCAGGGGGTCATCCCTGCGGGCGACAAACTCCAGAGGTCCGCGGGGTTTTTATCGGTAGGAAAAAGTCACCGCTGCGGATGGGAAAATCCATGGAAAACCGGCAAGAAATTAACTCTTGGCCAAACCATAAACCTAATTCATCCTAATTCATCATAATTCTTCGGGTTGATCTAAGGAAAATATACAGGAAAACTGCGTTTTTTACCATGAAAAATATGTGTAGTTCCTGTAGGTTTTCCCCAGATTAAACCATGTCTGGGAAACAAATTGGTGTTAAATTGCTGGGTTGTCGACGTGAACCAAACGAGAAAGCTATATTTTATGATGGTACATTTTTTTGTAGATACAATCCCGAACAGCCCCCGGAGTAAAGAAAGAGCTTGTCAATACACAGATCCAGTGATTGAGTGACGGCAAGCCAAACGAATTCAAGCACAGAGGAGAGCGAGAAGTACGCATCAACAGAACAGTGGGTGCACATTGGACATTGTCTACGAGGTTGATAATATGGGTGGCCACCCACCAGAGTCGGCACATGGGCACCATACCAGTCCCAAAAAGAAATCTCTACTCCAAACGTCATCTCTGGAATGATCTGGAACGTTTACATCAGCGTCACTGCACATTTAGATGGGCGCGAATGGGCAAATTTGTAACTCTGTTGAAGGATATGGGGGGGAAAAACATGGAAAAACAATATCAAAGACATGCAGACTTACACACAGACCTTTTGCACACAATTGGTTACAAATGCTGTCGGCGAATTCGATACCTTCAGAGCCATGCTCGCAGCGTTGCGGGCGTCCCACAGCCCGGTGCTGCGAAGATTCCTGCGCAACGTGCCGAGCTGTTTTTTCGTGCTACGTAGAAACAAGGCCCTGGAAGATGTGTGGAGTGGGAGATAGTAGGAGTCATGAAGTTAAAAAGTTTCAAACAAAATCAAACAAGTGGATTCTAAAAAAGAACAATAAATGGGATATGATATGTTTCTTTCTGAGGTAGGTTCCGGAGGTTATAATGGTTTTGTTCCATGAGCAGAGCAAAACATACTTGGATAATTATACCTACACCGGAGAAAGCCTCGGGAAAACGCCTGGAAGCGGCTGGAAGATCTTCAGAGGCCACGGTCGACCCTGGTGAAATCCTCTTTTCGGCCCGTGGCCAGGTGGTTGCAGCAAGCAAGTGGCGCGAAACGTATCGTCAGCTGTTTCAAGAAGCAGACAAAGACAACAATGGTAGCTCGGTTCCTTTTATGATTTTTATGGGGATTGGTATAGTCACTATAGTCTTTGGTCCAGAGATGTCTAGAGCCGGGACATTTTTTCGTGGTAGGAGCCATCTCCTCGGTGAAGTGTGACACAGTGTGCTTGGGACCCTTGGGACCCTTGTTGCTTATGGCCCGGTAGCAAGAGGAAACTTCCTTATTGTTGTGGTTGGTTGGTTCTATCCCAGGATTGATTGGCAGGATGGTTCAGGTTCGTTTGTTTTGATTGCTTCATTCATATTCATTCCGCATTTTGTCCTTTTGAAGTGCAATGCCTTAAATGACCTCTCAGTTGCTGGGCCCATTGAATATCATGATTACGGGAATGGTGTGATGAAAAAACACCGTCACTGCCCACATGTCCACCAGGCCTCACTCTCATGTTGTAGGTAAGATCTCAATTTTGCTTGGAAACATGAGTTTTGGTGGAGATTTTATTCATAGAATCCAGCTTGATTCCAAGGTGTTGTGGACAAGTTTACGTCAGAACTACCAGTTGATTGTTGTTGACATTCCGTATTCATAAAATACATACCAACATCCCCAAAATCATAAATCACCAGCGGGCAATATAGCAGCACCATGAAGCATTTGTTTTTTCCCACGGAATAGTAGGAAAACTCATTCCCATGAATTCCTAGTATTAACAAAATATATTAATCCTATCACCTAAAATGGTTTGTTCTGTGGTATACCATTGAACAATGATTTTGAACCATCAATATCCATCAAATATTAATCATATATCAGTAATATTAATCCCAGTATTAACCATTCAACCAATCACCACACAGTCCCCAGAACATCCCCATATACGGTATCATGGATAGTGATACAATGATCTAAAACCTATAGTTCCTGTGGTCAAAATGTATCATTTTATATATAGCTTACGCCCCAATTGAACCTTAATTAAGCCATTCAATCCAAAAACACGGACAGAACACTGAAACCCATCTTGAAACGCCATTCAACAAAATACCAACAACATATCAACAAAGATCATGAAAAAAAACATGATCAAGCCATCTAAAACCAGCAATTTCCATGTGATTTTCCCAGGTTTCCTGGACATCGCAGAGGTGAAACTTCTGCTCCGCGAGCGGCTCAAGGCCCTCAGCACTGCGAAAAAAAACACGGCGCCGGAGGCAACGGAGGCAACGGAGGACGCGGAAGCGGAAGCGGCGGCAAGGCGCTCGGAGGAGGCAGGGAAAGCGATGCAAAAAAGGGGAAAACCATAGAATTACCATAGAATTACCATGGATTAGCTACATATATATCATATAATCACATAGCCTATTAGCTATATTTATTTGATTTGATTTAATAAATTTATGATATGATTGTCTATGTTGGTAGGTAGCCAAAGGACATAGGGAAGCATCGTTTTTCTTTTTGCGAGAGCTTGAGGATTTTGACCAATAAAACTGTGGTGTTGAATCGATTTGAGCTTCACATCGCTCACATAGGTCTCATGGGTTATCCACGTTGATCTTCTGAGCGCAGGGGCGCACCAACCTGACAGGAATACATTGATCATTGCATCGAACAAGCAGATGTGAATAAGGATGGCAAAATCGATATCGATGAGTTTCTTGGACAGACCACATGCCGGAGACAGAACTGGAAGTCAAGTCTTCGCATTCTTTTTTGGCATACCATCAGTACTATCAAAAGGAAGACTATGCTGACTCAGATGGGCCATAGATTTACTTTGATAGTAGTTAACCGGTATATTTGCCCAGTTGTAAGGAGATAATGGAAATATAGCTAGTGAACTAATCCCATGGCCGCATGGCCCATCTCATGCTCATAATCATGAGATTTTGCTCCCCCCCGTCTTTGGATATATGATTACATATGCTGCATGTGTGTGTGTTTCGTGTGTTTGTTTGCACATGGGTATCCAATATGTATTTTTGCATGTGTATAGCGCCGGACAACTACTTAGAACATCGTTTTGGAAATTTTTCGGTGGGTACGCGCGCTCTACTTAGAACATTTTCGGCGAATAGGGGGACGTATGTTCTAAGTGACTTAGAACATATGAGGATCCACTACTTAGAACATGCCATCATATATACATGTAAATATATGTATATGTATACATACATACAACTTAACACTGCATATTTATATTATATATACAGGTGGTGTGATGTTGCATTAAGATACATGGAGATGTCTGAGGTATATTGAAATTATATGACCGATTGAGCGGTTGGAATGGTCCAAAGCCCACTTGTGGCTCAAATTGGATCCTGGGGGATCCATTCAACGTAGGAGACTCCGAACCCAAAACTATATAACGGGGAGACGCCGAAACCTCAGCTGGAAACCACAACGGGGAGCCACAACGGGAGAAAAACAACGGGAAAATGATGCAAAATGAGAAATGTCACTTTTATACTTTTAATACTTTTTAAAAAGTAGATTTCGATCCATAAATTGTGTCCAAAATCAGTTTTAAAACATTCAGTGGTTCATTTTAAAGGTATTGGAATATTTTTTTAAAAAAATATTTTTTGATCAAAACATGTTCCAAAAAGTAGTTTCTATTCCAAAAATGCACGTAGATAGCTGGGGAGATTCTTACTTAGAACATGGGGGAACCCCCAAAACCTCTACTTAGAACATCCCGTGAACATATATGTTCTAAGTAGTGGTCCAGGATCTCTACTTAGAACATGTTTTGGAATTCCAAAACCAATGTTCTAAGTATATGTCCGGCACTATATAGGACTTGATAACTAAGTATATGCTGCAGTATATGGAACTAGCATCAGCTGGCATGGTGCCCTAACTAGCAAAATTACAGGCAAACACCTCCTCTTGCTGGAGGCTCAGGTAGGGGACCTGTGCGTCATTGCACAAGACATCCTGAACCCCAACACCCTCTACATCTATACAACCCTAAACTTTCCCTAAACCATAGGCCCTAGACCCCAAAAAACAATGGAATCCAGAGGGAAACCTTATAACCTAAACACGTAAACTCATGTAAACCCTAAAACGCTACTTCTTAAACCCTAAAACCTTGGAAACCTCGTGATTTTGGGCAACATGGGGTGTCTGAGCGCAGAGTTACCCTGAACTGATTCTGTTTGGGAATCCGACTCACCAGGGCCCTAGTTTTATGGGCCTTGCAGCCGTACAGGTGCCTTTGATAGGGTATGGTATAATTGCATGGCTCAATATTCTGGCAACACCAAAATTGATAGTAGTATGGGTAGTTAAATCCCAGTGAATCCCATGAATTTCCATTAGAATCACCTTAAAGTTTCCTATAGATCCTTTGCGAAATCCACCTGCCGGAGGTTTGTTCATTTGATGGTCCTTCATCTGCCGGACGCGCGCATTGCAGCCGACGCCGAATTCGTAACGGATCAGCGCCGGTGCATCGCGGAGTGGTCGGGGGAGAGGGCTCAGAGGCTATTGACCATCATCTTGAATGCTGCAGCAGACCGTGTTTTGGATCAAATGAGGCAAATAAGGTGGCCAGCAGAATGGGTTAATTTGATTTTATTTGGGTCCGTGTGTCAGATGATGTCAAATCATGATGTCAAGCAGGTAATGGTCCAAAGGAATGGGAAATTCGCTGATGTTACATTTTGGATTATTGTGGATATGAGCAGGTTGATGGGGAGGGCCAAGCATTTTGGACCAACAAGTATAATCTAACTAGGTGCTGATCCTTGGCTGGACACATGTATTGCTCAGTGGACTGCACAGGCAAAGCATGGCAAAGCCGCAAATCCGAGTTGCGGCAGCACACTGTTCAAACCAAATGGAGATGGGTTGTATGCAAATGCAAACCATCCCCAACATATATATATATATATATTATATTTATATATGTATATAGAAATAAATATATATATATATTTAATATATGTATATATATATAATATACCTGGAGCATCAAATGATACATAAATTTAGGTATCGAGATTTTTAGGTATCAAATCCCAAAAAACAATCGAATTCCCAAAAAACGCTCGAGGGGTTATCATCATCTGAAATTTATGTATATTTGATGCTCCAGGTCACCCAGCCACCAGCCTCGCACACATACTTCACCACAAACCACGTCGAGTGGCTCGACTTTTCACTGAGCTGCCGGGAGTCTCAGAGCTGGGATTCCGCCCGTGGGTTGTTTGACCCAATTTCCCAAAGTATATATTAAGCCAATTAAAAGGTGATGGTATTGGCAATGACTTCATCTTTGCCTAGGAATTGGAAATGGAGTGTCTAAGAGCCTCCGGTACTTCATCAGAGCTCTGAAAATTGTTCTGTACCCCGTAGTAAATGGGTGCGTGACACGACTGATTCTGCACACACGTCCGATGAAGTCTTCATCGGACCAGCAGGCCCATGCCAAAAAAATGATAAGAACTTCAGCACCGCAAGTCAATCGCTGTTCCCATTCCTTCCTAAGTAGTTGGAAGATGGCACCCCAATTACTTGACTTCGAGTTATCCCCACCATGACATTTATACGTTTTGTTACTGGCAAATCTTCTGGCATTCTATCTGACATATCTTCTGGCATTTTATCTGGCATATCTTCTGGCATTCTATCTGGCATATCTTCTGGCATTCTACCTGGCATATCTTCTGCAATATTTTCTGGCATATCTTCTGGCACTCTATCTGGCATATCTTCTGACATTCTATCTGGCATTCTATCTGGCAAATCTTCTGGCATTCTATCTGGCAAACATTCTGGCACTTTATCTGGCATACCGGCATACCTTCTGGCATTCGATTTGGCATATCTTCTGGCATTCTATCTGGCATATCTTCTGGCATTTTATCTGGCATATCTTCTGGCATATTTTTCTGGCATATCTTCTGGCATATCATCTGGCAAATCTTATCGCATTTTATATGGCATATCTTCTCGCATTCTATCTGACATTCTATCTGGCATATCTTCTGGCATTCTATCTGGCTTTTGAGGTCCAGCGGTGCGCACTGAACTCGGAAGGCCCCAGGTTGAGGTCCAGCGGTGCGCATTGAGCTCGGCAGGTCCCAGGTTGAGGTCCAGCGGTGCGCACTGAGCTAGGAAGGTCCCAGGTTGAGGTCCAGCGGTGCGCACTGAGCTAGGAAGGTCCCAGGTTGAGGTCCAGCAGTGCGCACTGAGCTCCGAAGTTGGCGAAGAGCTCGGCCAAGAGCTGGCAAGGCAACAGCGGACGTGGAAGTGGAGGCAGAGGTGGTAGAAGAGGAGGAGTACGCGGAGGAGGAGAAGGAGGAGGAAGGAGGAGGAAGAGGAGGAGAAGAACAACTCTGATAAAATCTAACAACCCTCACCTGGCAGGTGGGGAAAAAGTAAATGTTTTGATTTCCTCATTAGGTAAATTGGGGAAAAGTTTTTAGCTAAACTGCCCAGGATCGGAAAATGCTCTTGCATGTGTAGTTTTGGTTTCACCCGGTAGAGGCACCACCTTCGCTGGCAGCAAGCAGCTGCGAGCAACCCATAACCCTCCTCAGTTTTCACAGTGTGGTACAAGAACATCACCCTGTGCACACTAGACCCATAGAGATGCCCAAACTATCCCAAACTCATCAAAGGCACTAAGCAAACAGTAAAGCAAAATTTATTTGGCATGGTACAAGCGGCAACAAGAGCCCAACCATATGGTAGCAACTTGCGCGCAGATTCAGCACTTACGAACAACCCATGCTGATACATCCCTCGAAACCAGGTAATGCAAGCCAGCACGGTGTACTTAATGAGCTCCCAAAGGTCAGTGCCAGAACGATCCTTGGTTCACAGCTTGAAGACTAAGCAAGCAAAATGAGATCCCAGGCCAGAAACATCCCAGGCCAGAAAGGAAAAAAACATGTGCCAATATCTCACCAATCCACATGGAAAGCAGGCAGCATCGCAGGATCATCAACTACGGATTCCAACCACTTGCAAACGACGATGCAATCACTGCCAGAGCCGCCAAGAACTGGGTACTGCTGAAGCCTTGGCCGACTGTGGGACCCAGAAAGAAAGCTTTAGGTTTCCGTGGCCCATATGCAAAAACATTTGGCCCCAATAAAAGACAAAGCTGTAGCCAGTTGACGATTGCACTTTGAAGGTTTTGTAGGTAAACTCATGCAACTTGCAGGTGTGCTTTGTTCTGTACCTCCAACTCTGAAAGTGCTCCCATGCTCCCAGCAGTTTGTCTGGCATGTTGTTGGCAGGCCAAACATCCAGGTGACACAACAGGAAAATGGTTGAAGCAGCAAACTCTTTCCCCACTCCTATAGGCCAAGTGTGTGCTGGATCCGTCCGGATAAGCAAAGGAGACTCAACACCAGGAATAGTTCTCAAAGGAGTAGGAGGCTCATCAGTTTTCCACGGATCAACAAGCTGACCATTCCAGGACCGAAGATTTGAACCAAACTTCCACCACTCCTGAAATTTGCGCACGCGCACAGAGGAAGCACAGAGGAACAGCTCACACCCCCATCAATACAGACTAAACCACGTCAAAGTAGTAAACAAAAACTTTCGGCTAGATTTGTCAAGACTCAGTAGTATCACAGTAGTGGCAAACCCTCGTCGAACGAAAACCCGATTCCAGTTTCAGAGCCTTTCGAAGGTAGACCCAATCCCCCTTGATGCCGCAGCAAGCGAAAAAGAATGTTTTGCCATTGACCTGATTAGACATATGGGAAAAGTGCAATTGCAATCTCACACAGAAGAAAGTCATACAAAGGTATTGCCTTTCAAATAACAAAGCCTTTTTAGACCAATGTGCCACCATGGTACTGTCAGTCCATCCCAAAACAGATCGTAACAATCACGCGCCAGGACTTCATGAATTTCATCCCAAGTTTCATCAAGCATGATTTTGGTAGAGATCACCGTTGATAGAAAGCGAGTGCGGAAGCTATGCCTTACCATCACCAAATGATTCTTTCTGGAGGAAGTTAACTACATGGGTTGAATTCACCAGCGAATAAATTAAAAATTATCACCCATATTTAACTCTCATAGTTTGCTTCCATTAAAGGGCCTAAGTTTGGGCTAAAGGGGAAAAGCATTGGTCGTTTTCAATCATTGGCCTTATCCCACAATGGTGGATATCCGGATTTAACCTACCTTTTTTTGTGGTGAAATCATTGTCGGGAAAGTATGATAAACCACGGTAAATCGGACCAGTCACGAGGCAGCGTTCGTGTAGCCCATCCCCAATGGGTGGACCAACATCTGAAAAGCCACAACCAGAGTCGGTATGAAGTTCCTGCCCCTTCCTTCATCTCCATGGAGGGCATAGGGTATAATATACCCCCACTGTTCTTGAGGAAAGGTTTCATAAACTATGTGGTCCGGTTGTGTGTGACGATAGTTTGTCCAGAACATATGAAAAGTTCGAGTGTACACTTCCGTGTTCTCAACATTGTTGCAACCTCCCAAGAAATACCGGGGAAGATCCCTCAAAATGCATTTGGCCCACGCAGACAAAGTAACCATGGGGTATGGTTTTTTTTCCGGTTGGATCTTAGGCCATTTCGCCCTCAAAGTCACAGTGTGGGAAGCGACCTCCACACCAATGCGTTTTCCAAGCTTGTCCAGCAAAGCATGAAAGTTTCGGGATAGATTTCGTCGATTGTGTTTGGAAGAACTGCCACAGGAAGCTATCCTCTCTAATGGCAAATCCCTGGCTCCTGAGGGGCAAACCAACGAATGATTGGATACATGTTTTTTGTTGGGTGGTAAATCTCAAATTATTACCCTGGTGACTTTGAAGCTCCACCGGAGGTTGAACATATTGAATTCCAGATTCCCCTAAACATATAGATTATTTCCAGTATGATCGGTATTTCTCAAAATGAGGGATGCTCGAAAATACCTACTTAAAAGGGTCTATCTGTCTAATAGGAATATTTTCGAACATCCCTCATTTTGAGACATACCACTATTGTTCATGTGTCTTTTGCACCACTTATCCATTACAGTAATACCAAATTCCATTTGGGGCCCACAAGCCTTACGAAGAAAATTGGGGGAAATGAAGATAAATTTGTGTCTTGACCTTTCGGAAAAAAACAAACATTGTTCAAGGGATATTACAAGGTTTCCGGCTTGCATGAACATTCCCAAATCCACAGAAATACCAAGTATCCTAATCTCTTCATACGGCGGGATGCCACCCGAGCAAGACGCACCACCCTGCGGGCACTTTCAGCCTTAGACCCACTGGAGCTGTCCCCAGATAGTTTTATCTTGGACGCTTGAAATGATTTCCCAAAGAAAACTTATTTTGGAAAACACACAACATCATATTGTATGAATTAACTTGTGTCAAGGGACTCCTTCTTCGAATCCAATCATCAGTTCATCAGCAAGATCAGACCCCGAAAGATCGGAACCACCAGTGGTTTCACCTAAGCTGGAACCAGAGGGGTGCATTTTCTGTGGGCAACAGAAACTAGTCATGGCCAATGAGGCCCCGACTTGGGCTGTCCTCATCATCCGGTGCCTGCCTGGAAGGCCAAGCACCTGCGAGGGATGGGCAAAGGGCCAAACATGTTTTAAAGAATTAACTGCGAGGGGTGTTTCGGGAAAAAAACATGGGGCATTGAGCGACATTATTTTTCTCCTAAGCTTGAAGGCACTCGCGGTCACCCCCCCACGGTGAAGGATTGTGACTTGACCCGAGAGTATGTCTCAGGTAAGTCGTCCAAGTTGAATTGGGTTTTCAAACAGCCAGCTTGGTCTCAAACACGGCCCCAACATGTCTTGACAAAGAATGTGAAATCAGAGACCTTCTCATGGCAGAATGATCCCGGAACAAGATGTAATACACATGTCAGAAGCTAGGCAGATCTAGTCAGCGTTTTCAGCCTTCTTAGTCTTGCTCGGCTTGGCCTTGGATTTTACCTTTGGCTTCTTAGACCCTGCCGGCTTTGCCGACGATTTCGGGGAAGCCTTGGGCGTCCCTGTGCGAGGCAATTGCTTCGCCGGTGGCTTCAGATTCCTGCAAGTGCAGGCAGAGGTCTGTGAACGGGCTGGCACAAAGCTGGACAGATTTCATCCAGCAAATGGATATTAAAAACAAATTGTTTTCCAAACATGATGTACCTGGGTGCAAACGATCGGTTTTCTGTATCTTTGGTTCATAACTCACTGGAAGGTAACATCCCCAAAGCCATCCTAGAATACCATATGAAAACAACCCGTCAAATCAGGTTCACTATGTACCAATGAAGGTCGAAAGTCTTTATAGGATTTTAGTAGGGTTGCCCTTTTATTCTTTGAGACCCCATGATGCAAACCACTCCGCACAAGTAGCCTTTGAAGACTTTTGGCATGTCTTGGTGATTCTGGGAAGTTATATTCATAAGGGCTGACATGAACTATCAATAGAATATAAGGTATCTCACACCATCACTGTAAAAAAATTGAGCCTGGCGCGAACCAACAAGTTGTTCAAAGCGATGTCAAGCTTTGTGATCTCCGCAAACTTCTTCTTGATTTTCTCATGGCCGCTCTCCAGCTCTTCTGTGAGAGCTTCCCCTTGAAGTGTTGAAAGATCATCGAAAGCCGTGGATAGCAAGCCAACAGACTTTCCAATGCCGTCGGCCATCCTCGTGATGAGCATGGAAATCCAATATAAAACATGTTGGCTAAGTAAAACAAGTCGCTGATGTTTGGGATAATTCTTCCGAGAATCTCTTTGGCCTTCGGGAAATTTTTTGTTTGCAAGCGGTCCTGGGGTCATCAACCGCATTTCTTCCAGTTTTGGGGCATGGCTACGGTGATTCAACGGACTTTGAAATGATTTATGCAACGGTGGTTTACAGTCCTGTTCCTTTCCCGCATGCTCCATCTTTTTTGCTAAGCAATCCAAGAACTGTGGTACAATAGTCAGTGGTGACTGGTTCTGCTGCAGGGTCGGAAACACCAACCTCAGCGTGTAGATTTTTTGTGTTGGGCCAACATGTTTCGGTGAATAAAAACATTTAGGTTGTAGATGGGAAACCTGAAAGAAGATCCAAGCCCCTCAGTGGCCCCAGCACCTTTGCTGGCATTCTCGATTGCCTTCAGGGAGGGATCCTCGATGGACAGCGAGCTGCCGATGAAGTCAAAGTTGGGGTCCTAAAACTGGAAGTGGACAGCGGATGGGTACTAGCAAGATAATTAAGTTAACAGCTAGCTAGGAAGCCATCAATATGAGATGAACATCTCATTATCCCATGAACGCAGTAGATGGGTTTGACTGCATCTTTGTGACCCCAATCCTCGACTTGGAAAGAACCGGTTTGTGACATCTCTTCACCCTCGTTCTCTGCAACCTGGAACAACCTCTCGATTACCAACGATGCTTCCTCCTCTTTATGCACTGGGTTAATTTGCCACAAGCCATTCTGCTTGGCCCATCCAAATGCATGATCGCACATGGACCTTAGGAGGACAAGGAACATGGTGGGGGACCACAAATCAGAACTTCCAAAAAGATTTGAATCCTACGCTGGTTCTGGATAAACCCCAGATTTTTGCAACAACATATACCAAAACTTTGACAATCATCCCTTGAATCTTTTTCAGGGGAGTCTTATGCTAATCAAAGATTCCTAGTCCAGTGCTTCTCCGCCATGAGATAATGTTTGGTCACCCAAGCGGTGTTGGTTTGCTTGGATGTACTTTTGGATTGCCACCTTTTCACCTGCGCCTCCATCTCCTCGAACGACCCACCGTTCATCAGGGCCGACTTGAGCTTGGAACCTTGCAAAGAATGGTTGACCAACTTTGGAGTCTAGGCGCTCCAAGAATTTGATTTGTGTTTTTCTGCCATGTTTTGAGCTCCTTGATATGATTAAAAATTAACTTACTCATATCGACTCTAGCTTCTAGGAGGCAATTATCAAGGCAGCTATGTGTCGCTAAGGGCAATAAACTATAGTCAAACTAGTTAGACATCAGCCATCAGCATGCGACCCTAGTCACGTCCATCAGCCGTTTTCCACAAGGAAAAAGCCTCATCAGAGCACAACTTGGTCCCATCGGCACGAGGTTTGAAGTAACGAACCATCCTGGGCCGACAAGTGAAGTTTTAAATTTGAAGTCATCGATCTAAATGGAAGGCTCATGACTCAAAAGGGTTCCCAACAAAGCACCCAGTTTACTGTTGAATTCCATTCCAACACCAAAGATTCTCATTTAAGGATTGACCATCCGATTATTTTTTTGAAGTACTTAAGCAGTTGTTTCTTTTAACAGACATACATATTCCGACCACAATATATTATATGGTCTACTTACTTGTGGGACCTTGTGGAAGTTAATCGTTTGATTTTGATGGTAAAGGGGCTCCCCGCACAACCCTGCCTGTGGTAGTATTTGTCATACTTTTGCTTGCTTGGTGGTTCCACATCTCTCTCAGGCCGCTTGCTCCTCCTCGTCGGTGGGTTTGCACCTGGAAGCAGGCCAGCCGGTTTGTCCTTGCAAGATCCAGGAAGAACCTCACCTGCGGGATGAGTATCAAGTTTTTCGGGTTTATCGGCACCTGGCTTTGGCTCCTGGGAGTTGTTGTTGTTCCCAGTCCCATGAACGGCATGACTTGAGCTAGTCCTGAAGATCTTGGCTGGGGGCGTCTCAAAACCACTGGCAAGTCGTCTCACTGGTGGGTTTGCAAAGAACTTCCCATCGGACTCTGCAAAATAGATCGGGCAATCTGACAGGGTGATTTCAACAGTACATTGCATATAAAATACCAAGGGGTTTCCGAATACCAATCCCCGTCTACCTTCAAAACATATACGTGTTTTTTTTGAGTAACCATCTACCTGATTTCTGAGTCGGCACTTCCGTCAGGCTTCGAGGGACGGGCTCCAACTGCCGGGTGAGGAGCGCAATCCGCTCTTCTGTTGCCTAAGTGTGGGCGTGGCAGGCTACATGTTAACGATGGATAAAAAAATGGCCAGGCTGCACAGATACTGTAACTGGGAATGTTCGATGATTAAGGAAAGGTGCCCGAATCATGGCATCGATATCAGCTTCTTCCATTTGCGGACTGGTACAATTTCTCTTCAAGTGTGCAGCACCCTCCTTCAAACTAGAGCAGCTTCCTGGACTAGTGAGCATGCTGACTGAACCGAGTCTGTTTGCCTAACTTGAGCCACCAAATGAGGCTATCATATCCCAAAAGTTCCTTTGCTGATTTGGCAGGTGAGGACGTTTTTTAAAATTTGCGCCCGTTTGCGGAAATTTGCGCTCGTTTTGCGGATATTTGCGCTCGAATTTGCACTCAGAAAACGCTCGAGATTTTTCCAAACATCAAAGGTTTTTACAAAACCGGTAAGTTCCACCAAAAAACATGTCAAAACTTTGTTGAGGAGACCTTTGCAACAAATTCTCAGCAATCAAACCCAATCCTTTTTTCCTCCACAGCTGATGCTCTGGGATCCCGTAGCTCGCGCAGGGCAAGTCACCCAGCCTCAGGGCCGACAATTGGGTCGACATGTTTTTGAAACAGTCTTTGGTTTAGCCAGGTCAGTTCTACTGTGACCACAAAAAGATAAATAGCTGAGAAACATGGGTGCTGACTTCCTCCATGAAGGACTGCATGGTTTCAGCCCAGCTGTCTGGGATCCTTAGCCCTTCATAGTTGTAGACATACTTCACAACATCCAATAACTTAGCGTCAGACCACAAATCACCTGTGGGGTATTTTTGGAAGTTTTCCCTGTCCGTCAATTTGGGGTCTACTGCAAAAATTTTGCGTAGATCTCTGCGACACTCCTCAAAGTCGGCGGTCTTGTAGACGTCCAGGAGCTTGCGTCCAAATTTTTCAGGGTACACCCTTAGGCCAGTGGGGAATAGGGGGAGAGTAGGCTGAACTAGGTTTGAGTCTATTTATTTTCCCATTTGCCAGAAAGTAACTGAGTAGACTTTAGCTGCGTTGTGCCAACAAATCTCTTCAACCCGCTTGCATCCACATATTGTCCTGAGATGTTCCAAGGCTCCCCAAGAAAAGGTTTACCATATTATGGGATGAAAATCACCGGCAGTAATGAAGGAATAAGGGAGTCGAAAACTCAGCAATTATAGCTTGGGCTCGTGTGGTATCAGACTTCTTCTTGGGGCGTTGGGACTTGGTGAGCTTACCCAAATTTAAGAACTCAACGAATTTTGAATTGGACATTGCTGTTGTCCTCTTTGGCGTTCTGCTTCCATGTAAGCACATCCAGAAGCTTTTTGTAAATACCTAAGCTGTTGTATGGCAAGACCTAAGGAAACAACATAGATATTTCCAGCCATGAAATGGCAGCCTAGGTGCCCAAACTACCCAATTGCAAAAATATGAGAACCGTTCGTGGGCCCAAAGCAACGTGTGGCTCGGATTCTCTACCACGAATATGCAGGAGTTTGCCACCGCCACCATCAAAAGGAGAAAGAGCCTGGGCAGGCGTTGAGATGGGTGGGAAGAAGTGTTGACTGTGGTAAGTAGCCATTTTTCCAGTTGTATAGGGCCGGCAAGAAACCGTGCCACCAGCTGATTTCCTTGGGCAACAAAATCAAAACCTTCATATCCCCTTGGATTTATCAAAGATCTCCTCGAAGTACCCCTGGACGCTACCACCCACGATCCACACTGCGGTGCTGCTAGCAGGAGTCCATTGGGGATAAGGTGTAGGCACACCAAGACAGCTAGCCTTGGATAAAGAGCCCAACAAATAATCCCAACAAATAATTCTGAAGAATGTAGGGTCAAGGCAAAATGTATAAACATTGCTTTGTTTTTTTTACCATCCAAGAAACGCAAAGCCACCATTCCCCAGGAAATCCATCCCTTTCTGAGAATAGTCCACATCAAAGCTGCAAACGTTGTATCCAGCATGGTGCCTTACGGCGTTACGGTAAGACATTAGCAACTCAATATGTTCTCTTGAAACAAGATTGCATTCTGACATAAAGGACACCCTTTTTAGATTTGTTGCCAGGCTCTGGTCGCAGCTCCTTGTCCACTAAAGACTTCGAACATAGCATATGGGCCAGAGGTTTTGAAATCGCTCCATCCGAGAAGCAATACCTGAGATGCAGGAAAAGTGTTACCCAATGTTACCTGTATTCATTTCGTGCTATTACGACACACTCTTCATTATCTTCATTATTGCAGTTTGGGCACTAAAGACACCAGCAGCTTCGGCGCCCCAAGGCGCATTAGGTTGAAAGGCACTGACCGACGATCTGATCGATCTCCCTTCATGGCATGTAGATAGTTCAGTTTGCTCGAGCAAACATGGTCTGAGGTGTAGGCCAATATTCAACAGGGTTTGGCAGCAAACAATCAAAATCTGATACCACCAATTGATGCGAGGGTGTCAAACCAGCATGGCCCAAATGGTCAAAAACTTGTGCGATTTTCAGGTTTCAGTGCCCTTTTTGGTTTCCAAATCACAGCTTTTGATCCCCATTTAGGGCACTCAACAACTCCCACACTGTCCGGGCAGCAGCTGCGCGCAGAAGGGGGGCACCTGCCAAACGGGCCCTTGCAATCCAGGCCATGCTCTCCACGGTCAAGGTCCACCTGGCCAAGTTCGCTGGCTGCTTGGATGGGAAATGATAAAACTTTGGGTGAATGAAGAGATGTCCTGGGGTCAAATTGTGTTCAACCCCTTTTCTAATTTGAAGGTCGCTCGGGTTGAAGGGTGGCTGGCAGTTACCAAAGATCAACAAACTTGAAGCAACCGCTCCAATACAAGCATTTTTTTCTAGCGGTGTGCTGATCCATTCCCAAGAAGTCTGTGCGAGATTGGAAGCCATGAAAAGGCCTCAAGGTAAGATCTGACATGATCTAAAGAGTTGCGCATGGCTCTGGCCACCACAACTGTGAACCCCTAAGCACATCTAGAAACCACATGTTCTCACGTGGTTTGACCGATATATCAAAACAGCTTTTTCCCATTCAAAAAGCTTGTGGGCCATCAGAAGGTCGCAGAAATTTCACTCAGTGGATCGGTAGGCCTAAGGAAGCCCAGCAGTGAAGAAATCATAAATCACAGGTTCCATTAAGTACCACTGCATGCTGTTGAGATTTGTTGAAACTTACTGTAAGTGATTCATGGGCCCAGCCAAGTTACTTCCTTGGCTCGCTGACGCGCAATGTCTTCTCCATGCTCCAAGTTCTTCTTGTAGGTAACATGGTAGGCAGAACTCTTCCTGGAACGCTTGGCTTTCAATTCAACTTCCTCAGGGGACATGTTGGAAGGATCGGACTTTCGCTTTCTTTTCGGCTTTGCCTCATTCTCCTCTTCATCTCCTTTCTTCGCCTCGGTTTGTGGCACCTCCTTGGTCTTGCGCTTGCTTTTCACTGCATCTGTCTCTACCTTCGGTTTCCGGGTCTTTCGTGTCTTTGGTGGATCCTCCTTCTCACCTGGCTCAGGCACCTTCTTCTTCTTGGCAGGCGGTGGGGCACCAGGTCCTTCCTCCTCAGTCTTTTTGGCCTTGGAAACTCGGGGTCGCTTGGGTCTCTTGGCTTCCTCAGGCAGTGGTGCTGGCACACTGCCTTCAGAAACCGACTTGTCAGCAACACTTTCACCCTCCGATTCACCTTCTTCATTCCCATCCTCTTCATTCCCATCCTCAACATCTCGACAGGAGGCACGGCCACGGCCACGCCCACCTCGACCCCTTGCCCTTCCCCTTCCACGTCCCGGTGGAGCAGAAGCACTTTTGCTTGTTTTGGACCTTCCTTTCGCCTTGGCTTTCGCTTTCCCCTTAGCCTTAGCTTTTGCCTTAGGTTTCACCTGCTCTGAAGGGGCAATGAAGTCCAGGCCCGTGATCTCCTTCGGCAAAGTAGGAAGAGGCTGAAGTTCTTTCTCCTCTGATGGCTTGGGACAGGGTGGCATCGGAGAGGTCGCGGTACTGGGCTCATGCTTTTCCTCACTTTTTGGGTCTAGTGTAGAACCCCTTGAAACTCCAGTAGCTTCAGTAGTGGTGGCCTGGTTGCTTGGGACTGCTTTGCCATTTTCATCAGCTACATCGGATTTGGGACTATCACCAAAAGAAGAGCTCAAGACTACTGCGCCATCAACTCCCTCAGAGTAGATCTTTGGAATCTTGAAGTTTTTGGCACATGGATCGGGCCGGGGATCAACACCTGCAGCCACAATGTGGTCGGGGTAGGCCAAGTCAGAATCGGAAGGCTTCTTTTCCTGTTCTTCTTCCTCACCCAAAACCTCATCCTGCTTCCCACCCACTTGGCAGGAACCCCCACTAGGAGCTGTTGCGGGGATTGGGCTGGGAGGACTGGACAATGTTGCACAAGGCTCACCCTCATCAGGCTGACTGTCTTCGAAGAATTCATATGGCTGACCATCAGGGAAAAAAGCCCCTGAACGTTCATGAGGGGATTCAATCTCACCAGTTTCGGAGGTCACAATGACATCGGGCGAGTCTGGGTCCTTTTGAACCGGAGGGGCAGGCACACGAAGGATGCTTTCTCCACGCTGAGCTGATGCCGATGGCTTCACCTCAGCTTTCTCTTCAGTGGCCAGCATTGGCAACAGTTTCTCCTTGATATCTTCTGCAATCTTGTCCATCTCAGCTTCGGATGGAGGCACGGTTTCCCCAGTAGTTTGGAAGTTTCTTTGGGAAGCATGAGGTTTGAAGATCACACGAATGGGAAAATCATCCTTGTCAGGATTGCCAACTAATCCTCGAGGTGAAAAAAGGAATTCTTTCCCCGCTTTCCCGTAGACGATGCAGTGCTCCATCGCTTTATCCATTCCTGAACCCTTGACTTTTGCCAAAAACTCTCGGGCCCAATCCTGTTTGTAGCCCACAAAGAATCCTAACCCATAGTCTTTTGGGGTAGGTGGAAAGATCTCCTTTGCGATCTCTTTGCTGCTTTCGGCTTGTCCTTGCTTTGAACCCTTTGGATTTTCCTGCTGTGACATAGGTGAGGGAGGGCCCCAACCTGGTGATGGAGTTTCTGGCAACTTTTCCCCATTCCATGTCAGTGAGTTTGTTTTGGCTAGCCTTTCCACGTGGTCACCTGCCTCAAGCTGTGGCTCTTCATTCACTTCATATGGTAAGGTTTCCACAAGGTCAGGACCTAAGTAGCTGAAGTCTTAAGCCTACTAGAAAAGTGGGGCCGCATTGTCCATGTCTATATCCATGAAACCTTTCATCAACAAAGTATAAATTACTTTTCTTCGAGTTATCCCCACCATGACATTTATACGTTTTGTTACTGCTGGCAAATCTTCTGGCATTCTATCTGACATATCTTCTGGCATTTTATCTGGCATATCTTCTGGCATTCTACCTGGCATATCTTCTGCAATATTTTCTGGCATATCTTCTGGCATATTTTTCTGGCATATCTTCTGACATTCTATCTGGCATTCTATCCGGCAAATCTTCTGGCATTCTATCTGGCAAACATTCTGGCACTTTATCTGGCATACCTTCTGGCACTCTATTTGGCATATCTTCTGGCATTCTATCTGGCATATCTTCTGGCATTTTATCTGGCATATCTTCTGGCATATCTTCTGGCATTCTACCTGGCATATCTTCTGCAATATGTTCTGGCATTTTATCTGGCATATCTTCTCGCATTCTATCTGACATTCTATCTGGCATATCTTCTGGCATTCTATCTGGCTTTTTGAGGTCCAGCGGTGCGCACTGAACTTGGAAGGCCCCAGGTTGAGGTCCAGCGGTGCGCACTGAGCTCGGCAGGTCCCAGGTTGAGGTCCAGCGGTGCGCACTGAGCTAAGAAGGTCCCAGGTTGTGGTCCAGCGGTGCACACTGAGCTGGGAAGGTCCCAGGTTGAGGTCCAGCAGTGCGCACTGAGCTCCGAAGTTGGCGAAGAGCTTGGCCAAGAGTTGGCAAGGCAACAGTGGACGTGGTGGAGGCAGAGGTGGTAGAAGAGGAGGAGGACGCGGAGGAGGAGAAGGAGGAGGAGGAAGAGGAGGAGAAGAACAACTCTGATAAAATCTAACTACCCTCACCTGGCAGGTGGGGGAAAAAAAGTATGTCTCCGCATGATTTGTCCACGTTCATTGCAAAGCTCCAAGGATTGGACATACCGGTGGGCTCCCAAGAGGACCCACAGGCGCAGCTTTGGGAGTGGTGCCGGGAGTGGAGGCTTTGGCCAACAAGTCTGACTCGAGAGTACGAAGCTGTTTCAACCTTTTCAGTTTTGCCATTTGTTTCTGCAACTCCGTTTCAAGGGATTCCTTGCTCCTCTCACATGGCATGGCATGGATGGTCTCGAAGTCATGTGAAAACAAGCCGCAATGGACACATTCGTATCCATCACCTAACTGTTTCAGCCAATGCCCATTGACGGTTGAAGAACGTGCTGTGGACGGGCTCCAAAGCGAGGACGCGCCAGAACCTAAAATGGGCTGGCAATGGCCGGCACTCAGCCAACGGTTGGCATCCATAAGTGACCCCTATGTAAACCAATCTGAAGAAAAAAGGCTTTCATTCAGGTCCCCTAAATACCAAAATCCACCAGGATAAGATTCCAAAGCCTAGCAACGTGGGGTGGTGGTGCTGGGAGTCTTGGCTTCCAAAGGTCGTCCTGCATGAATGGCATGTGACATGGCACTTTTTTACATGGAGGGAATGTTAGATGAGTCACTACGGTTAGATATGAGCATGCTCATGCCAGGCCAAAGAGTCCTTCAGCTTTTGAGCCTTTCAAGTCCGGCTTCTCAGCAGTCTCACCAGAAGGATCAGTCGGTTCCTGGAGAAAGGTCTGGAAATGGTGACTTTAAGATAGGTCGGGTCATTACACCAAAACAAACATCCAAAAAATAAACTTAAGAAATTGTTGATTGTTAAATTATTTTCTGTCCTTGGAGTCTGGGTCTATCGTTGGATCAGGGTCCGCTTCCTCCTCTTCTTCCCCTTCCTCATCCCCAACACCTTCAGCTTCGGCTCCAGCTTCTGGATTCTCTGGTTCAGGGTTTGGGCCTGTAAGCAGGCAACAACAAGATTGAAGGATCACATTGTGTTTGGTTGAAACTATAACTGTTGAATTTACTTTGCTATGAACCAATCCTGCTGCATTCTTAATGGTAGGCCTTCGGGCAATTCAATCCCTGCTTCAACGAACAACTTCCGCATCCACTTCTCACGAGGAATGTGGGGTCGGCGTGCGGCTCTGGCAAAAACCGACACCAAGCGTCGGAGTCCCCAGGCTTGAACTCGGAGATCATTTCCTAATGACTTGGCAGTGGCGCATCATCGGATGGGGGAGCACGAAGTGAAGACCAGCATGAAAAAACTGATGCAATCAATCATGATAACTCATATAATGTTTATTCAATCTAGGGGCTACCCATCGGTTTCTTCAAGATGTCCCGACGGCGCCAAAAGAACTCTTCCACAGTTTGTCCAAGTGCGTTGACTGATGGCCGCATGCCTCAGAAATTTTGTGGGTGCCAAGTAAAATTGACATTTACCAGTGTGTACTATCGAAGTGCCTTTTGTAAGAATTTTTGGTGTTCAAGAAAAATTGGCAAAAAGGTACTTACAGGCCATGGTCTTCTGCTGGGTTGGGCCCGTTGGGCCCGTTGAGCCCGTTGGGCCCGTCAGGCCCGTCAGGCCCGTCAGGCGGGGCCCGTCGGGCCCGTTGGGGCCCGTCGAGCCCGTCGGGCCCGTCGGGCCCAACGGGCCCGACGTTGGGGCAGTCGGGCAGTCCTGCTGTATGAGGTTCTTGGAAGGGGATCTTGTAGGGATCGTGTCGAGATCCTCGAAGATTCCTGATTTTGTAGAAGTCCTTGCGAGGAGATCTTGTGGATATCCTAGTGAAATCCTTTGTTGTAGAGGTGTTTGTGAGGAGATCTTGCGCACATCCTGCTGGAATCTTCTAAAAGATATTTGCGTGAAGATCTAGAAGGTGCTTGTATGAAAGTTTGCAAGGGAAGCATTCAAGAGGTTCTTGTACAAAGATCTTCTCAGATCCCTCTAGCAGGTCCTTCTTTGACGACTGTGTGAAATTCTCAGTGAGGTCCTGGCTTGAGGTCCTGGAGTTTTTGTTCACAGATGTTTTCCTCAACGCTGTTAGGGCCTCTTTGCCGGGGATGATTGTCTCTATTTTTTTGTTTGAAAAGGTAGAGAGCCGGGCAGCGTTTGACAAGCCGGGTGGGCGGCCGCCGTTGTATTTGGGTCGGACATGTCAAGCAGATAGAAGCAGATATGCATATTTGGTTTTTTGGTTTTTGAAGGGGTGCCAATCAGATATGTTAGCAACCACATTCTTTATCCCTGCGTGATAGAAGGAAGAATCATCATGTAAGTTCCAAACTAAAACAATGATCAGCACATGCCACATTCTGTGGAGCAACTTTTCTGGCAGCAAATCTATATGGGACGATTCCGTGTCTGCCAGTTTGGATGTTGCCAAGCCGCCAAGCTATGTTTTCAATAGTTTCACCTTCCGACGGTTTGGTGTGGGTCAAAGAACATGCGCCGTTTGGCCCACGTGCACAGCACATCATGCTTCCCATGGGGAGCAGGACATCTAAAAATGTTTGACCCATACCATCCCATATTCATTTGAGCAGGGCTGGAAAGCTTTAGCTAATCCCTTTTTATGGCTGATTTTTAAAAATTGATGATGATAATCCCCGATATCTAGGGTAATATAGGAATACTGCTCACTTGCTGGTTCCGGCAGCGCTGACGCGGATATGTGAGATAAAGCCGTCACAAAGGGATGAAGCGAAGCACGGGATTTTTTTTGTGGCCGCTGTCTAGGAAAGAATCGTAGAATCGGCAAACGGCACCGCTTGACAAATCATACCCCGAGTGGATGCGAAGGATTTTGTTTCACCGGTTGGTAGTCAACATCTGGTGCCGAACTAATCAACACCTGGTGGAATAATATCTGTAACCAAATGAAGAACAGAAAGCCATGGATTGCTGAAGCAGGAAAGCGACGAAAATTGGAAACATGATCCCAATGGCGTGCTGGGATCATACATTTTTCATCTACAACCAGATGTATTTAGGTATAAGATATACATAAAGAACAATCACCCAATAAATAAATATTTCTGTGTGTATACGCATTAGAAAGATACAAGATGCATACATTTATATATGTATATATACATATGTTGAAATACGGCTAATGCCTGGGTTTAGCCTGGCAGGGCAACGACGATGGGCAACGAAGCGTCAGCATCACCATCATCATCATCATCCTCCCTTCTTGATCTTTCCAGTCGACAGCAAAAAAGCAAACGAGAGTGGGATTTTTTATATTCCTAATACATGTGGTGATCTTCCCACTTGAATCTAAAAGTTCAAGCAGGGTGGGCAATTGTGTTTCTAAGGGAGCTTATATTCCAAATACCTATCGGTGATCTTCCCAATTGAATGTAAAATTCACAGGCGGGGAACTTATATGCCAAATCATTACCCTTGTTGATTTTCCTGCTTGAATGTAAAGTTGAACAGAGATGTGATTCTAAATTCCTAATACCTTTGCTGATTTTCCCCATTGAATATTAAGTTAGCCGGGGGTGGGAATCTATATTCCCAGTACCGTTGTTGATCTTCCCAATTGAATGTAAAGTGTAACGCCAGCACCAGAAGGGATGATGGGTTCATTCAGTGCCACGGCCTCTCGAGCCCGTCGAGCCCGTCGAGCCCGTTGGGCCCGTTGGGCCCGTCGTGCCCGTCGGGCCCGTTGAGCCCGTGAAGCAGGCCCGTTGGGGCCCGTTGGGGCCCGTTGGAGCCCGTTGGGCCCGTTGGGCCCGTTGGGCCCGTCGGGCCCGTCGGGCCCGTTGAGCCCGAACCTAGGAAAGGACTATTCTCCAAAATTCATATGAAATTCAACTATGTGGAAAATCTACATCAGCTCTTCTGCGCTGAGATGCAACGAGATTGATTAAACCCTTTGTGAAGCTGAGTTACCCATATGGTTCAGAACCGGGGCAATGATATCCCGGTTGGACATGAGGTCTTGTCTGTTCACGTCATCAGTCTGGGGTCGAAAGATCAGCAGTTCTCCGCAGCCACCTCTTTCTTTGATCCACCGGACCCTCTCCCAAGCAGCAACGACTGGACTTAGCTGGTTAGGTTCTCCCAAAGTTCCAGGTTCCACATCAGGCTCGGCCATCCCAAACTAGATAGGCGCAGTCAATCCTAAAGATATCCTAAGCACCTTTCCAGTCTGAGCCACTGAGCTGAGTATATAAGGGACGGATTGCACTGTTGACCCGGGATTAACAATCCACCATTTTACCAATAGGGGTTTTAAAACATGGTAAAACATCTTGTCATAAATAATATGTCATATTATTCTTGAGGTTAAACATCTTATATTTATCAGTTTATTAATCCAGCGTTGACATTGGCAACTGACAGCTTGGCAATGATTTGCAACAAGAATCCACATTCAGCAGCAAAGCAAGCCAGGGTTACACGTAGGAGGGCTGCAAGGAAGCACGTTGATCCCACCACCATTGCCAGCATCACTGGCCCAGTAAAGTTTGAAAACACCCAAACTCAAATCAACCTTGACATTCTTGCTATTATCCAAGGATGAGTGTGAACCACTGCCTCCCCAAACCTCCTATTACGATGTTCATCACATCAACTCCCAAGCTGGAGCCGCTGCCAAGGCCACCGACCAGATCAGAGCGCACACTTGGCATACAAGTGGGACTTGGATGTGATGGCATGATATTGGGATGTATGGGTTTGGATAAAAGTGGCCAAGGGTTGTCAAACCCTGAAAAACGCTCGAATGTTAAATTTCTGCTCGTTTGTGAAATTTAGGTATCAGATCCCAAAAAGTGTATCAAACAAGGGGGGAGGCATAAATTTAGGTATCAATCGAAGGTCTAGGTATATATATATATATATACATGCTTCGATTTCTTCAGCCTTGGAGGTTGGCTGCTGCGTGTAATCCGGTAATGCGGCATGAGATCTAGCATGTACCTGGCTTGCTTTCAAAAGTGGTTCCCTCTGAAACAACATGCATTTCAACCATATGTTTTAAGGAGATTTCTTCAAATTTCATGTTTAAAAAAATATATTAAAAAAACAACAGGAAAAACACAAGTGACATGTCTTGAACAGATGTTTCTCAAAATGTATGTCCATCAGCATTCCCCAAGGCTCGGCCGCACGACGCTTGGTCTCCTGTTTGATGATCACCTTGGGTGCGGGGATGGTGGAAGGATCACTGCTGGTGAACTGGGCCCATGGCAACGCTGGAGGACGTGGCTTTGACAAAAGTGGCCGGTAGGTCAAAAAGGTGGTGCCGGGTAAGACGAGGTGTGAGAAGTTGCGGGGTTTAGATGGGACCATGGAGGATGGTAGATATATGATGATATATGATAGCTCCCTCTCTCTCTATATATATGTATTATATATATATGTATATATATATATATATGTTGTATGTATAATATTGCATTATTTCTAGATTGTATATTTACAGTGTTATCACGAAAGGTAGCCTAGGCTACCTGAGTTCTATGTACTTTAGTACTAGTTTAGTACTGGGGGAGGTGGCTGCTCCTTTCCCGGAAATTGAAAGCCGAGAGTCACGAACGGAGACTTAGGGGGGGGGGGCCCCCCCCTCCCCCCCCCATTCGATTCCCCCCTGGTCCGCATTTTTTTCTCTCTCTTTTTCTCTGACTCTGTACCTACCTCCTTATCCATCTATCTATCGATATATCTATCTATCTAGTTGTCCATCTATGTATGTATTTATCTATCTATCCTTGGATCTATCTATCTATCTATCTATCTATCTATCTATCTACCTATTGATCTATCTATTTATCTATCTGTTTATCGATCAAGGTAGCCATCGATCTATCTATTTATCGATCGATGCTTCTATCTCTCTATCTATTTATTCATCTATTTATTTATTTATTTATAGTTTTATCTATCTATCTATCTATCTATCTATCTATCGATGTATTGATCTATCGATCTATCGTGGATGTTCTAGTCCCATTGAGGCCGTGCCGGGGAATAGAGACTCGCAATGTTTATGTCCCGCACGCGTGAAGTTACTTTACATTTGACATTATGTTTCTGATTCTATTCCCACAAAGCTTTTTTGGGGGCTAACATTTTCTTCTGCAGGAGGTTTGAGTGAAGAGAAGTATCAATCTCAGTTTGGCAATATTTTTCCTGTTGCTCTCTTTTGCCCCCCCTACCTTTCGCCCCCCCCCTCTCAAGTAATATTTTTGTATTCTGAATAATGTTTCAAGTATTAACTATACTTTACTTGTAAATGCCGTATGTAATATATTTTTAATATAAGTGATAAGTTGTGATATGAATTATAGATATATAAACTTGGATGGGATGACGAGTGAAAGTAAGCCAATGTATAACCGGTAAAGTGGCCATGTGTTGCTGTGGTGTTGTTGTTTTCGGCCTTGTTTTCAGCCGCACGATCTCAACATAAATTGTGGAAAATGGGGAGTGCTCTGCTCAAATCTCAGCATGATGATGGGAATCCCTTCTTCCCAACATCAAAATAGATCAAATACCACGACCAGAAACCCTGGTTTTGTATTCATGACTTGGGTCCCCTGTATCATATTGTCCATATATCCACATTTCAGTCATCTTAAATCATCTTAAATCCTAATTTTTGATGTAAACACCCCATTCAGACAGTAGTTTTGGATAGTTTTGGTGCATTGTGCGCCAACCCACCGACTGGGGGAGGATTTGTGCTGCGCTATGCCATAGAACAGCTGTTGCCCTCGCTGATTTGGTGCACGCAAGATGCGTCCTTGGTAGCGGAAGCCATGGGCTTTGAACCACAGGCTCTGTTGAAAAACCTGGAAGGCCCCTGGGCCCCAAAATTTTCATGTTTTTTCCAGAAGTGGCTTCCAGATGTTTCAGGCATTTTTAATAATTTTTAGCCATGAAATGTCAAGCTTTGAAGATGGGGAAAGATTCGCCAGCGACTCGCATTGCTATATAGTCCTGTGGATGCTCACCCTGTCTTGCTGTGGATGTGCTGGTGAAACCTGTTGGTTCCAACCACAGCTGAGGTAGAGAAGGGGCATCTACTCTGCTAGCCGTTGGCCAGTGCCATGCGGTGCGCAGTGTATCAGCGGGTTTCAATCTCTTGGGGCAGCTGTTTCGATTCACTCAGATCACCAACAATGTGCTGCCTCTTGTCCGGCCAAATGGCCAGGGATGGTTGGGGTGCACAGATGCCACCTATCAGGTGCTCGAGAACTCCACTTGTAAAACTGGCCGGTGTTTTAAAAAGATTACCTTGTGGCGCAAGTTGGAACCATGCGCAGACTTCGCAATCGGTGTTCCCGCATCTCAGGAAGCAGTTCGAGCAGAAGGTGCGCTTGGGTAAAGATGTTCCCCTCTCGTCTGGCGCCAAAGAACGCGTCATTCGTCTCTGCGGGGAGTTCTCCTATGCCACCTACGCAGCAGTTGCTTGGCACAACTCCGATGGAAGATGTCAGCTACCAACGGTGCGGCCGGGAAAACAGCTAAAGAGATCCACCAGAAATACTGCTGAGATATCGACCATGAACAGGTCAATCAGACTAAAACAAATGATAATCATGATATATATATATATATAATTAATAGTAAAAAAACAACAAACATTATATATAACAAATGTGTGTTTTTTAATTAATAACTATATATATATATAATATGAACATATCCAGCACAAACATCCCATAGATTCCTATATGCCATAGCCCTCATAGATTCCCTTTTGTCACCCCAACGTTACCCACGCACTGAGATTTCGAAGAGCGGTCGCTTTCACATTCTGCCCGTGATGGATCCAGCCAGCATGCCCATGCTGACCGAGCAGCTCACGCATGGCTTCAAGTGCCCTAGGGTTCCCGGGTTCCCCAAAATGGTTGGAAGGATGGTAATCTGGTTGGTGGTTTGGAACATTTTTTTTATTTTCAATAATATATGGGATAATCCTTCCCATTGACTAATTTTTTTCAATATGGTTAAAGCCACCAACCAGTAATAGTTGGGTAGAGCTGGGTAGTTTCATGGGCATCAATTGGACTCAGTTGGTCGCCCAAAATGCCCAAAATGCCCAGGGGCAGAATAGCCATTGATGAATGGAACATCCCAATTTCAAACACCATTTGCCATAGCTATGTCAAGTTGCTGGAGGCTATTTGTTAGGGAAATGTGAGTGTTGTCAAACAACTTTGATTTGGGTATTGATTCATTTGGTTAGTAGAGAAACCATACCAAAGTATTTGGAAATCCTGAGTAGGTATGAAATGATCTTGTACATGCTTTCCGGAATTTTCCTGATCGTGATTTCCGGGTTTGCATTTTTCTAGGGAACATATAACTATGTGTATATATACACATGCATTACAGATTAGATTTAATAGGGAATCATACGCGCGATTTTACAGCTAGGATATTTGTTCTGCACCTGAGGGTGTTTGGCTCTGAACAAATAATCCAGATGACTTTCTATGAGCAGCGAAGAATGAGGTGCCAGAGATGTTCGAAGCATAAGTCACCAGTCATCCAGTAATTTTAACTTGTGACTTGACTTGATATGTACCAAACATGACCAAAAACTGTGTGTCCCCAAAAGTCCAAAAAAAATTGACCTTGAATAACTTTGAATAAAGTTTGACCTTGACCTTGACATACCATGCATGTTCTTTGCGACCCAACAAGCAGGTACCCTTTGTTCCTGAATGTACCCAGCAAGCTCTGGGGTCAACCAGATGTTTGGTGCCTGGGCCGTGACACCTCAGGTTTGTGAATGGACAACCCTAACTAGAGCAAATTGGGACGCTGAAAAGTCAAGATCACAGATGACTACATCCTGGAAAACCTGGCGTATCTCTTGATTGGTTTCATCCCAAATATGTCATATTTTCTTGCTCTGCACTCCGTTTCCATGGCTAAAATCCTGCAAAATCATCAACCAAACAACTCTACAAATACTATCAAACATTAACTACATACCCAAAATCACCATAAACCCAAAAAAACCCTTCAAATTCCCCAACAAACATCGCCCAAAAGCCAGTTCGCCAGGGAACCCTTGCTGGGTCGCGCGGTGCGGCCCTCGTGGCTTCTGCAAGGCGTCGCTGGGAAGAAGGTGCTCTGTGTGGAGGTGGACGGAACCGAGAGACACGTAGCCTGGATGCAGCCAGAGGTGATTGATGGCCATGGATCTAAGCTAAACCACAGATAATAATAGCTCACAAGTTAAGAACATGTATATACTGTATATAATTAATAATAACAATAATAGTAATAATAATGATAATAATAATAACACAAATAGTAATAATAGCAAAGACAATCATGATAAATAATGATAGTAAGAAGAAGAATAAACAAGTAAGAGCAACAAACATGTTAGTTAAAATTATAACATATTATACAGGATTACCTAGTTCTATGTATTATGTCGCGTGTGTCCTTCATTTTCCTCCACGACCCCATTTGACCAAGGAGATCCTACTCTTTGGCCGTGTCCGGAAGATTGGCATTGAGCAACTGGCATGACGATGGGCCGATGCTCATTGATTTGGGCCGAGATAAAGGTGAACCATGGTTTCCAGCCACAAATATAGGATGTCAATGGATTTTTATAGGTGCGAATGGCATCATCATCGCAATCCGCCATGGGAAGCTGATCGAATAACCATGGGATATGGATGGAATATTAGTTCATGCCCGTCGGTGTCATCAAACATGGCTGGGACATCTCCACAAATCAGCATTTAAAAAGGGAACAGAATAAACAGATCCTATAAATATAGGATTTTCAAGCTAGCCATGTTTGATTACCAGAGGGTAATTGTTGACAAGCCCTGAGTTCATGTTCATCAGTTGGGTCTTCATTTCTTTTGACAACCCAAATCTAATCAGAGTTTTTGTTAACCTACAGTACATAAATATGGATGATAATAACCCATATACTAATGATTAGCTATGATTTGTTCAATCCAAAATCACGAAAAAAGCTGTGATAAATTTTTCGTCAATCCGATTGTCTTTTTGTTTTTCGGGCCATCCCGGCCATCCCGGCCGCCTCGACCATGGCAAGGCAAGCCAGCAACGCGTTCAGGGCCATTTCCTTTGTGATGCTAGGCGCTTTGGCATCGCAAGGCTTGCCTTCCTCCAGGATTCAGCTGCTTCGGGCCACTGGGCAATGGTGTGGATGCTGGGGGGTTCTATTCTACTGTATATATATATATATATCTATATATATATATAGTACTTTCCTGTGTCCGGTTGTTTTTTCGACTTGGTCAGTCATTTTGTGGTGCTACGACAGGTCAAAGCTGGTCAAAGCCAAGCCCAGCTTGCACTTGGCCCCTGGGGTGAAATTTCCAGCTGTTCTAATTGTTCTCCAACTGCATAGATAAAGTTTAGTTGGTTCATTGTTTTGCATCAATTAAATGATATATTCCTAAGCAGTTCAACCCCCAACTGAACTACGTATATATATATAATTATATATAATATATATATATATAATATATTCGAACTCCACAACACACTTCATATATGGTCTTTCTCATTCCATATTTTTCCCATGCTTTGTCCTCACATTTTCCCATGGCTAGCAAAAACCCCTGGTTTTTCCAGGTCTACCTGGGTGATTCCCACGAGTTATCCACGACCGGAAACTTGGCGCGTTTCACCTGCCGCGAACGCGTGGAGAGCCGCCGCGAAGCCGACGTCCTGGTGGACTTCCACGCGCCGATCCTGCGGCGCCTGCGGCTCTGGGCCTTGGACAATGCCGTGCCGGTGGCCTGGATGGGGAAATTTTATGGGAAACGATGGGGAAATCCCATGGGAAAAGATGTACTGAATCATGTACTATTTATAAATATGTTAGCTGATATACTTTATCATGTTTTATCATGTTGTATTAGATGATAACTATATAACTATCTACTATTAAACATGCCCATAGATGATTATAAAATATTGGCATGATATTCCCATGGATATATATATATATATGTATAGTGGATAATATATTGATGATAAATATCCACTATAAAACATTGGCATCTTCAGGTTTGAAACACTAAGTTATAGAATAACCGATGGGGAAAATCCATTGGATTTTGATGGGGAATTGCTAGGGGAATTCCTGGGATAAAATGGGTAAATTGGGGCAGTTCCAAGCGGGAAAACAGGGGATTTGACTTGCCATAAAAGATATAAAAGTAAGATTTTACTTGTGAAACTGGGAACTTGGACATACTTAAAAAATTACTTTACTTCGTGTGATCCCCACCATGACATTTATACATTTTCTTACTGGCAAATCTTCTGGCATTCTATCTGACATATCTTCTGACATTCTATTTGACATTCTATCTAGCATATGATCTGGCATATCTTCTGGCATTCTATCTGGCAAATCTTCTGGCATTCTATCTGGCATATCTTCTGCACTCTCAATCTGACATATCTTCTCTGGCATATCTTCTGGCATATATTCTGACATATCTTCTGGCATTCTATCTGACATATTTCTATCTGGCAATCTTCTGGCATATTCTGGCATATCTTCTATCTGGCATATCTTCTGGCATATTATCTGGCATTCTATCTGGCATATCTTCTGGCATATATTCTGCATTCATCTGGCAAATCTTCTGGCATTCTATCTGGCATTCTATCTGGCATTCTATCTGGCATATCTTCTGGCATATCTTCTGACATTCTTTCTGACATTCTTTCTAACTTTCTTCTGCACATTCTTTGTCCCATATCTTCCTACATGAGGTCCGGCAGGGAACACTTGGCGTGGATACTCGCGGTTGAGGTCCGGCAGGGAACACTGGGCGTGGATGGTCGTGGTTGAGGTCCGGCAGGGAACACTGGGCGAGGATGGTCGTGGGTGAGGTCCGGCAGGGAACATTGGGCGTGGATGGTCGTGGTTGAGGTCCGGCAGGGAACACTGGGCGTGGATGGTCGTGGTTGAGGTCCGGCAGAGAACACTGTGGATCGCGGGTCGCAGTTGAGACGACGAGGACGACGAGGACGACGAGGACGAAGAGGACGAGGAGGAGGAGGAGAGGAGGACGAGGCAGGAGGAGGCGGAGGAGGAGGAGGAGAAGGAGGAGGAGAAGGAGGAGAAGGAGGAGGAGGAGGAGGAGGCAACTGACATAAAATCTAACAACCCTCACCTGGCAGGTGGGGAAAAAAAAACAAGTACCGTTTAACCACAGGGTTGACCAATACAGATGGAAACGTGATATGATGAACTACCTAATACGCGGAGCTGTTTGGCAGCCTCGCACACCAATCCATTCATGTTCAATTTGCAACGGTGCTTGAACTATGTATGTGGTAATAGGTTTGGTAGGTAGCTAAAGCACCAACGAGCCATTTTCACCTCTATGAGGGACAACGGCCCAACATCGGTTTGACAACTGACGTCAATCATGGCCCCCTCCAAACTTCTACGTGATTTGATGCAGAACATGTCATAGTGTGGTTTCCATATATGTTTATTTCAAGACTTGCAGTTTCTTGCCTGGTGTCTAACAAAATGCACTTATGCAACTTACATCCCCAAGATTGTACTTAACATTATGTAGGAGAGGAGAGAGAACTATTATATATAAGAATATATTCTTGAAGTATTCCAGGTTACCATGAGGTGGGGCCAAGATAGCTAAGTTGGCAACCATAACTCCAATATGTTTTATCATGGTGTATTTTAAATATATGTATTTGATTCTTTGATAGTCAGTGGATGTTAGTGGGGTTTATAAACTCACTTATACCTGACGTGGTTGACCCAACTTGCCAAGCAACTTCAACACCGAGGTGGACGTGGAGCAAGGTGAAGCACTGCCCACGATTTGCTTTGAAACCTGCCGATGGGGGGGCCAGAGCCATGTGTTCCCCAAATGGTCATTGAGGGGCGACCTAAGCATGACCATCCATGATCATCCGTCATCCAGATATCTGAAACCTGCGGATGGTACCAGGTACCTGGATCCACAACTTGTGTAATTTGAGCTCTCGAAAAACAATCTCTAGGAATCCAAAACTTCGCCGGATCAACTTTACACATGATTTCCGAGGAAACGACTTGCCCTGAGCGCTTCCAGAATTTGGCCCACTTGATGCGTGACACTGTGCCTTGAAAAGCAAGGATTTGCGTCCCAAGATGACTTAAGCCAAAAGTATGCGAAAGTGCCACGACTACCGGGCTAAGGAGCTAATGTTGGTAAAACAATGCCATAAACCTTTCTCCCCAGTCATCACCGTTTTTCATATGTAGTTCATGGCATTGTTTTCCCCACATTAATGTTATTGGATGCTGCACAAAAATGTTAAATCCTGTTCATCCAAAGACATCCAAGAGGACAATCCACCGTTCAATCTATTTCCAACGACTTCCCAGCCAATGCAAATGGCAATCACACATTAGACTTCATTAGGCATTGTCCATCAAAAACCTACTATATATATAATATATTATATATATATATATATTAATTCATTCCATTTCATTCTACCGGAACTTATGCCATTAAAACTAAGCACACACATGCACAATGTTGCCAAACTTCTTGCAACAAACCTACCCCCGTCCTCATTTTGGTCCAGTGCCATGTCCAAGCAGAGTTCCACCCCAGTGGTCTGAGGCTCAAGTGGTGGATCAGGTTCAAGCCGTCAAGCTCTGCAAGCAGCTCAACACGACCATCCCGCGGTTGATCCACTACCCCTCCACTGCAGAGACGGTGAACGCGGCGTACGCCTTGGCTCGGCCGGGGGAACTCTACTGCGATCCCAGGTGCTGATGGGGATGCGATCCGGAGAACGGAACGGGGGAACGGAGATTGGCCATAATGGGGATGTAACCCCAAAAGAATGCAGAAACCAGGATGTTTCTTCATAATGTTGGATACTGATTAGTGTAGGCCCCCCCTCAACAGTTTTAGGCTACTCAATAACTCGGCATTTTCTGGGCCCCCCTCAATAATTTTTAGGATAGTCAACTTAAGTAAGGATTTCAATTGACATCAATCTACTTTCAATTGATTTTCCTTTTAAATCCTCAACAAAAATGCCCCAAAAGTTTTTGTGCACAATAGGTACCATCGAAACAATTATATACATTATTGAGGATCTGGGTCACTCATCGGGTACCCCCTTGAAAAATTGTTTGGGTGCTGTTTTTGTTTTTGTTTTTTTAATTGAGGGTTTAATAAGGAATCTAATAGTTTGGGAAACCTTACATTTTCAAGGCTTTAACATGGATATGGCTTTCTAAAGTAAATGGGCCAGCTTTACCCAAAGAAAGGTGTATAAAGGTGGATAAAGCTCCTCCTGAAAAAATTGGATCTGAGAAAAAACTTCTCACAATAGAGGCCTACCCCCCATTCACAAGATACTCAATAATTTTTGGAAATTGTCTCACAATACAGCCCCAGGACATTAATCGGTATCCAGGGGGATAGGCCTGCAATTACTTAACGGAGTGTATTAATCCGGGGAGTGCTGTGATAAAGGTGGATCTGTATAAAGGAAACTTCGGTTGGCGCTTGTGTTGGTGTGGAAGACCCGGGCTAAACATGTGGGACTTGGACAGCTGACAGTGACAATGGACCAATAGTTTTTGTTCGCCTTTTTTTACGCGGGGCATTTAACAACATATACTGTATCAAAATAATTCAAAATATGTATTTGGTAGTATAAAGGCCATGAATGGATGATCAAGACATGAGGATTTTGTTCAACCTACTGTAAGAATGAACCAAAGACCCGCATCAGGAAGTTTCTATGACAAACAATCCATTTCTTGGTGGCTAGTATGAGTCACACTCCCATGGTAAGACCTACAGAGGATATATATATATATATATGATTATATATGAACGATTTTGCCAAGCAGTGCTCTACAGAAATTGTAAACAGAAATCCCTTGTTATGTCTTATCGTAATGCATATTTATGAAATTTTATGTTATGAAAATATGCTGTAACAAATTAAATGCTGTTTGATTTCATGTTACCCTCTGGTAATTTAACCTAGCTATGGAAAATGGACCACTTACAGATGATTTTCCCAGCTAGAAACCTCCATTTATAGATGGGATTTTCCAGTTCGCTATGTTAAATTACCAGAGGGTATTATCCATTATATCACCTATAAATCCCTATAAATCCCTATAAATCCCTATAAATCCCTATAAATCCCTATAAATCCCCATTATTCCAATGATGCGTTGCCAGTCATATCCCACCCGGAGGCACACCCTGGTCTTGTGCGAACGCGACTGGGGGGCACAAGAGATCCGAAAGCTCAACGTGGGGTTCAAGGTCCTCTCTGCGGCCGAGATCATCGATGCTTATTGACTTAAAAGTGTTGAAGGGAAGTCGAGAAACACAAAACATTGGAAGTTTCCGTTTGTCATTTAGTCTCAACATGTAACATCTATATGTTTATGTACAGTAATTATATGATTTATGTACATGTTTAATTCTAAGTATGACATGTACATGTCTATGTATATGTTACAGTATTGTTTTTGCTTAATTTGCCGAAACTCATAAACTGTTGTTCATAGTGATGTGTGGAGAGAGAGAGAGAGAGAGAGAGTGTGTGATGTGCATAGCTATTCAGGTCTACAATTCTTTGTATGTATAGATGGAGGGAGGAACTTTGAATTTGCATATGCGTATGTGCATGAAGGCATGCATGCGGTGCCCAATTCTCCACCTAAAGCCATGGCCCACCATCCTTTGGCCAAGGGCCAAATCTTATCTTCCTTGTGACATTTGCCAGTCAGCCCAGCCTTTGTTTCAACGGCATAAAATGGCATAAATATATACTCTGAATAAGAAACATAGGGGACCTCAAAATCATGAAACCAACATGTGTGATGGGAACCATTTATGTTAAAGTGATGTCCTAAGGTGCCAGGATTATCCAATTTTGGTGGTATCTCCCCAGTGCCAAAAATCATCCAGCCGCATGGGTAAATACCAGCACGATTGGTTGCACATCGGTGACTGGTTTGCATGTACATTCACTGGCAATGATCCAACATGATTTATAGATATATCATGAACTATCATGGTATACCTGGATACCTACAAGGTGGGGCCCCCCAGCCCCCCAGTGATGAAGTGGGTGAATAACCCCTCTAGATCTAGATATATTCCCCATTCACAAGAGAAACCAAGGCCAGTGTATATCAATTTGGCTTTAACGGTGGCCTCACCTTGCACAATGGATCATTCTATCGGAAACGCTCTGATATTACCCTCCGGTAAACAAATATAGCTATTGAAAATGGCCATCTATAGTGGATTTTCCCCTCAAAAATGGTGATTTTCCATAGCCATGTTAAATTACCAGTTACCAGAAACCATGAGAGCGGAACAGCCAGTTCTCACCCCAGGATCTTTTGCGAGAGGTGCGGCAATGGGCGCGCCACGGCTTCAGTGGCCGTGAGATCCAGGCGGCACGGTATGGCACGGGGCGTACCGGGGCGTACTTCGGCATGGGATTCAAACCACCAAGGAATGGATTTGAAACATGAAAAACTTGATCTAAACCACCCAGCAATTGATTTGAACCAAGATTTGTTTATATTTATATAATTAGAACTTAGGACTCCTAGGACAATAGTCATCAGGCTTTAGTAAAGGGCATTAATCTGGGAGAATCTGGGGATGATTATTGATCAACCAGAAATGATGCTTGGCCTGGTGTTTTTTTTCAAGCGGCCGCATCCTGATCATGATGAATCATCAATCATCATCCCAAGATGGCAATCCCATCCGTCCAACCGGAACCCCTGCACACGAATCCATTGTTCCAAGGTGGTTTCTCTGAGGGATGCTGTTCTAATATTGAAGTGGCTTAAATCCCCAATCGGAAATGCTTGACCCAAATTGACTTGTGATTTGCAATCACATCTGGAGATGTTTGGAGGACATCCCCCTTTTTTGATTGGTAAACCATGTTAAACCCCTGCAACAATGGACTGGTAGGGAAAACCGGGGAAATCTCGAGGAAACCTTGTTTTTTTCCATGTTTTTGCCATGTTTTTGCCACCATTGGTGTTTCCTATCGAGTTTCCCTTAAACCAATGACTGCTGACTGCTGACTGCACGTCCAGACCGAGCTGGACCGTCGCGACGCCACGATCTTGAAACTCCTTAGGAGTGCCATGCACGCGGCCTGCAGCGGACAAAACGATGTCGTTTTGCGGTCGGATGTTCGTTAGGAGATTCGACCAGACATGGTGTTACTCAGTGATTCAGCCAACACAAAAGTTTAAAGATATACTTCGATATAAAGAAAAACGAAAACAACTTCATATGAGGGATATCTACAAAAAATCACATGATATCTTGCATATAGTATATTGTATATATAATTAACATAATTTTGGATGTCACTGTGATAGTGGGGCTGGGTCCGAAAACTGGCCAGGATTAGAAGCGGTTGAGACGGTTGGCATTTCAGCGGTTGGCCGTCCCCACAGCCCCCGTGCTAGGCGGATTACTTGGCTGAATGCCAATGCAACTTATTTTGCACTTGGTCACAGACGCTTAGGGATGTCTCCGGCATGGGTCTGACCTGAGTTTGCTGGTGGTTGGAAGCATGTTGGAGTTGTATTCGGGTTCCATGCCCTTCCGAAATTAGCGGAATATCCCCGGTTTACTACGACATCGTTTTTTGGGTAATATATGATATGTTGTTCAAAAACTGTCGATTTCCATGGATTTCCCATGTCCATATTGGTAATTACACCCATTTCAATCTCCATGTTTGTTCGTCATATCCCTGATTCTTGGTTGGTTATATATATTAGCTTGGTGCACCTCCAGCCTCTATCAAATCAACAAAAATCAACCCAATTTTTGCTGGTCAAACTATGTTCAACTGTTCAATATATTTTTTTGTGTTGTTCAAAACCATTTTTGAAAAGTGGGAAGATGCGCGAGACCTCACCCGCCGAAGCCGCCGAACCCGCCGTGAGGTCTTTGGTTATGCGCCCCTTGACCAAGAAACGCGAGAGGTCCAGGGATCCAGCCTTTTCACGCTGCGTCGTACGCTGCGTCGTACGTTTGTGGTTGACGAGTCGTTTTGTATGGAGCTATCAACAATTAATATCACTATAGATCAATAACATACCAAGGAACAATGGGGGGATTAGATCATACCTAAGTTTCATATAATCGATTTGGAATCTATGTCAAGAAATCGCCAATGTGATTATTATTGAGGTTGGACTATGTTGGACTTATCCATCACTGCGGTTTGCTGTGATAATGATGTACAAGAATAAACTATCACCATTCATTGGCTGACCACATTGTGTAACTCTACTTCGGATTTGTTGTTGGTGAAATCACGTAAAAAAAAATAGGCAGGTAATCATCGGGTATAGGCTCCTCTGTTTCTATGCAGACCCATCAAGCATAAGCAACACATCTCCCCAGTATATCATCCACTGAATCGGCTGTGGCATGCTGTGGCTGCTTCGAGTCACATTGTTGAAACAATCCACTGAATGTAACAACAACGGTAAAAGCCTCGAACATGTCCCAGTTTTCAGGATTTTTCATTGTCATATAGTTAGATGCCAACTTTCATCCAGTTTGAAACTGCAGGTTCACTGTAGGTTATCCTAGGATTGGATTAAAAATTATAGACAAAATAGATATATACTTATAGATTGCTAATAGTATGGAAATCATTTATCATATTTCCACAGAAATTATCATATTTCTTGGATTACCCTCTGGCAATTTAACATAGCTATTGAACTTTGCCCAAAGAAATCGCTGATTTACCTATTTTTCAGATGGTGATTTCCATAGTTATGTTAGTTTACCAGAGGGTAACCATATTTTTTTCTGGATCTAATGGTGGTTACTAATGGCGATTTATGGTTAATGATGATTCATTGTGATATGGAAGTTTCCTGAAATAGGGGTATCCCCAAATCATCCATTTTACTAGGGTTTTTCCTTTATAAACCATCCAGCTATTGGGGTACCCCCATTTATGGAAACCCCAATATACTGATTGATGATCATTATTAACCACTAATCCTCCCAGAAATACCATTAATGATTATATGATAGATATTAATAAGATTATTATATATACACTAATGTTTAGTGGTGAATTTAATAATCACCATTAGAATAATAGTCATTAAGTTCACCATTATATACTGTACCATTACCCCAGAAATTATGAATCATGATGAACCATTATATACTATCACTATTATTTTGACTTTTAATGATGATTAATATCTATTTAATTCTATCTATTAATCATTAACAGGATGATTAGTCCAATGGTTAATGGTGAACTTAAGATGATGAATAGATTAAACCATTAATATATTAATATATACCAACCATTGGTTCATGAACCAATGACTGGTTGGTGGTTTCAAACATTTTTGTCCATTTCATATATGGGATGTCATCCTTCCCATTGACGAACTCCATGATTTTTCAAGATGGTAGGTATACCACCAACCAGATCGTAATAAGTATCATAGACCATAGTGAAATTGGAGTTATTAACCATAGTTAATAATACTGGCTAATAGTTATTAACCATAGTTAAACCATTCCATTGGTTCATGAACCAGCATAAACCCATCTCATAAAACCCATCATAAAATCATCATAAACCCATCATAAACCAGATGATTAAATGGGATCATTAAATCCTCCCAGGAATATTAAATGGTGTGAAATCCTCTGGGTGAAATATTTCTGGGCGGATAATACAATCATAAAACCATATAAAACCATCATAAACCCATCGTAAACTCATCATAAACCAGATGATGTTTAATCATAAACCCATCATAAACCCATCATGAAATCCTCCCAGGAAATCCTCTGGGTGAAATAGTTCTGGGAGGATAATATGATTAAAGAAGTTCACCCCAGAATTCCTCCCAGGCGGCCGCTAGCGTGCCATTGGACCGCACGCTGGAGATCCTGAAGGATCTCGAGGGAAAGAGCTCCACGGCGCCTCGGAGCCAGCGTAGCCATGGCTATGGCTGGAAAAAGCGGCAGAAAACCATGGGAAAACCATGGGAAAACCGTAGGAATCCAGGAAAACCATGGAAAAATCATGGAAACTACGCAGAAACTATAGGAAAACCCCTTATAAATATTGTAAATGAAGGTTTCTAGCTTGGAAAATCATTGAGCTCAAGTTGGTTTTTCCAGCACGCCATTGCTTGAGTACCGGGTACCGGAGGGTTTTTGTTGGCATTCGATGGGGAAAAAATGGGGGATCAACGTGGGGGATCCCGTTACTATTGGCATTCGATCAGATTTGAGAATTTTCCAATGATGATTAGATTTGGGATCCATTGGTTACTTCATTTGTGTCATCATGTTGTATCAATCGATGATTATCATGTGATTATCATTGTGTTGTGATTATCATGTGATCATTCTTGTATCGTTGTATCATGTTGTATCCTTGTATGATCACAACCCGTGAGGGTCAGGCGGGTTAGGCCAAACATATTGCCACTGAGGTGCAAAATCCCTCGGGCTACGTGAAGGTGCTTTGGGGAAAACCAACATGGCCAGAATGGTTGGCTTGGAGATGATTTACCAAAGGGGCATTTCTCGTTTTGCTTCCCTGGCAGAGACAAGGCATCAGCAAATCCACCACAGTCAAGATCATCAATGCCAGCGGTTTAAGCAGAAGATTGATTCCGATATGGAAACTGGAGGATTTTCCTATCATGTCAACCCGGGATTAATAGACCCCTACTGTAGGCTGTTAAAATTGCGGGGTGGCATTGATAACGCCATCGGATTAAGAAACCCTGGCCGCCCCTGAAGATTGTAGAAGAAATCTGCTGGCACCAGCCAAACAGCCACCAGATGTGCAGATGTGCATGTTCCGCTGGATTTAATGGGGCTCTACCCCTTCGCCAAACATGCGAGTTTGGATGTAATCGGGTCACGTAACCCAATCATGACATTTAGGACGGAAGGAGTCATCCTGGCAGTAAGACTTTGATGGGCTTTCCTGGGCAGGGAATTCAGCTCGTTGTGTGGATCGAAACTGGAGCTGCTTGCCCCAAAGATTCCAAAAGCATCCAAAAAGCGAGGTCTGTTTGGCATGAGGTATTGTATTCTTAAGGGGGGGCAATTTGATTTGCCCATAGAGAAGTGGATGGATGGACGGACTGATGGATGTAGATAGATGTTAATATGGATTTGTTTGAAAACAGCCTGCCCCAGACCCCATGAGAGACAACCCCCCACTGTTTAGCATCATGTGACCCTCAGTTGATCCATAGAAATTTGATCTTGTAACATCTTGTAAATATATTGAACATTGTGGGGTGAACGGGTGGACAATATGTTCTAAATGACTATTTACATGTGTATATTATATGTTTAATGACTATTTACATGTGTTGACTCGATAAAATTAGCACTAACCCTATTGGGTGAACAACATTACGTGAATTATTGGATCTAAGTACACTAACATACATTAACATGAGTAAACCCAATAATAAGCGCTCCCATTCACTTTATTAACACACCATTTGGTTTATTGGCTTTCCAGGCTTCCATCAAGCGAGAGCTTTCAGGCCCTTGGGTTGGGTTTTTGGGGGATGATGAGAATCCATGAACATATGTGACAAATTTACATTCATCATATATACATATGTATATTAGTGAATGTATATATATATATATATTATAATAATATATATATATATAATATTTATCAATTAATGAATATTATTAGTGAATGTATATATATATATATCAATTATATATATATAGAGATTATATATATATGTATATATATATATACATAATAATAATATATATATATATTTATCAATTATATATATATATGGATAATATTAATATATATCTATATGTATATATGTATGTATGTATGTATGTATGTATGTATGTATGTTTGTATGTATGTATGTATGTATGTATGTATGTATGTATGTATGTGTGTGCTTGGATGGCTCTTTGCCGGCTCGGCAGTTGCCAACCAGGACGCACGGATTTTTGTTGAAGCCATGGCAGGTGATCCACGGAAACGGCCAGCTTCCATCGTGACAGGTCGTGGCGGGCCGGTGGAGAGTTCATGGGAAATCTCGCTGAAAAGGTATGGAAGATGGCTAGGATGGCTAGGAAATCCATGGAAATCCCCCATGACTTGGCATTCAAATAGGAAACACATCAAAGTACCCTCTGGTAATTTAACATAATTATTGAAAATGGCCATTGAAATTGTGAATTTTCCCATTAAACATGGTGATGTTCCATAGTTATGCAAACGTTTACCAGGGGGGAAATGTTTGACGTTTCATTGCGCAATCTGTTTGATTACCAGAGGCTACCCATTCGGATGTGCCTTCAGCGACAGGAACTGGAACTGATTGGGATGATCACCGATGTGAGAGTTTTTTTACGATGAGACATCATGAATACCCTCCGCAAATTTAACATGATTAACTGTGGATAATCATCATGTTGAAAAGGTGACCATTTTCAGCGGCTATGTTAGTTTACTGGAGAGCAGCTGTTTTGTTGAAACTGTCCTACCTAACCGACGTTGGACCTGGAGCTTTGCTGCAAACATATTCCGCCTTGCAGTGTTATGTCGGAGTTGTGTCGATCCGATCGTTTTCATGTCAAAGGGGATGACGGCATCACCACAAAAACCCATCAAATTGGATAGATTTACAACGACCTCACGTCGCGACGTCACTTGATTTATGGTTTTGTAGGGGTAGCTATTCCAAATATCATCGAATATCTTAGGTTGGTGAAGAGTCAAAGCAAATAGCAGAAAAAAAACAAGCCCAAAAAAAACAGATTGAGATAGAAACGGGACACGTGTTTCAAATGGGAGTTACCGGGTTCTTTAAAAAAATCAGCCATCCACAGGAAACCACATAGATACCTTACTTACCCCCACAACCTCCAACTTCAATGTTGTGATCGGAAGTGCCGAGCATCATCAACGCAAAATGTTTTTTTTTTTGAAGGCCGTCAAACACAAAATTCAGAAGACAACATTGATTTGGGGGACGGGGGGGACATGACGTTTGTCGTGTGGTACTTCATGGGATGGCTAGTTTTTTTGAAGAAGCCGGTATTTCAGTTATGTATAGTAACTATAGTATTACAGTATAGCTACCCTCTGGTTATTTAACATAGCCATGGAAAATCATCCCTTTTAATAGGTACATCATCGGGTCATTTTCCATAGCGAACTGTTAGTTACCAGAGGGTATATGGTTCCTTCATCATTTCCAGAGATATTTCCAGATCCAATGCCCAGGCCCTCCAGCGAAACGCCGGGCGTGAGCTGTGAGCTCGCTGTATCGCTGATGTCATGTGTCGTATAAAGGAAAAGCTGCAGCTGAGACATGGCAGATATGGCAGACATGGCGAAAAAGGTATGTTTTACTAAGAAAACATCGTGATTTCATGGAATTTAGATGGATATTTCGCTTGATTTAGCTAGCCAAGTTATTTTAAGATGTTTAAGTAACTAGGCTAAGTATGGCTAAATACGATGCATGGGATATATATATATTTAAATGGGATTATCAATTATAAACCAACGTACTTGTATGGGGAACAGCCTGTTTCAGGGACTCTGCTAGCAACAAATGACCGTTGACTCCCTTGACCTCTGAACATACTTTTCCTGCACAAAGTTATGGCCAACATATAACTTGTGTTTGAGCTTGCTGTTGATGGTGTTGGTCATGATCATGATGATGATGATGAGGATGTGGATGAGGATGATGAGGATGATGAGGATGATGAGGATGATGAGGATGATGAGGATGATGAGGTTGATGAGGATGATGAGGTTGATGAGGTTGATGATGATGATGAGGATGATGAGGATGAGGATGGTACAGCAATGGTGACAGTGCACATGGTGTTGACGTTGGTGGTTGTGGTTCTGAAGCCATTCGGAATGGGGCGATGAACATACAGCTAGGCAGCAGCGATTTTGGTGTGAACAGCAAGCTCATAGGGTTAACTCACCCATTCCAATCCTCTTTTGCTCCTGTCTCATTGAGAGGTTCGCCGCTTCAAATTAGTTTTCCCAAAAATGCAGTGTGCCTGAACAAAAACGCCATGCAAATTGGGACAACATGTCATGAACACTATTGGTAATCCAGCTGCACTTTTCAACATATGTCAAATTCCATTGAAAAAATATATATCAAACAGATTCAAACTGTAAACAATGATCCCACCAGTTGATAGGTGGTGAACATCCCCCTATTTATAGGGTTTCAACTTCCTATACTGTGGGATTTCTTCCATCCACAGCATGTCAATTGGAATTGGACTTCTAGCAGAACCATTCGCCGGTGATGGCAGGTGAAGCGCAGGGACATGGTAAGACGGGGGTAACTGCAGGTGGCCTTCTTTTTAAGCAACGGGATAGCTATGAAATTCCTATGAAATACCATATGTTTTTGAGATCAATACCTGTCTCAATGGGATCAATCCCTGTGATTTGTTTGATGTAGAAATTATATATATATATAATTATATGTATGGATATTTTGGGGATGAAGATCCAAAAGTATTAACTATTTTTGTGTTGGAGATGTCATGCATGGGCTTTGATTCATAGCCAAAGTGGAAATGCATGGTGTGTATCAACAAACAGGTTTTTATTTTAATGGAAACTTATGGAAACTTGATCAAATGGTAAAACTGAGGAGATAGGCATTGCTTTGGATAAATTGTCACGACCTCACTGCGACTTTTGTGATGATTAGTAGGGGGAATCATCCCCAAATATCCCAAAATTGCCTTCATGTTTTGGTTAGTGAATGATTATGAATATATATATATACATATATATAATTATATATATAGTTTGTCCCGATAGTTTCACTACCATGACTGCAATATGTGGTTGGATCCATATGGGGTGAAGCCATCACTCGCGGGTATGACCTCAATACTCAGATCATCCATTTGGCTCGTTACACCCCAAAGGTCATCAACATATCTATAGGTGAAGATTAATTTTCATATACCCTATATATGTAAATATCCATATATGGATTATTTGGCTTACGGACATATATAATTAGATATATATAGTATATGGTAATAGTTACCTTCGGATTTATCACATGTTCTACCTCTTTCCTTCACTGTTGTAGCTTCAGGTGCTACCTCTGCCACTGCCTTGCCTCCTGGGGCTTGCACCTGAGAGCCTGTCACACCCATGTAGAAAATTGTGGTGTAACCAATCCATATTTTTTTCAGACAAACCCATATATTCATACATTGGATACATTGGTATCAAACCATATTGTGATTGTTCCGACACATGGTCTAAAATCTGATATCCAACTATATATATATATTTAGTAGGTCCTTTGCTACACTTATATAATTTGTTTGTTTTGGATATACCACTATTTTCAGACGCACTCATCGACATTGTGAGACCTGTGATTTTTACGGAATTGTGCTGCTGATCTATTGATTTATAAGAGGATTGCTGGTACTGGTTCTCGCGACACATGGGACCCGCATCACGACCTCTCTTTCTTTTGCCTGATTTGCGGTTTGCACATGTTGATTTTTGTTGCAGAACGCTTTGACGCCTGGTTTTTTTTCCCTCGGCGTTGCTGGGAACCACCAGATGGAGGATTGAGGTGGTAAGCATCAAAGTTGTTTCTTTTTCAAGCGTCATGATTCGCACAGATGATGCACGTGTTGCCTGATTTGGAAGTTTGTCTTGTGTGGGTGGCTGTGAGACTTCTCCGAGTTATGTTTGTTTCCTTTGCAACGCATGGGTTTACTCTTACTCAAATTCCCACACAATTTTTGTTTCTTTTTTTTTAATGTTTCTGGGTCACATCAGATTGCCAATCATTGCCATTGGTCGTGGTTAAAGCTCCAACTTCTGGGTAAAGTATGGTGCATTTGTGTTTTCGTTGGCTAAGAACCATTTGTTCATATAGTAAATATATGTAAATATAAAGGCACCTTTCTATACACCTGGCACCTAAATCTACTGCTAAATCACCATGTTCCCCAAACAAAGTTGCCATTTTGAGGCACTTGGAAGTGCAGTTCCAGTTGGATTCGTGGATATATATATATATTATAAAACTTGTTTTTACCGAAATATATATATAATAAAACAGATATATGTATTTACATATGTGCATATATATATATATATATATACATAAATATACATTATAGTCACCATACTTTTTGTCCATGATACCCCAGCATTTGCCAACGTTGTGGTACAAGCCATGCTTGGGACACCTGGGCGATAGTCCCAGGGCATCGGGCCCCAGCTACCGGAGTTCCAAAGGTGTCATGGATGCAGTTGTTCGCTTTTGAGATGGGAGAAATCATCAGGATTTAATCATGATTTAACATGCTTTAAGCATCTCAAGATGGATTCATCTATATATATATATATGTGTGTGTGTGATTGTGTATGAATGGGATTTTGAATGATGTTGATATATTTTGATAGGATGTGTGACTTAATCATCCAACGTGGACATGGGATGCAATGGGATATAATGCGTGTACAATTTCAATTTAACGAGGGACAATTATGATTAACAAATGACTAAGAGGTTCCCTACTTTCAGGCAAACCCATATTATGGGGAATTTATGCAACAACATATGGTCTGATGTATTTGATAGAATTGAAGCATCATATATAGTGTGTTTTGGATAAATTGCAATGATGTACCCAGAGCACCCAAAAGAAAAGGTATAGAAAATGCATTTCTTAACAACATTGTGGTCTGGTTGGTGGTTTGGAACATGAATTTTATGACTTTCCATATTTTGGGAATGTCATCATCCCAACAGACGAACTCATAATTTTCAGAGGGGTACCCTCTGGTAAACTAACATAGCTATGGAAAATCACCATTTTTAATGGGAAAACTCACTATTTCAATGGCCATTTTCAATAGCCATGTTAGTCATTACCAGAGGGTAGGTATACCAGCAACCAGTGGTAGTTTTGAAGCCCAGCCAGGTCCTCCAAGAGAGGTTCCAACCAGATGGAGGCGTGCGGCCCGACAACTCACTGTGCGTAGGATGAGGCTTAGTGCATTTCGGATCATTTGGATATGACGGATATTGTATTAGGTATGCATATACAATTAAATTTAGATGATTTATAATGATTTATATACAAATGATTATGTATATATATAATATATGTAAATAGGATTTATATGGTGTATTTCATGCATTTCATGCACTTATTCTATGCCTGGAGCTGAGCCAATGGCAGGCGCAAGCACCGAAGCCCAAAGTGGCAAGGAGTGTTTGGTCTCAAGGCGGTCGTCCTGTTCGGCTTGATGGTGGTTGAATCTGATCAGGTGATGGTAAAAGAAATGCCTCTGTAAGTACTATTCATATGTATAATACATATTATGCATATTACTTACTTTTTATATAGCTATCTATGATTATCTATGTATAATTATGTAATCATACATATATGCATACTGTTTATATGATCCTTCAATATGACTTGGCTGAGCACTCCAGTTCAGTTCAATTGAGGTGGTTTATTCCCCCCTTTAAACAATGGAAGAATTATAGGTGCCGTTTCTTTTTGTCGGCGACGCGGTCAGCGACGCTGTCCGACTCGGACTCAGGTGCAAAGCCATGTAGCCCTTCGGGCCTTACGGGCAAATGGATGCTACACGTTCAGCGTCACCTGCCGCGGACGCTGAAGTTTTGAGGACGTGTTATGAATGGATTAGCCGAGGACGAACATCATCTAGAATGGTGGCAAAACAATGCCATAAACCAACCATGACTGGGAATGGTAACCACACCACCTATAAAAAATGTGAAATTGGGGATGGTTTGTTATTGTTTTACCTGTCCATAAATGGGTTTTGATTGGGAACATCATCTGCAAATGGGTTTTTAACGAGGAAATCATCTATGAAAGGGACATATTCAATAGTAACTATACCTAGTAGGACCTAGCATTTGAGGATGATGGTGCACCATTGTACCATCCACTAATAGTACTGTATATTCTGGATGCTTTTCTATTGGGTTTATCAGTTTATCACGGAAATGATGTATTCTTGTTTTTGGTTGATCTTGGACGAGTATTCAACAATGTTCAACATATACAGTACTGTTTTGCCACAGATGGGGTTGTATGTGCTAACCTTTGTTCTGCTATGCCCATGAAATAGTCACGCTCGAGATATTCTGCAAGGTCCTTTCTGCGAGGAACTTTTTACGTAATACCAATCATGTCATACTTATATAGTTATAATATCCTAATCATTTAGTCCTAATCGT